GTTCGTTTTTATCGCGTTTCCCGCACAATCCATTGAGCACCAACTGGTACAATCTTCGAAAGCGATCTCCCCCTTTTTTTTCTAAAAGAAGAACTGCAATTATTCTGCTCTCGCACGAAGTTTGCAAAGTTCGAATTGCACCGGCTTTGGCGGTGGAGATTAACACAGAAGTGCACTTTTCCTCTTTCCGCCTCCGACATACAAGCATCTTCCATTTGCCGGAAGCGTCGCCTCTCAAGCTGCGAGTCTCTAACTTTGGAAGCCATGTTGGAAGCTGCATGTGTATTGTCTAATAAAGCAGGTCAGTCGAGAGGGATGAGCTCGGGCGAAATCCCGCACGTCAGGCAAACCGCGGATGATTTATTTGCGCTGCTTGCAATTTCATCTCTAGTCCAGTTGGTATTTGCGAGGGACGGATGAGAGACGAGGGCTTGCATGACCGTCTGGTTAGTGATCCACTAATGGTTCTCCAAAAATCAAAATCGCATTCTTTGAGAGAAAAATATATTGAAATTTTAAAACCAGTTCAATCTGTATTTTAAGTTAGACTCTTCTAATTTTTTCCCAATTTTTGTCTCATTCCTACTGAAATTTATTCTGACAGTTTGATTTAAAATGTTTCAGACAAAACAAATTGCAAATAAAAATAATATTTGGGACTAGCTATTTGAAAACGTTATCTTCAACTTTTTTCAATCTTTAAATTGTTTTTCGTTATCACTGAAAATCATGTCATTGTTGATAAATAAAATTCCGTTAGAATAAATGATATTTTCAAATATATAATTGATTCCTTAGTTAGAGTTCCTATAAAATAAATCACATCATTCATATAATTAAAAAAAAAATTAAATTAAATATCCTTATTTCTAATCTAATTAAAACAATTACTTGCTTAGAGTACTTAAAATTGACATTCCCTGGACTTCTCTAATAAAATTTGAGCTTACAGAGCTAAGAAGTTACTTTTTAGAGATTTTTTATCCAGTCCGATATTCATTTTAATTGAACTGATTAAAACCTGAGAAGGAAATACTTCCGTTTTTTTTCTGATTAAATTTCACACCTGCGTCATTATTCGAAATGAATCTTAAAGATTTTTTGCAGCTATTTTGTATAAGAAAGTGTGAGATAAAAAAAAAATACCTTTGCTTCCTTTGACAATTTCATGCGAATTGCCAAAGGGAAAGTGATTTTGACGTCAATCTATCATCTTTTATACTTCCTGCACAACAAGAGGCTCACTCACCATAATATATTGCGAGAGAATCCAGATCGGAGGCAGGAGATTATTCCAGGCAGGAGATCAAAGGAAACGCGCGTGCATTTTGCATCCCCGTTCGAAATGGAGCGAGAGAGGGCCTGGGGCAAAAGTAGGCAAGGGTGCTCGCTCGGTCAAAGCAAAAATCTGTTCCTTGGGCCGCTGCACGCAAATCAGGCCAATAATGGCCGCTGCAGGCCAATCTTGATCGCATTTTGCAAGGACCACCAACTTTATATGCCTTGCGGTTGTTTGCCTCCCTGTCCGTATTTCATAGAAACACACACACGTGAGCCAATGTTTCAGTAAAAGCGAAATAAAATTGAAGATCAAAAGGATCCAGTGAAATTTGATAGAACGTTTTTATCATTTTGAAGCAAAACTTTTTGCGTTCTGTCAATAATTCCTGATTCGACCGGCATGTATCATTTTATCTCTCTCTTTCCCATTTTCATTTATGTTGGAGCCACCAGTGGGAAATAATGAGATTTTTCACCGAGTGCTTCGGATCCTCCGCCGCTTTCATCAGCCGCCTGCACCGAACGCTCGCTTTTTAATTCAAGCTCGAGGCGGTGCCAATTTTCCGAGCAATATTTCGCTCTCATTTTTCTGTCGTTATTTCCAGCAGACTAAATGCTCCGACCGGCGGATTTTCACTCAAGAAGAAAAATCAAACCTTTCTTTTTGGTCTATACACTTTTTTTTACTTTTCGAGGGCCGGCGAAAATCTGACGGCGTCTTTTTGCTGATGATGTCGGCGGCAGCGAGACAAAGGCCGGAGACAAAAAGAAACTCTCTCTCTGCTTGTCAGCGGAAAAAATCTCTTCTCCCCAGTAATGAGAGGGTCAAAATCAATGGCTCGTGTTTCAGAATCGACGTTTTTCTGCAGCAAAGTAGCACTTTGATTGCCGATGGCCAGGATAAAAATCGTAAAAATGCAAATCCTTTTTCTCTCTCTCGAGTTCGGTGCCGCAGCAGATAAAAAACATTCATTTGAACTCGTTTCCATTTTACAATGGAAGAACTTTTTTCTTTTGTGTATTCTTTGTCTGCGGAGAGAGAAAGAAGGAGGCGGTAATTGGATCACGTTTATGCAGAAAACAAAATGCAGTTTTTTTCCCAGACCACTGCGCAGTTTGTTCTTCGATCGTTTATCACGGCGTGTCACTCGCACGCTGCTTTGAAATTAGTTTCTTTCTAACGAGTTTCGTTTTCTTGCTACCAAGTTATTAAGAAATATCCCTGCAGCACTTCCATGCACCGCCGCACCATCCATCAGTTTTAGTTTTATTGACCGAGGCTTTTGAAAATGTGTTTCCATTCGCCAAGAGAGACGCGTGTGCGGTCGAGTTTATTGGGCAGGTGAATTTGCCTAATTAGCAAAGTTTCGTAATGACGACCAACAACGTGTACACGCATGTGAGGGGACCAACGGTTGACCGGCCGCAAAACACGGACTCATAGGACCCGGGAGAGAAATTCGAAACTCCCCGGGTTGCTGCAGAGGCTGTGGGAAAAAGTTCGGGATAAAGTAGCTCTGGGTTTATATGGCGAGTTAATGTTGCCTTAATTGATGTGAATTAATCTGAGATTTCTGAATTGTGGTCTCGGCTGATAAGCGAAGTCCAAAATGAATTTTGATTCTGGATCTTTGAAAATTTAATTAAGAAAAATCGAATGATGTAAAAACAGGATTAACTTAAATTTTTGAAATAATACAAATATTTTAATATTATTATTAATGTTTATTTGTATTTATAAAAGATAAAATAATTTAAAATGTTTTTTTTAGCAGAAAAACACTTTTTAATTTAATATTTATACTATCAGACATGTCATGTATCAGACAACATTTATACACAAATTTAAGTGTTGCTGGAAAAAATTATTTTTAAAGTAATATGCAGAGGCATTAGTTATCATTTTAGACTTATTGAAACCCAAAATCAACGAGCAAAGTTTCATAGTCCTTCTCAATTAAATGCAATTCTATAAAATAAGATTATCTATGTATAAGAAATAATTTAAGGAGTTTTATCATATTATAAGAATAAAATATTTTTTTATTTACCCTTCTTTTGAAATTATTAAAATTTAATTTCATTTCGAATGAACATGAGCCTCAGTATAGAGGAAAAAGGTTTGAGCCATTTTATGGGTGACGCTTTTATATACCTGGCGTGTCTCATCTCAGCCTAATGGCAATTATGCCGATGCGTAATTTGATCACAGCGACATCAAGTTGCCGTCGGGTTGGCGCTCACTTTAAACAAAGGCCGCGCAGAATGAATTTTGCGTGGCGTTGATTAAATACAAGGGCGGTTTTACGGCTCATGAATAATCGTGGCAAACAATGCGCCCATCGGATAAGCAACCAGCTTTGCTGTCACTCGACAGACCACCTGCTTTTTAGACCCGGTGCCCCGTGCAAATTCGCATCTTTTCATCCTTTCTCGTCGGACGTTATCGATTTTATCGACAGCCGCGCCGAGAACAATGAGTCCTGCCAACGTGATTGAAGCATTTTTTTTTCTCATCCCTCGACGCAAATTGGCTGCTTTTATGCGCTCTTGCACTCTTTGCAAAATCGTCGAGGCAAAGTGTGCTGGCGGATCTTGTTTGCGGCTGCGAAAAAGGCCCAGGAAATTGCGGGCTGCGCAAAAAGTGTCAAACAAGAATTTATCGAGCAGCAAAAAGCGCACGCCGCGCTTTGATGGAAGACTTTCGGGTCTTGCCAGATAATGTGAAACTTTCGGGAAATGGCGTAGGGAATTTAGGGACAAAATTCCTCTCAGCGTTGGAAATTAAATGTCAATAGTGGTGTTTATGCGAACTGCAAAGTTTCTTGATAATATTAAAATTTACAATCATCACAGTTATCTAAACTTGAATCTTCATTAAAAATTAATTTGTATCATATTTTATTATTCTCATCAATATTGAAGGTGCAGGTAATGATTGGATCTCCTCAGCTTTGTAAATTTTGTTGAAAGGTTAAATTATTGGCGCCTGTAATGCAGCGGAAATTAATATGCATTTTAATTGTTTATCTGTAATAAAAAAAAATGTATAAACGTTTCTGCTCTTTAAATATTGATGAATATTAACAAAAACTTTAAATATTAAATTCTAAAAATCAAATATTTTTAAAAAGAATTCACAATAAAATTTATTTTATAACTTAAAAAATTATACGTTATATTTTATATTACTATTATTTATCAACATTATATAAAACAACATTAATAGTTTATATTTAAATACTTGTACTGCAGGCCTCTGAGTCTGTAATGCTGAAATTGACTGGTAAATTTCTCTTACAGAATTGTAACCCAGCACTATATTTCAATTGCAAGTAAATTTCAGTTAAACAGTGAAAAAGACTTTTTGCGTGTAATGTTTTTCTTATTTATTTAAACACTTTTGGGGTACTTTCATGTTATTTTCGTTTCAAAATTGACATCAGCACTAATATTGAAAGAATAGTTTCTTTCAATAGTTTTAATTTTCTTGTTCTTGTCGTATGCAATGAGTAACGGAATTTGTGCTATATATTTACAACGAGTGAAAATTGTGAATAATCAAATCACTTCGAATATTTAAACTTTTCCAAAGATTCTAAACAATTAAAAAAAAATTCTCGTCAGATTTAATTCGAAATTGAATTAAAATAAAATTCCCTTCAAGTCCCGCTGGTAAATAAGTTTTGCTAAATTTGCTCGTATTTTTTTGTTCACAGGTGTATCCAAAGCGTGACATCACCAACATCGTGGAAGCGAGCCACTACCTTAAAGTGCCCAACTGGTGCAAGGTCGGCCAGAGGAAGTGCAAAATCTCTCGCTGGGTCAAACCCTACCGCTGCTTAGGTGAATACAAATCTCTCTTTTCTCCACACTTATTTCCAGACTACACATTTTATTACAAAGTTGACAATCTGTGAGTTAGAAGTATGGGAAAAATAGATACGTATATATTTCAATGGTATCTCTAACTTTTTCCTTACAAAATAATAACAGGCCATAATATGATGTGTGCTTTTTTTAATTTAAAATTTAGTTTGCAGAATAACGCAAAATCACCGAATACCTGATAAATTTCAGGAAATGTTCAAATCACTAATATTGAGGTTTTTTAACTTATTTTGATTACAAAAGTTCTACTTAAATCACCATTATTCAGAAAAAATTCCATTTTTAAGAATCCGCGCTTAATTACAGTAAGAAAGAAACAAAATTTCATAATTATAATAATAATCAATAATTTTTCACCTATTTGTCTATTTTCACCTAAAATTTGTCACCTATTTTGAAAAAAAAAATCACCAATATTTTATAAGCCTATAATATTTATGTGTATGTTTTTAGTTCATACAAAATGAAATGCGTTTGCTTGTCACGTTAAATCACTGTCCGTGCAATCAAAGAGCGAAACAGGAAAAATAAACTCGGGCGCGCAACGGCTGGACGATTAATTTGAAAAGCGTCAGCACTTTTTTGATAGTGTCCGGCCTGGAAATAAATTGGCTCGTGTGTAGCAATTTTGAGAGAGTCTGCAGTGCCGGCAGTTTATGCAAATTATTGCCCGCCTAAGTGACACTTTTTGTCCGGATTCGAACCAAATGAATTATGGATGAGTTAGCGCGAAACGATCGTAATTTAAGTTCTGTTGTTTGAAATTAATTTATTATTTACAACAAATTGATCGTGATTATTCGCAGCCCGAGTTCATTAATAAATCAATTTCGGCAGCCGGAATGGAGAATTGTTCAAAGTTTAATTATGCAGATTGCTAAAATGGTAATCAATGCGTGTCCGCGCGTCAAATATGCTGGGGCACTTCATTAGTGCTTGGTTTGTGTATTAATTATGCAATGCACTTTTAATAATATCCTTAAAAGAGTAAATAAGTTTGGTTAAATTCAATTTATTCTATTTTTTATGACATTTAATTTAATCTAAAAACAAGAGGTTTTGCTTGCGTTAATTTGGAGGATTTTCATAGAAACCCAGAATTATAATAAAGGAATTGTCTGTATTATCTTGTATGTACTAGTTTAGCTTTGCATGACTATGTGTCACAAAATAGATTAAAAGTTAATCAAAATATTATCAAAATTGGAAATTGGGCAAACCTCGTTGCAAAGAAAAAATGAAAAAATAATGGGAGGTCAGTCGTAAAAATTATTTTAAATGTTAGCCTGGTTAGCATTTAATTAAAAAAATATTTTATAAAAAAACTCTGTCGTTTTATTCATATTTATTAAAATAAATTAATTTTTTATTATTAAATTATTATTATTATTGTGTTTATTTAGTTTAGATAATCAATTAATTTAATTAAAACCTTTTTACATACTTTTTGAAATGTGATCAAAGTTTGTTGCGATTGTAGAAAATAAATATTTGCCCCGCAATAAGAAAATTATTCTTTTATTTCTAGTTAATAACTTAAGCTGGAAAATCTAAATTTCTGAGTGTTGTAAATTCATTAATATTAATATCAGACTAATGGGCGTATGGTTATGTAATGTAATAATAATTAAGTCGTAAAATGCATCAATATTAATAAAATATATTTGCTATGTACATCACTTGTCCCTACATAACTTTTTGGAATTTTTTAGATAAAGACTACATTTCGCTTACAAATGGTAAACCTAGATAAGTATTAAATAAGTTGGAAAGATTATGAAAGCAGCGAATAGCTCCATCAAAACGTTTAGCGTTGTCTGCCATTAAGTTTATTCTCCAGGGTTGAGAAAAATAAATGATCAAATTAATAATAGCCAAATGAACTAAAATGTACTAATGCAGCCCAAATCGCTGCATCCGCTAAATTTCTGCTCATCTCAACAATGTTTTTATTGTTGTGATAGGTTAAAATTACGCAGACAGAGGAAATTATACCGTTTTAAATTAAAATAGACAGGCCCTGAAAAATAATTCAGTCGTTAAGAAAACTAAAATTTTGATGCAAAAAAATATAATCACCATTTTTCCAAGCATAATCTTGTACCTTCCTCCATGTTTAATTTTATTGTTAAGACTTTTTTAGAGAATCAAATGGTCCAGAAATTGATTTATTTTACCTTCAAAATTATAATATTTTATCAAGTGGTTTTTATTTAAATATTACATAAAAACTTGAATGAAAGAAAGTCCAACTAAAAAACAGAATAATGCACGAGCCGATGATGTAACAGGGAAAGTGCAGAAAATACAATTTCTTCTCATTTTTGTCAACCTTCCGAAATGCAATTCCATCTCCGTGGTGGGATTTGCTGTGAAACGAAACCGGCAAATCCCACCGCAAAATAACGCGAGTGTTTCGTTGCTCGATCCAATCTCGCGTGGACGGCCACACATCTCTCTCGGCAAATCCTCGTCTGTGTGGGCCGACGCGATTTTTCACCTTGAGCTGTCAGCACACTTTATTCTTGGCTTTGCATGCTTTGATCAGAACATCAATCAGCGCCAACAAACGCAAAAACGTAATTTTCACAATCAAAGTCATCTATCATAAGCAAATATACGCCGCGCGCGCGAAATACAAAAAAAAGAGCGGGTCATTCTTCATCCCCCGGCTGACAGAAGGGGTGAACCGCGCGCTCGGCGAATGACCTCGGCGCCGAGGTGAATTAAAAGGATTCCGCGTGCGCGTTTATCGCTCACAGGTGTAATGCCTCATGATTCATCTCTCCGGCCGTCCCTCGCTGCCGTTTCTGCTTCAACCGCGACCATATGAGCTTTTATTAACTTCCCTTCGGATTTGGGCTGAAAGAGAAAGAGAGATGCGGGGGGTAAAAAAACAATTGCGAAAGAGTATCAAGTGCTTTCAGTGTCAAATTTTGAAAAGAATATCGCGGCCATCAATTTTCTCTAAAATTTCATCGTTTTATTTTTACTATTAATATATATTTTTACTTTTTTTTATCTAAAATTAGTGATATTCTGAAGATAGTGAAAATCTTTAAGATTGACGCCTTTCTTCAGAACCACGAATTATAGAAAAGGAATAAATAAAACTAACACAATTTGTAAAAAAAACCTTCAGATGTATTTCATAAAAGATTGAAACTGGGCTAAACCTAAATTTACAATACCCCTCCTTTTTCAACTCGGTTTAGCCTGTTTTCTGTCATTGTAAATAATTTTTCTTATATATTATACATAAATTTCTCATATTTAGAACGTTAGAAGAAAATGTAGAAGTTTTTCACTTCAATAAAAGCGATTGTTTTAATTTAAATCCCTGTGGAAAAAAGTTTAAATTAAAATCATCATTTAAACTTTCATCTTCTACGCAAAAATTAATTTAAGAGAAAAGAAGGTGGAAATGTAAGAGGTGTTTTTTCCCCTTTCTCCGAGATCCGCAAAAGCTGTGCGATTTTCCAGACAAAGCGTTTGGGTAAGAACGGCCCCTGGCATTACATTCGGTTGTTTGGATAGGCCGCGCCGCGTGGTGTCGAAAAAGGGAGCGAAATTGTGTGTTCGCGCACCACTAGTTGCAATAGGCCCTGAGATAAGATCGCTGCCTAATGTTGTGCGAAAGAAAAGAAACGAGCAGCACAATCTTTGCGCATTTTGCAGAGACTAGCTGGCGAAGAAGAGTGAGAGCGACGAGTGCTCTGGCTGGGCCACCGACGTGTATAGAAAACGACGGCGCACAAAGTAGTTGAATTTGGGGCAGACACAAACGCTTTTTTGTTTAAACTTAATATTATTTATTTTATTATTTAAAATATCAATATTTTTGAAATTATTGCAATTTTTACTTATTATTTATGATTTAATTTGATTAAATTTTTCATTTATTTTCACAATATTTAAAAAAAAATTATTAAAGATATTTGATTAATTTTATGTTTAATTGTGTTTAATATGAAAAAAAAATCAAAAAATTATTATATATACCCATCGTAAATTATCAATTTTTGCCATAATTCAAATTACATAGCTCAATTCAATTGATATCAGGTTCTTTTCATAAATAAATTCATTATTAAATAAAACAATCACTATATTTTTAAATGATGATATCCACACCCCTGATTATGAAAGCACATTTCTTACACTGAAGGACAAAGTTTAAATTGATATTAACAGTATATTAAAATATAAAGTTGTTTGGTTTAATTTAATAAATAAATTTTGTGCTTGTAAATTCCGTCAAATTCATTCCGCATCAAATTTTTCAATTTCAACAAAGGAAATTTAAAACTTCTTCTTTAAAAGCATTCTCTTTTGGGAAACGATTTGGTGAAAGCAGCATAAAATAAAATCAAAGAAAGGGCGAGTCAAATCGAATTTCACCTTTTTTCACTTCCCCAGAGGGATGCCGGCAGTTTCTCGTTTATTATCTCTGGCTGCGCCCCCGTTTGTGCTGCAAACGAAGGAAGGCCTTGGCATTAGGGCCGCCACCTTTCGTGCAGAGAGATAAAGACGCGATGCTTTATGGATGAAATGAAGGGCGTTATCGCCAGGCACATGGTACTTTTCAGCTCGCTCCTTTTCTGCTCGAGTGTCATTATAAGAAGCAGCGAGTAAAACGTAATTTATTAAATAGACCGGTAGTAAAGTCCTCCTTTTCGGCTTTTTACATCTAAATTGCTCCTCTCTTTCCTCATCTCTCTGTCGCGCTTTTTGCTACATTTTTTGCCGATATCGATGCTCGACAGCGTCTCTCGAAAAGAGGCTTTTTATGCAGGGATACAGTTTGCAATATCCGTCTGACGAATGTTGAATGTTGCCCTTTTCAAAAGACCCAACTCTCAATACGAATAAGAAGATATGGATTTTTCTTTGTGATTTCGCCTGGCGGGCAATTCTTCCCAGAATGATTATTTTTGTTTGCCGTATCTTCGGGGGGAAAAGCGACTGCTTAATATTTCAAAAGGAGGCTGCTTTGTCAAATTTATTGTCAGTCTTTTGCATAAAATACAGCAAAAAAGAATTTATAGCAAAGCGGAATCGCCCACGACATGATTATTTTGATATAAATTGCAAAGAAATTATTTTCATTCGTTGAAAATTTATAACTTATTTGGTTGGATTGAAAAAATAAGCAGAAATTTTAGAACAAAATCATGCTAATAATTAGTTCTCATTCATTGATCTAATATTTTTTAAGATTTAGTGATAAACAATATCTTTTTCTTCTGCTCAGTATTAACTTTTTTTATTAAAAAGAGAATATTTGACTTTTACGTTTTACTTCCACTTGGAAAAGCAGCATGTGCAGCCGAATTTTTAATTAAAAATTTTTGCAGAAAGATCCTCGGCTGTTATTTTTGCAAGAAAATCATTATCATTTTTCTGGACTAATACTATATTTATTCAGAATATAATTTGAAATTTGTCTACCAAAAGCCAAAACATACATTAAAACTACGACGACCTTTTTTTTAATAATTAAAAAAAAAAATACCTTGAATTCCAACGTCAACTTTATATTTCTGTGCCCCTTATATCAAATATTAAATTTCAAAGAATTCTTCTTCCGAGACGTCTGGACTTATGAAGTATAAAAAATGAATGTTTTTGGCACATTAATCATTAGCCAGCGGAGAACTTTGAAAGAAAGCAGAGCTCCCTTTGAAGGGGGACATCAGAGAAGCAGCGCCTTTGAAATTCATAATTCCCTGCACTCCGTTTCCAAGAAAGATTATTTTCACATCTTTCAATCCGAGAATCGTCGTTCCGGGTGCAGTGAAAATAATAACCAGTTGTTTTGCTAAGAGGGCCCTTTCGCGCCACGGAGCGAAATTAAATTCTTTTTTCCGGCGGTGCCGCCGCTCAGTCCGTGAAACAATGCAGCACAATCTCTCTCTCTTTCGTCTCATTCCAGAACATTATTTCGCCTTTGGCTGTGTGGCGAGAAAGAGAGAGAGAGAAAAGGAGCCGCCCGCTGCGTGGAAAGGCAATCAATAGCGAGGGCTGCGGCGCAGAAAAGTTGTTGCGATCAATATTTCCGACCCTGCCACGGCCGCCACTGCCAGCGAGCGCTGCTGTTTCCATACACACCGGCGGGCAAACACTCTCTCTCTCTCCCTTTGGCACGCATTCTGCCTTTGTAAAAGGGGCGGCCAGCCTTTGACACGCGGAGAACGCGTGCCCGCCGCTCTGTTATTACGCCGGGCGCGAAACTTCTTGCAAACCGAACCTGCTCGACGACGTGCTATCAATTAGAAGAAAACTTCGGCCCTTTGTCAGCCGCCCTGTCTCAAAGGGTTGTTATTCGCGCGCGCCCAACTGCTGTGAAACCGATACCGTCCTCCGAGTGGAAATAATAATTTGCTTTGAGACACCGAATGTCTGTCACGAGAAATTTGAATTTACTGACTTGCGACCTATCGCTTTCAAATGTCAGTCTTAATCGAGCCCTTTGAGTTGGCTGTTCATTAACACGGGACGTTTCAATGGGCAAACAGCTACCTAGCCTCACTTTTTCTGCAAAGGTGATTTTTAGGTTTGAATTTTTGTAGACAATGTCAACAAATTTTCAATATATTTTCATTAATTGCAAAAAAAATGCTCCTATTTGTTGTAAATACTTAGTAAAATGAGGCATTCAGTAAGTATTCTTTTTAATTATATACAAATACAATTAAAAGAAAAAGATAATTAAAGGATAAAATATAATTTATTGCAATTTGTAAGAAATAAGAGTTTGTTTCATAATTTGTGTGCCTTGACCTAGATTTTTTTTTATAATTGTGTATCTCCATTACGAATTTTCACTCATGCGCATTTGAACGTTTTTAATTTTTAATCCACCGACTACAAAAAGGTTGAACTCACGCATTCTCCCTTTTTTTCATGCGCCAACGGCCACGCGTCAAACGAACTTTTGTGCTCTTTAGTTAATTCAAAAAGCCGCGAACCGCGAGAGTTTCCCATTCATCGAGGCTTACGTGCATAATTCAGCAGGTGCAGGATGCAAAATGAAAAGCCGCAGGTGCGCATTAAAGAATCATCGCTTCCGCAAAAGCACAGCCCGGCCAATTACATAATCCGTCGAGCGGCTGAATATTTCATTGTGACGCTTTATTATTTGTTGCGCTGCCAGAAAAAGACGAACCCAAGCGAATTGGACGAAGCAATAATAATAAAAGCGCGTCCATTAGTTCGGCGGTGCAATTTGGAGCCGGAGAGAGAGACGGAGGGGGTGTTTAATTTGAGAAGTATGCAACCGGCATGCAGAACGGACGGGCGGGTTGCATGGTTGGCACTTTTGCAGGCGCTCGCCGCGAGCACTTTGAGTGCCGCTGCGGCGAGAGAGAGCGGCGGCCGGGGATATTTTAACGAGGTGCTGTTTGTTGTTGCTGCTTCTGAGGGTGTTTGTTTGACGGCATCGTAAATTTTATGGCATTGCTACGCTTCGTTGTGTCGCGAGCAAAATTCAACTACTGCGACGAGACTGCCTCGCCAAAGTTGCAAATTACAAATTAGACTGAATTAATTTCAACGTCTCATTCAGAAAATAAAAACAATGAAATTGTTAATAAGCATTCTTCTTGATTTTTTTTTAGCGAATATTAATTAGTTACATAGATAAAAATGTCTGATTTATTTTACAAAATGTTAATAAATTGCTATTTCTCTGAATCGTGATTATAGTGGGGTGATTCTTAAAATTATATTTATTTCAAGTTTAAATGTTATTTTGCTCTGTTCTGATCGTGATTATAACAATTTAAATCATTTTTATCATCAACTTTGTATCATAATTCATTAAAATTGATTATTTTATATTGATAGACATCTCATTTTCTTGTACTCGGCCAAATTGACACGCGCCGCTGATTAACAGCGCGCGTTCAGAGTTCAGACAAAGCTTGTTTTTTTATAACGCGATAATTTTAAAATTCAAAACTTCAGTATTGGTAGGTAATTGAATTAAATAAGGTGTTTTTTAGTATGATAAATTCTAATAAATCTTGATAAGGAGCGGAGTAATAATTATATCCGTGAGAAATTAATTACACGGCTATTTAAAAAAAAATAGCTAGGATTTTTTTTAAATACAAACTTTTTCCATATTGTTCACCATTCATATTAAATTTGTCCAACCATCAAAATATCACATGGGAAATTGCTCAGGGGTTATTTAGGTAGCTTCTTGTTGAATATAAATCAAGATTTCCCTGTATCACTTCCACCAAAAAAATCGTTGCTGTAATGAGTGTTATGTTGTTAAATTTATAGCAAATATAAATGTATTTTATTAAAATATTTCTTATTATATTTACTAAAAAATTGGAGGAAAGTTTTGTTCAAACATTGTACTAGTGAAAGAATTTTTTTTCTTTCTATTTTTCCAAATCTATTTCTTTCCAAATATATGTTTTTTTTCTAGTTTCATCACCGATATCAATAAAAATCCTCAAAATTGCTCATTTATTTAAAACAATCTCTTACATTGAAAAAAAACTAAATAAATTTGTAGATTTAGTCCCAAATTATTAATACTGCAATTTCTACAGGAGCTCAAATGATAATGTTGAAGTATTGAATAAATTATAGTTTCAGTCTGATATGTATTCTTCAGAATCGATTTGAATCAGAATCATCCAACAGACGACGCAGTGACCCAATTCTCCAATTGCACAAACCATGCACATTATCCTCACAGATGAAGCGACCCACTTTTATCAAACGTCATAAATAAGCTTCATCCATAATGGATCGCGCCATAAAAACGTCCGCTGACGAAATACAACAAAAACAATTTTTTCTCGGGTTGGGAGAGTGTCCTACCCTTTAACCCTGTCTTTCACATGCATACACGTGTACACCCTCGCTTTATAAATGTTGCTTGATTTTTCCAAACCCCAAAACGCACACGATTTCTTTCTTCCTCACATTCGACGGCACTTTTTGATGATTTCGTTTTTGTAACCGGTTGGCTTTGATTTATTTTTTCAGAGGGTCCATTCCAATCCGATGCCCTTCTCGTACCTGAGACCTGCCTCTTTGACCACATCCACAACCAGACCAAATGCTGGGAATTTGCCCTGTGGAACCAGACGGCCGCCCTGGCCTGTCAGAGTCGAGACATGACTCTGCGAAGCTTTGCCATGCTGCTGCCCTGCGGAATTTCCCTCTTCAATGGGGTGGAATTTGTGTGCTGTCCAAAGCATGCCAAGGGTGAGAGACCGAATAAAAAATAATAAAATAGTCGTCGACAGAAAAATAAATTCACTCCGCAATTTAGCATATATTGCATTCCTCGCACGCATATTTCGCAGCAAAGTAGCTCGGCTGGAATTTTAATTTTGGAAAAAATTCCATTTTTTGTGTGTTAGTTTGCGATTTATTTTCCCCCGCACATTCAACCCTCGTTTCTTGAGTAACAGTCTCGCACGCTTGCGAAATAGCAGAGCCAATTGCATAAATTAAGCCCTTTCCCACAAATTCCACGCCGTTGCTCGCGTTTAAATTAATTCTGAACAAACATGCAAGCCCGTGAATAGCAGGGCTGCTCCGTGGCTTAACGAAAAAAAACGCGATTTAATCTCGGCACGCTCAGAGTATTCAAACAAGGTTGCCATAATATCCTTGATTGTTTTAGAGGCCAAAGTTTTTTCCACGCGTGCTGGCGTTCATTGCTTCATTTTGTTGCATTAAAACAATTTAATAGAGCCTAAAATGCAATTTAAAAATTTAGTTATTTAAAAAAATTCTATTAAATGAACAATAATTAAAATAAGAATTTGTATTTAGCATTTTAAACAAAGGAAAATAATTTCAGTAATAAAATTCAAAAAGTTCAGTATAGTCGAGTAAAGTTTAAAACTTTTTCAAAATCTTGATAAAATTTAGAAATCAAATAAAAAAGTTTCAATTTTTAAATAAAATTTTATGCAATTTTTAATTAATCCAGGTTTATATTAAATTGAAATTTGACCAGAACCGGATTTTTTTCTGTTTCTGCAGACAACATGAAGCCGAAGAAGCCAATCGACATCACCCTGGGCGCCGAACAGGACAGTCAGATGGCCGAGGTGCTTTCGAGCGACAAGGTCGGACTCGAGGGCACTGCAAGCACGTCTTCCGATGAGGACGACGGCGAGGACAGCGACGAGGACGCCGACGACCTGTCCAACCGGGACGACGAGAATGACGACGATGACTACGGCGATGACCAGGATGATGAGGGCGACGGCGCCGGAGAGGACTCGGATGACATGCAGGGCTTCGGGGTGGCCAGTTCGACCCCCGCGGCGGCCGTGCCCACCCCCGCACCAACCAGCGCCTCGCCGCTCGCCAACAGTCAGACCCCGGTACAGCCCACCGGCCAGCAGGTGCCCACCCCTGACCCCTATTTTACCCACTTTGACCCTCGGGGCGAGCACCAGGCTTACAAAGAGGCACAGCAGCGGCTTGAGGAAATGCACAGGGAGAAAGTCACCAAGGTGGGAAACGCTTGTTTTATTTTCGGCTGCACTTTATATTTAATTTAAATCAGCATGGATGTTTTTTTTTTATTATTATTATTAAAAACAAAACTTTTCTTCATTTAAAAATTTGAATATCCCTAACAGAAATTATTTCATTCTTTAAGAAAAAATTGAATGTCTGAAATTTAAAAAGAAATTTGAAAAAAATTTCGTCTTCTGACGGTTCAAACAGAATTTGAGCCTGCATGTCACGTAATTTTTTTTTATTTTGGTCTAATTGAGAGACTTTTGGCGAGAAAACATTTGTCTGATTTTTTTTCCAATTCTTAAAGAAACAATTTTTTTTTTAATTAAAGGATAAAAAAAATTATTTCTTCAGAGTCCGTTTGAGATGCTTTAGCATTTTTTAGTGATTAAATGGGCTAGCCTGATGTGTTCTTGCTTGGTGGCGCACGCGTCTCAATTTCAAGTTGCTCACTGTGCAGGTCATGAAGGACTGGTCGGACCTCGAGGAGCGCTACCAGGACATGCGCCAGAACGACCCTGGGGCGGCCGACGACTTCAAGAAGAAGATGACGCAGCGCTTCCAGAAAACCGTCCAGGCCCTCGAGGAGGAGGGCGACGCTGAGAAGCACCAGTTGACCGCCATGCACCAGCAGAGGGTCATGGCGCACATCAACGAGAGGAAAAAGGAGGCCATGGCTTGCTACACCGACGCCCTCAGCGAGAACCCACCAAACGTAAGGGTTGCTTTATTCAATTTTCCCCTCAAAAATCCATCAATTGTTTAATCTTATAAATGAATAAAAAAAAGAGCATTTCTTGTAATAATTTAATATCATTTTTATAATAATAACAGTTTTTTTAATTCAATTTCTCTTCTTTGTGCAGACACACCGTGTTCAGAAGTGTCTGCAGAAGCTGCTCCGATCCCTGCACAAAGACCGTCACCACAGCATCGCCCATTACCGCCACCTGCTCGTCTCCAGCCCCGACCAGGCCGACCGAGAGCGCGGCTTGACTTTGGAGCATCTTGTCGACATCGACAAGATGGTCAACCAGTCCCTCCAGATGCTCGACCAGTAAGAATCGATTCAAACTTTTTGATGGAAGATTAATTTTAAAAACGAACGATAGCTATCCTGAGCTGGCTGCCAAGATCAGAGTGCTGATGGAAGACTACCTGACCGCCCTGAGGTCCAAGGACGAAACTCCTGGATCGCTGCTGTCCATGTCCAGGGACGCTGAGGCTGCCATTCTAGACAAATTCAGAGCTGAAGTTCAAGCAAGACAAGAAGGTATAATTTGTTTGGTTTAATTAAAAATTTAAAAAATAATTCATTGCAATTTTTAAGTGTTATTTATAAATTGTATTAAACAATTAAATTATTAAAATTTCATTTTATTGAATCACATTTTTAAATATTTTAATGGAATTTATTTTAATATAAATAATATTTTTTTAGATAAACTTTAATCAATATTACCTTTTAATCTAATTTTAATAATATAAATTGATAAAATTTGGTTTAAATTAATCAAATATAATCTCACAATACCAAAGGTTTGCACTTGCTTTTGGAAACTCAACTTCTTAAGCATCGTTTTGCAGGGAGTGTATTTTTTCTTAATATTATTATATTATAAAGAAAGTAAAAAAGGGCTTTCAACCAGCATATATTTGCTAAAAAAATTGCTAAGAATGTGACATTTCAATTATTCAATTCCGTTTTCGCACAATTAATTAAAACTAAACAAAAATCTGATTTTGCAGAGAAAGACAGGCAAAAAATGATGGAGCGTCAGCGCAAAGAGCAGAGGAAGGCCGAGCGGATGCACGAGAAGGAGGCGCAGCGCCGTGCCGAGAGTCAAAAGATGGACACCCACTACGACTCGGACATCATCGAGGAGGAAAGGGCCTTGCCCTCCTCTCTGCCCTCTGCAGAGGCCCCAGCCATGTTGCACAGCCAGCACGATCCGGTGCCCAAACCTGCCCACGCCCAGGCCCACGACATCAGCCACGGAGAACCCGTAAGAAAAAAAAATAAATAGAAAAAGAATTTGAAATCAAATTGAATTTCGTTTGCAGACTTTCTCGGTGCGCCGTGAGGTGTACCACAGAGAGAGAAGGAGCGTCTACTTCACATTGATCTTCGCCGGCGTCGCCATCATGGCTGCTGGTCTCGTTGGAGTTGCTGTCCTGCGAAGAAGGAACGCTCGCTCTCCTCAAAATCAGGTAATAAGCAATATTTAATTTGCAACAAACAATGTTTAAAAGATTATATGTAATTTGTGCTAAAATTTTCACTTAATACTTTGACAAATTCCACGAAATCTAAGAATTGTTTCAATTGGAAATTTATTCCTCTATTGATTAGTAATTATTGGTGGATAGAGGGCATTTCTATAACAGGAATGAATTAGCCTCTAAAACTTATTAAGAAAAAACTGAAATTTCTAAAAATTAAATTAACTCTTTAATATGAATTAGACAAATAACAGGGTAAATTCATAAAAAAAGTTAAACATTTGGGTAGCGTATTTGTTTTCAAAATTATAAAAATGTATCAACGAGATTTAAATTTCAGCGAAATAATAAAAAATACTTTTCTCGTATATAATATATTTATATCAAATTATATTTTAAACACTTATTTGTTTAGGCTCAAATAATACTTCTTAAAATCAGTTCAAATAATTTTTGAAATATCTGTAATATATTTATAAATTTTTATTTCTGCAGGGCTTCATTGAAGTCGACCAGGCTGCAACACCAGAGGAGCGCCACGTAGCCAACATGCAGATCAATGGATACGAGAATCCAACTTACAAATATTTTGAAGCAAAAGAGTAAGAGATATCAAAACAATTAATTAAAACTAAAATTGTGAAAAATATGAGAGGCTCTCCTGATAATTTTAATTTACCGGTGCATCGGGGAGTTGCCGTGTTTACGTAAGAATTCTTCACACTCACTCACACACACATACACACACTCAGAAAAAACAAACACCTCTATGTTAACAATAGTATGCGACAGTCAGTTTTTATGTTGGGTGTAAATTTTAAAAGAGAGCAGAAAAAACCGCGTGTTAATATATCAAACTCACACACTACGATTAGATTGCATTATGTATCTCTCAGAGTACCTTCTAAATTGAATATGTATAATGCTACATAGCGGCAAAAAAATAATATATTAGTTGGGGGTGCAAAGAATTCAAATCAACAACCAGATCGCTTCACGTCTATGATTGTTCATAATAAGAAAATGACGAAAATAGTCCTGTATTTTTGCATGTTTAGAGATGATCTACTGATTTGTACTTATTGTGTCTCATAACTGCATTGAACCAGCACAATTTGCTGCCACTTGGTTTCAAATTTGTCTCTATTTTTCAATCACTACTTTTAAAAAGGACACAAACATGGGAGTCGTCGTCGTTTTGCTGGGAAAGGAGAGTAAAAATCGCGCCACTTTTCTATATAAACATTCTGATTTCCGCGTCGTAGTTTGAGAAAAATTATTCAGAAAAGGCGCCAACGGTAAAAAATGTTAAATAGTTTTCATTCAGCTTCGAGAGTTCAGCGCATGATGAAAGTGCTTCAAACTGGGGTTTTCAAGTAATTTTCGATGCAAATTAACTACTTAAGTGCGAAGGGGGTACGTGCTTGCCATGTAGGCTTAAGTTGAGTGTCCATAAGGGAATATTAGCGAATTCCAATTGTACATGTATAAAAATTAAAATGAAAGAAAGAATCAAGAAAGCAGTATAACCTAGCCAACTATACGGATTTATCATCATTCTGGAGCGAAGGGCACACGATTTAATTAAAAAAATAATAAATCAGCTTGGAAATTTTTCTTCACTCTACTTTAGGCCAAACTTCGGAAAAGCATTGTCAAGCAGCCATTTGATGATGAAAAATAGAGAGTCCAATTTTAATGCCAAGAGCGCCGATGAATTAGAAATTTGGTGCTCTTGACAAAAAAAACTAAATATCAATTCGATTAAGGTAAAAATTTCGCGGCAGCTTATATAATTATTAAATTATGATTGTGTAAATTAACAAAAATAACATGCAGAGCAAGAGTGATTATCAAACTACATTAATTAATTAGTTTGATGATTTTGTAAAGTTCTTCTCGTCGTTTTTCAATTGATTTGCTGATAAACCAGTAAAGTTACAATTGCATAAAAAAGAAAAAAACTGTTAGCTGTAATCGTCCTAAGGTGTAAGAAGAAATGTCTGATGTAATTGATAGCCGAGCAAAAACACATTCCTTTTCATAAACAAATAAAATTATATATATCTGGATGAAATCAAGCTGAGAGGGCGATATGTGAATCTCTAGCGAGTAGCAAACGTCAAAGTAATCCATGTATGTATAAATGGGCCCTTGGAATTATTAACCATAGCAAAAAAGTCAGTGTGTTTTGGAAGAAAAAAAATCAAAAATACACTCAACACTTAAAATTTAATTTAAAAAAAAAAAATCCGCATCAAAAATAAAATCGGTGTGGAAACATTAAGATTAGTTTTGATTCAGGCAGGCAAAATAAAATAATACTATCGTTGTGTCTTATTTGTATAAACACGTAAACACACACACACAAAGTACTAAGGAATTAAGATCAGTACTATACACACAAAACTCACTGGTGGATGTTGGATTTTTCGATTTGTACGATTTCCAAGTATAAGTACTTCTTCTATACACGAATGTATTTAATTAAATTTAAACAAAAGAAAGGAAAAAAAAACTCTCAATGCAAAAGTGACGGTTGTATTCCTGTCACATCAAAATTATAAAAACACACAAACACACACGCATATTCACAAAAGTTAATTTTTTCCAAAGAAAAATCAAATTAATCCAAGAACAGAGGAGCTTTGGCCGTAAATAAAATGTAATTACTGAGAGACTCATTATTCCCTCCTACCAATGGCAAAACTACAATGGTCATTGCACACCATGTTCAGTTTTGAGATAAAAAAAAATGTAATAAAAGCTGCCGCTGGTTCCTCTGTTCTTTGCCGCTGTATTTGCAAAACAACAAAAACCACCGCCTGGGCAGACGGCTCGCGAATTTATCGACCGAGGTGCTTCTTCTTCTTCTTCGTATATAATCCTTTGACCGCATAAAAAGTCGCTTTGATTGATTTCGCCTCGCGCTCTGATCGGCTTTGATTTCTTTTCGGTGTAATTTCGCAGTGATCTTGATGGCCATTGTAATTTTCCCTTCAGCAGTAATAAAATTGATGTAAGAGTTATATAATCTCAACGGCTTTTATTTTGTACATCCAATTCCACACACAACAATCTCGTTTGATAAATTACAAAATTCTTTAATAATATTACAAAAATTACTCACGGTTTGATTTAAATCTCTCTCACAACAAAATAAAGCATCTTGCGGTTTTGGCCCCACAAATAATACTGAATAATAATAAATGCGCCTACATCTTTGAGAAAAGCAGGATGTGGAAAAAATAAATAATTTCAACCAAATTAAATTTAAGAAGTTCTAATGAGCAAATAAAATTTCAATTTTCAACGAGAAAATAGACATTAAATTATTCCAAACACCTAATACGATTTAAGAAATTAAGTCACCCTTGAAAATGGCAAGAAGCTGGGCAATAATGGTACTATGTAATGGACGGTATTTTTAGGATGAGTTGAGTTGAAAGTCTCCAATATAACAGTTTATGTAATTAATTTTTTCATTACCTAATTTAAAACTGATAAATATTCATACTTTGTTAAAAAATGCAATCAAATCAAAAGTATACCTGACTGTATATATTTTAAAAGGCGAACTGCTTTAACTTTTGAAATTCTTTTTTTGATGCTAATATTAATAAAAAAAACAAAAAATCTTTTCATTAAATTTTATTTATTTAAGTAAAAGGTAATAATTTACTGATTATATTATATGAATGGTCTGCAAAGGATCTCAATTTTTGGGAATCGATTTTATAATAAAAAATAAAATTTATAATTTTTTAACTCTTTAGAGCCAAAACTTTTCTTCGATCCTTGATTAGCCATGTTAAAAAATATTTGATTTTGTATAGATTTTTCTTTTAATTTGCTTGGTGAATTTAGAAAAAAAAACTGTTCCTTGATTGTGAATTTAAACAAACAGAAATTAAAATTGGAGACTTTCAATCAGATATCTAAGAATAAACAACACATTTTGAAGCAAATAATGTTCTCCGTAATAATTATTAATAAAACTGAACACGAATGATGATTGTAAGGTCAGCACCAGTTTTCTCTGGCGTCAAAGTTGGTCATGTGCTGGTTGTGGTACTGCGCCCCTGTAGGCAACACACACGACGAAGGGGCCGAATGGTCCTTGACCCACTGCACGGACGGCTCGGAGCGAACGGCGACCACATTCTTGTGCGGCCGCTTGGACGGTTTCCTCGGGGCGACCGGGTCAGGTGAGTCGATGCCCTGCTGCAGACTGGTGGCCCTGAGGAGGCTCAGCCGTTGCGGCTTCTTGGGCGGCGCCGGTTTGAACTTGTTTACGTCGAGGGATCGCGTGCTGCGGCTGTCGCTGTCCTCCTCCTGCCACCGGTTCCTCGGCCTGTCCGGCGACTGACCCTTGGCCAGGACGGAGATCTCGCGGCCGTTTGACACGATTTTGGTCGTGTGCGATCCTTTCTGGAAAACGTGCACTTCCTTTTTGCCGCGCTGCTGGTTCAAAACTTGATTCGGCGTCGGTGGCTTCGGAGTTTCCGAAATCAGGTCGGACACTTGTTCCTCCAGGTAGGAGATCCGGTGCGACAGCCGCAGGTTCTCCGCGCGCAGAAAGTCGCGTTCCTGTTTCGCGCGCTCCACGCTGGGTTTTCGAAATTTGTCCGGCTCGTCGTTATAGGATTCTGATTCGTCCGCCGGTGACTCGGGAGGTTTGTGTTGAGGCGCGATCGGACTGGAGCGCAGAACGACGAGGCGAAGTTGAGTGATGTTGCCGGACTTCAGCAGGTTGTTGAACGCGTCCTGCTTCATTTTTATCAGCAGCTGCCCATTTGCTTCAATTATCCTGGAAATATTTACAAAGAAAATGGATTTATGTTAAAAATATCAAATAAACCAAAAAATGCCGGGTTTATAAAACAACAGTACAGCATTTTTTATAACATTTAATTTTACAAAAATAGTTTTAATTTTTAAGGAAAAAATCTAGTGCTGAGAAAACCGCGAGAAACAGTGTTACCCTTTTTAATACAAATTGATTTTATGTGATAAAAATATTTTATTTTATATTCTCAAATTATTATTACAAAATTGAGTACATAAAGAAGATATTGATAAGAATTTTTGTTTCAAGCAACCAATTAATTATTAAATATTTTTATTTTACTTTTACCTCCAGCCTCCAATATTGAAATAAAAACTACCATTTAAAAATCACCCAATTTCAGATAAAATTGCTTAAATACAAAAACTTGTTGATTCGGAAAATAATCAGCAATGTTACACTTGTTTTTAAAAATTTCTGAGCGCAGCCAGCCTTTATGCTTTGTATAATTATAAAAAAATATTAAATTAAAATTAAATTTCCAAAGATGATCAAGATATAAAAAATTGCAAATTTATATAGCCTTTTTACTAGAAAATCGCAAATTACAATTTCCAAATAATTATTGGGTATCTTGAATTTTTTAGGGAAAATTTTTATTTGATTCATACAATTACAATTATATCTGTAATTTAAGGAAAAAATTACAGATTATATTTTCATTCTGAGTTGAATTGAGTAGAATCAACAATAATAAAAAAAACTGAAACAATTTTAATATACCTGTCATTAGGTTTGAGTCCGCAATCCTCCTTAGCCCACTCAACGGCAGCAATTCCCGGCGGAATCATTTGCTCCGAAATGCCGAAAGCCGGGTTGCACGGGTCGAAAAGAATTGTGACGGGCAAAAGAACCGCCTGCATGCTCAGTGGGTTCGGAATCGCCGCCGACACGACGCTGTAAGGACAAAAAAGTTGTTGCACACATTTTTTGTTTTAATGTCACACTCGTCCATACCCAAATAATGTCATGTGGTTGGTGGTCTGCGGTATTATTTGGACGGCGGCAGGTTGCGTGGTTCCGATTTCCAGTCTGGTGGTCACGTTTCTCAGCTCCTCTGTCAGCGACATCAGGTTCAGTTCTTCTCTGCCCAGCTGGAATTCCACCTCGGCTTGCCGTATCCGCACGTCTATGTTGCTAAAAATATAACAATTTTTTTGTTAAATCAGCAAAAAAAATTATTATTTTTAACTATCATACTCTGTGATATCCAACTGATCCAAAGTGGATTTGAGGTTTTTCACAGCGATTCTTTTGCCTTCGATCTCTTGTTTCAATTTGGCCACTCGGTTTTCCAGGATTTTTCTCTCGGTGGGGCTCACGGGGGTGAGCGATTTGCTTTCCAGTCTTAAATTCATCCCTTTACTCAAACTGTTTATGCTCGCAGGACCGAGTTTATTCTTCAAACTGACAATAAAAAGTTGCGAAAAAAAATTATTTTTTTTAATAATACTTCTTATTTTCTTAAATTAATTCATTTTTGTTAGTTAAATTTGCTGCTTGGGAGGAATAAAATTTTCATAAGTAAATAAATTTATTTTGTAGTTTAAATAAAAATCAAATAAATTACAATTTAATGCAACTCAAAAGCTCACATTTAGTAAATTATCAAATTTATATTTTTTTACAAACACTTAAAATACATTATTGTTATATTTAAATAATTTTAAATAAAAATAAATGCTATTTTTTTTAATTAGTGCAAAACTTTCAATTGAAATATGACAAAAAAAATTGCACATACCTTTGAATCACATTTTCCTTATCACTCAAAGAATTATTATTCCTACTCGGCTCTATAATTTCTCTAGGTGATGAAACTACTTCGATTCTAGTGGGCTGCGAAGGGGACGACCGGACACTCAGCATAGAAACGGGTGAAGGTGCGATACGGGGGGTGGGCGAGGGGGCCATTCTTTTCGTCCTTCTTATCCCCGTCCCCGTCGGGGTAAGGGAGGTCGAGCTCAGGGAAACTTCTATACTTGCCATCTGTATAAAAAAATTAAATCATTTTGTTTTTTGAGCGTCTTGTTGTTTTTCTTTATTAAGAAAGAAAAGAAAAACATTTTCAACTGGAAAATTTTCCATCCAAATGAAAATAAAAAATAAATAATTCATCAGACTGACTTGGCTTAAATTTCCTCTGTTCTTTATGGAGAAAAAAATAAGTACAATTAACAATTGATGTATTTATACCTTGGCCTCCAAAGTCTCCAACTGCGCCATTCGAGGCTGAAGCAGCGCAGAACTGCTCGCCGATAACTGACCGAGCGAATTGTTGAGTGTGGTCTTTGAAATCAAACAAAACGCGCAAGAGTTAGACGAGAAAAAAATCAGCTCTGGGTAAAAATAAATTAAAGTTCCTCACCAAGGACACTGATCGTTGTTTGATCGGAGTTGAAACGTTGATCTGCGGTGAAGCCCATTGAGGAAGTTCGGTGGTGCTCTCACCACCGTCGTCCGTGTAGGTCGAATAGTCATGGACGCTCCTCTTTTTAGAGAGTCTGCAAATTATTAAGTAGAAATTAAATAGAATTTAAAAACAATTCCAAGTTTCTTCAATTGCAGCCTGTATTAAAATTAAGTTTCAAAAGCCCTTACATTTAAATAATTAGCGAGAAATGAGTTATGATATATTTAAAAAATTTTAATAAATAATCAATTATTATTTTTTTATGTAATAAATTTAAGAAAAAAAAATTTTTATTGATGTTCCTCGTGAATTTGAAATTTGATTATTAATGTTGTTTATTTTTTACAATCATATGTCCAATCACATAATTGTTGATGCTTACATTCAATTTTTGAAAACCATTAGTAAAAGTAAAAGACAATAAAATTGTAGGCGGTGATTCATTTGACATTTTGATAAACTGAACGAAACTGAATAAAAAGTAAGTTTAAATAATTAAAAAATTAAATTTTTGTTAATTTAAATGTTTTTATTTTTTTTTTGCAAATTTTTATATATCATATTTCTGTTCCAAATGAACACTAAATATTTTTTTGCATCTTCTCAAGAGCGGTGCCCATACAAATAGTGTGAATACGGCGCGTTAAAAGTGGCATGTATAAAAATTGCGAGCGAGAGAAAAGCGATTTACGAACCTGTGGGCCTTGTAGCGTCTCCTCATGTGTCCTCCTTCGCTCAGCTTGGTCGGACTCGGCGCACTCAGAATTTCCATGTCGCTGAGGTACTGCTGCGGAGGGTCCTCGCTCGTTGGCATCGCGTCCCAATTTATTTATTTATTTTTCGCAATCTGCGTCAACATTATATATTTGTATATTTAGAAGCGAGCGAGAAAAACTAGTCCGCTCTTATCGCGAGCGGGCACAGAAATGCGAAAAATAAAAGGAAGGTCGGCGCTGCGCACCGGAGCGAGCGAGACCGAACGAACAATGAGAGCGACCAGAGTAAAGAATTAAGACAGACGGCTCGTAAAATTAACGAAGCGAACGCGAGAGGAAATTAATCTTTTAGCGGGTCACTGAATATATTTTTCAAAAATTGTAATTATCCGGTTGAATTACTTTTTGCGTGTAAATGAATGATTAAAGCAGACGTTCGTTATTGAGCGACTCTCTCTAATGCAATTTATTAAGGGTGGGAAAAAGCAAACAATGTGTTTTCGTACACAAAGCTGACCTCGAACGGTTTGAAGAGAGAAGGAGAGCAATTTCGGCAGTTGTAAAAATTGGTCCGTAACAATAAAAGCACGCAGAGAGAAAAAGACACGCGAGCAAAATGTTTCATATTCTCACAAATTTTATTTTCAAAAAACTTTCCTTCCTATGAATATAAAACAGGCTCTCGTATTTCAGTTTTTATCCTTTTTTAATGAGCAGCCGTAAAAAATTCGCACAAAGAAAATAGTGTCGTAAATTAGCGGGATGTAAAGAAGTTGTAACGTGTCGGGGCGTCGCGAGTGGAGATGCTAATGAGCAACCGATGAATTTTTATCAGATCGCACACATCTCGCCGCAGATAAATACACCGCAGAAGTTACTTACACATCTCATTATATTTGAAATCAAACAACTTATACTGGACGCGACTTTTTGCTCCCGTTTTGTCGCCCGCGGCGCGAATTCCTCTCGTCACATTATCCGGAATTCCTGACAACTTTTTTCATATAATAAGTGAGAAATTAACGACCATTTATTATATTTGCTCTGGCATCTCTTTCTCTACCTGCTCCGTTAATTGGACCGCACAAATATTTGAGGAGAAGGGTCTCGAAAAATTAAACGCTCTCGGATGAAATAAAAATACACTAATTTAAAAGCCGAAAATGGTCATTAGTAATTTTACCTGTGATCTCGGTGCGTCCGAAATTGGCAATTGTCGCGGCGGAGGCGCTGAATTTTAATTGCGACGCTCGTTTCGTGCGTCGAATAGTTAATTTTCCTCCATTTCCGAGAGCAACCTCTCACTCGTACTCTCAGGTAAACAACAGGTAGTGTCAAAAGTGCGAGAGGAGAGGCGAGCCGAACCTAGCCGACCTCCCACTCCACCTTTTGCCTACCTGAACCTTTTGAAGGCGGCCGATTATCTGACCTTGCCACCCAGCTCCTCTCATTCCCCGACTCTCTCCGCTCGGCCACCAGACTCCGGAATCTCTCATTTTATTATTATATATTTATGTGTTGCGTTTATTTCTTGTTTGGACGGTCGGCATGGCGCACGCTAAGCTTAGATAGATCGCGAGTTTGAAACACGCCATGCAATATAAGCGCTTCGCATACACTTTTCATTTTTTGTTTGAGATCTCGGAGGAGAGTGAACACGAAAACCTGCTCTCTGAAGCAAAAACGCAAAGAGAGTCAAGAAGTTGAAGATTATAAGAAATTTCCTTTCTGGGAAATCAATTGAAATTCCTAAGAGAGCAAAAAATACAAGGAATCTTTTTTATTTAAATTATATTACTGACTTGAGAGCATAAAATTATTTTTAACAAAAATATAAATTAGTTTTTAGTTGTAAAATTTATAGTAATTATTTCACTTCAAAGAATGTTTGTATAATAAAAAACTAAAATATTTAAACAAGACAAAAATTTAAAAAAAAAATATACAAAACAATGTTTGTTTAAATTTTTCAATTTATTTTAACAATTAATTATTGCTGTAATTTATTTCTTATTAAATATTAAAAATTTATTTACCAATTAAAAGTGAAAATCTTTGATAAATATTTCTGATGACACAAATTTAAAGGATTGCGAAACATTAAAATGAAACTCGTAGTTGAATTGCAGCCTTAGCAAATCTGAGATGTGTTTTTCTACATCTGAAGTCTGATTTATTGATAGATTTTTTTTCGTCGCTGAACATATGATTTGAAACTATTTCCTTTCTTCTCCCTATTGACTAGAAATTAAAATTTTCGCACACCACCAACATAGAATAAAGTTGTAGACTGTAGAGACTAACCTATCATAATATGATAATACACCTATTACGGAAAATATGGCCTATTTCTCGATGCAAATGAGGGGATGTTACCCTACGGTTCTATCAATTACCATACATAATAATCATGTTTACAAAAAATAAAAGCGTCGTCCGCGCCGCCATGGTTCGGGGCCGGCACTTGTAGAATGTGCAAAAGAGATTTTCTGTTTCGTCAGCTGCACAAGGAACAGCTGCTCGGAATAATTAATTGTATTGTTCTCATGTAAAAATGCTACCAAATATATCGTCGAATACAAAAGACAAAGGCATTTGGCGTGATATTGATCCCTAGAAAAATCATTCTACTACTGATGTGAATACCCTGCACATTTAGCTGCGTTGATTTGTAGCCGGCAAACCGGGAATGATGTTGCGCAGCTCACCGCTGACGTAGCACTGCAAAAATTGGTATAAAATGCCAGCCTGAGCCATGACGTCCACGGTGCCGGCAGCAAGGGGGTCTCGGTGGTGGGCATTTGTGTTGGAGCACGGCCGAAGGAGGGTTGGTCCGAAGACAGTTGCCAAATTATGCAACGACATCTTATTCACATGCTCTTGCTGGTTGATTCTGAAGTAAAATATCAGCATTTATAATCCAAACTCAAATTTCAAATTTGTTTTAATCATTCCTTATGAGCATTTTGAGGAAAAATATAGTTTAGAACTTACTTTGACATATGAGCCAGAAGAAAGAGGATGATTTGCTGATTCTGCGATGAGAGCTGTCTGAACATTGTGAGAAGGTTTTGTCGTTTCGAGCTGGAATCCATTTCGGAATTGTTGATGATGTCGAAGAGTTTTGGATACAGGGCGTCCGTAAACAAAGCTTCAGGCAGCTCTCGTAGATAGAGCTTCAGAATTCCAGTCACAGAATGGATGTCAACTTCCTTCAAAAGCTGTTCAGCTTCATACGAGTCTGGTGAAAAACTTAAATAAATAAACGAAAAATAGATAATTTCAAGCATTTACTTGTCTCAAATGACTTCTTCAGTTTGCTGAGGTCTGACGCTGAGCCCGAAACTCGGTAAATGCCGATCTCGTCCATTCCTCGGCGCTCAACTTCACGAACACAGCTGGTAATAATAAATGGCACAGGACGTTTTTGTCGTCTAGAAATAAAAAGAAAAATAATAATTTGTGAATTAAGAGAAAAGATTATTATTCTCACTTGCAAACTTGCTGGATTTTGGCTCCGAAGAGCCCTGAAACTTTGGCTGTTGGCACTCGGCGCAGTGTCTCTTCACTCGGGACAAATCGAACCATCAAGTCCAACTCGTAACTTTGCATCGATACAGTTCTCAAAGAGGACTGACGACCAAGCCAGGAATGGCTCAACTAAAATGAAAAAACATTTATTACAACAAATACAATGTATAGAAAACTAAAATACCATTTGAGTAGCTTTTCCTCTCAAAACTGCCCGAGGTCCTGTTTCTTCATAGAGTAATACTCTCAAGTTTTGTGACCCCTCCAACTCAACGACAAACTCCTCATCCCAAACTGGAGCAGCAGATCCACAAACAAGCTTTGTTCTTGCCTTTAAAAATAGAGGGGAAATTTAATTTTGTTCTTTCAAAATAAATTTAAATTCACCTTTTTGAAATAATGGCCGTAGCTGTCAACTTCAAGGCAAACTGTAAGATTGGCAGGCGCTTCTAAACCACGAAGTCGACAAACCTTGACGTGCAGATCACCCAAAAGCAAACTCTCGTCTCGACCTGACCTCAACAAATAAGAGCCCATGTCTGTTTTTAAGAAGGTCCGACAAGCTGTGATCCAAGCTTGCAGCTCATTCATGCCCACTGGTGCACTTGGCCCAGGAAACTGGCTTGTCTGTTAAAAAAGGAATAATTAACAAAGTTCAAATATTTTTTACTTGTTTATATATTCTACCTGCATGGCCTGAATTGCATCTATCCACTGAGTGCGTTCAAACTCCGATGACAAGAAGAAGGTGTAAGATCGTTGGTTTCTCTGGCCTACTCTGAACACCAAATTTGGTGATGCCAAAACAAGCTGAGCTTCCAAATCGGCAAGTTTCTTCCGCTGCTTTTCAGCTCTAGAACCGTGTCTCTGTAAAAAACAATAATAGATTAACTGACATTTTCAAAAAATGTTGATCTACTTTGAGATCCAGCTGCCTCTCCTGCCACAAAATCTGGTCCCGCACTGTGCAAGCTGCCGACTTGAGTGCAACAATGCTGGGAGGAGAAACTTCTTTGGGTTCGGCAGCGAACTCGTCGTATACTACAATGTCATTCAGGGCTATGTACCACTTGAGCTCGAATGTGAATTTGTCACGTCCACTGGCCTGTTAAATCGTAAAAGTAGTATCGAAACTTCTAAGCAATTAATGAAAATTTACCTTGTACTTAGCACATGCAATAACATCGTTGAACAGGAACAGGTGTCTCAGCTTTCGATGACCATCAGCCAACTCGACAATAAATGAATTTTTCACCAATCTTCTCTGCGCTCGATCTGCAGACTACAGAATTCAAATTTAGAAAATTTTCAACAATATGTGAAGAAATACGTACTGGAAACATGGACTTGGTCTGGATCATGTTAAATTCGTCAAGGAATGACTGGTTCATGGCGAGCGCCTCTCCCAGCGTTTGGTAGTCAGGGTGCGTTTCTGGCGTGTACTTGATCAGATCGTTGAGCACCAGGGTGTTTTTCTGAATGCGGGCGACGGGCTTGTGAAGAAGATCTTCCAGAGACACTTTCTGCTCATTCATCTTGCCCCTCTCAGTCCTGACAGGAATGCTGTGCATGATTTGAGCAAACTGCGAGCTGCTCTGGCTGCACTTGCGGACAGCGTCAGTGGCGCGGCCGTAGTTGTGCAGAAAAGCACCATATTCATTTATTTGAAGGGCCTGCTCGGGAATAAACAATAAAATTTTATATAATCATTTCTACCAAAATCTTACAAGATTTTTGAATTGGTCTCCAACACTAGAAATTTCCATATCGGACTCGTACGAGCGTTTCAGGCTGTCCAGGAATTTCCTATGCATGTTGTAAAGTTCAGGCACTTTGAAAAAGATGGTGTTGAAATCGCCCTGCGAGATCACTGGCTGTGAAGTCCCCAAAGTTGCTTTCACCGCCTTCATGTACTGGAGAGAGAAACATTCATAATTTAATTAATGGTTCGGATGATTTTCACCTCTTTTACCTGATATAAAGCACCCAGTCCACCAAGGAATGCAGTTTCACTTTCAATTATGTTCGCAATGATGCACTTTCTGGTTGAAGACTTCTCATTGGAAATGCTCGAGCGAGTTGCCGTTGACGCTTCACTGCTCGACCCCTGCTCATCAAACAATAACAATCAGTTTCACCATTTCACTTTTACAGTTTGCTTCAATTGATCGAGCAATAATCACCTTTGATTCTGGACGCCAGTTGCTGGAAGAAACAATGTCCAGTGAAGAGTTGCTGGCGTATTTGTCCCTGCCATCCTCAACATCCGTGTCATGTGATATTGTCCTCATCAGAGGTGGCACGTCTTCGTCAGACTCGGCGGAATCGTTTCGTCTGCTGCCTCCTGTGCCGGTTCTCTCAACAGCCTCAGCATTATTGTGCCTGAAAATATAATTTTTACACTGTTCTATAAACACAAAATTTGAATAATTTACTTGATGAAATAGTCTATGTTGACATAATTGGAGATACACGGAGAGCCAGGACTTGAGGTCAAAATACCGGGGTCGGTGTCGGTGGTTCCTGTTTCTGAGCTGCCAACGCTGGTGCCGGACGCTCTTGACTTCATTGTGGCCTCTCCGTCCAAGTCACTCATGCTGCCTCCACTTTCGTGGCCCTTCTTGTCCAGACCAGCGGCCAAGGTGGTCAGGTATACGTAGTCGCCCTCGGCGTCCATAGGGACTTGGTCATACAGGGGCTCATCAGCACTCACAGATTTACTATGCAAATTAATTTAAAATTAATAAAAACATAAATTTGTAGAGAAAAAAATTAAAGATTGTAAAATAAACTCCGTTATTATAATGTAAAAAAGTATCTATCAATCATGCCATGCATTTTTTTTTTTTTTTTTTTTTTTTAAATTATCAATCTCAATTTTGCAAGATCCCATTTCGCCAATCGCATCAGATTAAATTTACTTCAAACTTCAAATATAACAAGCAGTGACCAACCCATCTAACTAAGAGACTAATTGTACACTTCCAATGAGTCATGAATCACTTCATAAATGTTTGCGTGCAATCAATAAAGATAAGGGAAAACCCAATCTCCCCTTTCTAAACTCTTTAAAAATCTTTTTGAGGCCGCTGAGCTTTAATTTTATTACCTTGAGCTGCCATCGTCTTCATCTTTTACGGAGGCCGCAATCAAATCTGCTGCCTCCACAAGCTGCCTCACAGTTGCTTCCTCTTCAGTCTCCTCCTCATTTGGAATATTTCCTTCTACATCAGCCTCCTCCTTAATTTTGGCTGTCTCTGTAAAATTTATATGTTGAGTTAAATAGCTGAATAAATAATTTAAGATGATATAGGGAGGAAATTTGAAAAATTTTGGTAAAATTATTTAACAATTTCATATCGAGTCTTAGCCATTGAAGACGGTTAACTTTTATTTAAAACATCTTTAATGTTGGAAAAAAATAAAAATTGAAATTTGTATGCAATTCAAGTTGATTAAAAACCCCACCAGCTGCCTTTGTCTCGACTTCTGGTTTCCGCTCCGCAATTTGGTTCACATTGATGTCGCTGTTGTCCCTCCTGAGCTGGAATGTCTTTGGTGGCGGTTTGGGTGGCACCTTCTTTGGCTTCTCGGACTCGACGACACTGTGGGCCTTCTTCAGGGCCCGCATGTCCCCTTCGTTGACTTCGATGACGGTGACGTAGTGCGAGGCGTCCGACATGGAGCGGCCCTTGACCAGCTCGTTGACAGCCTCGTCGGGCTCTTCGTCGCCGACCGCCCCGTTCTCGATCTTGGCCAGCGTCCTGGACAGCTCGTTGATGATCTTGAGGGCCGCGTCCTCGTGCAGGGGGCTGCTGGGCGGCTGCCGTTCTCCGACATCTTCCGTCGGCGACTGGTCCTGCCCGTTCTGCTCGAGTTTCTCCTGCAGCAGCTGCTCCAGGTACTCGACGTACGTCTTCTCGCGGTCCAACTCCTCCTGCAGCACCCGCACCTTCTGCTTGTGTTTACTCAGGTTGGCTCGGACGTCGGCCACCCAGTCCGAGGGCAGTTCGCTGCCCGGGAACCTTTGGTCCCACACCTTGAGGAAATCACCGAATACGCTCATTTTCAGGTGACGGCCGTCTGGTCATTTCACCGTCCGACCTTCATCGCGTCACACAACCACGGAAAAGGTCTTTAACTGATAACAGCAACCTTTAGACGATTGTTTTGCTGGAATTCTTTTTGTCTTTTCTTCTTCCTGAATCACTTCACTTGTTATTGCGTTTCGCTGTCTGCCGACCTGACGCTGCAGTCGCTCGAGCGCTGATTGGCTGGTGGAAACGGATTGAGAAATTTTGCTACCAAAACCGCGAATTCTTTATTTATGTAGCGAATTTCGTGTATACACAAAATTGCTTTAATAAAAGATTTATATTATATTAGTAGTATTATTGTCAAGTTGAGGTTGGCTGATTGCAGAACTTCAAAGTTAAAAAATAAATATACAGCAAAACTCAATGTTTTTTAGTTCAAGCTTTATTACAAATATTAAGTTTATTGGAAAAATTGCCTGAACAACTCGCATTTCCGCATTTTGCAGGAATCTTGAAAGAGACAGTCTCTTTTGAAAATAACAATTATATCGCCAAATTCTAAGCAGCCATATGACCGGTTTTATTGCATTTTTCACCCATATTTTGATAAATTCCTCACAATTCAAGATTAAATTGGAATTATGTTTTATCTAAACTTCCTCTTATAATTAAGCCAATGAAAAAATCTTTTCAAAGCTCGCAAACTGTAAATAGGCGTTGTAACACCAGAGAAGCGAGACAAAAATATTTATACTAATTTAAATAATAAAGTTAAAAAATATATATCTTTGAATCCTTTAGGACGCTATAGGAAAAGCTTCATAATTAATAAATAGGGTTTTAGATTAATTTCTGGAAAAAATATGCTTGATGTGGTTTAAGTTTTACTAAAAAAATTATAAATTTATTGCAAGCAAATTCTCTAATTTGCATACTCATTGACGATAATATTTTCATACAGAATGCATGTAAAATTACGCATGCTGTGTGAATAGAGAAATAAATTATCAATCATGAATTCACAATTTTACAATTTTTAAATTTCATTTTCAATAAGCCAGCTGCTGTTTGCTAAACTGCATCACCACTGGTTTGTCGGGCTTGGCCTCTCGTTTTGGGTCTTCGGAGTGCTCGACGCACGGCACTTGCACAATATTAAAATAAATGTTGCCCATCACGTCGGCGGTGGAGCTGTTTAAGTCCTTGAGACATCTGAAGAATGCACTATCACAATCGCAATGGGACCTGCAATGGCCAGAGAACAATTAGTATTATAGGCAGAAGGAGTTGCTCAAGCTTTATAATTTGCAAATAGGTGTGTGGTGGGTGACATAACACCTTTGGCACTCGGGTTGACAGCCTTTAATTATTGCAAGAAAAAAGAAACTTGACGCTTGAATGGGGTTTCTCGGCCAATCGACGGGTAATCACTTACTTTGAATAAATAGAATTGTTTGTGATGGTGTATTTTGTCTGGTAAGATCTGAGCTTGATGGGGCAAAGGTCGTGCGCCCGACAGCACCTGTCCAAGTCAGTCTCAAATCCAAGATCATAGTAAGTAGCAGCAATGTCTCCTGTTCCGCACCATTTTGTACCTTCAGCAAACAATTTATTTTTGAGTAGAGGAATAAAAAAAAATGTTTAAAATTTCTTAATTGCAGGTGTTAAAAAAAATTAATAATTGGTTCAGATTTACAAACCGTTATAAAAATAACTATATTTTTAATTAATAATTTGCATACTAAATTTAAAATATAATATTAAATTTATCAAAAAACAAAAAAGAATTACCAGGCACAATTCCACTGAATATGGCAACGGGATTGCTGAAAGCGTTGGTCAAAAGGTTTCTTGGCACCCGTCGAGCGTTTCGACTGATCTGTCTCGCCTCTGGTTGCTGTTCCAGGGTTGGCGTCGTCAGTTGATGGCAACTGTCCATCAAGCCCATCATTTCTTCAAAGTTGATCTCGATCGCCCTTTTCACTTTGGAGACGTTCCTCATCATGGACTGCGCCAAGTTCAGGTCGTTCGGCTCGCTGAAAAAATTTTAAGATGAAATTTTATAAAATAAAGAGCATGTAATTAGGACATATGCCGGATTATTGGGCGACAGAGAAATTATTCTGACTATATATATCACTGCGGTTTATTTGCACAAGTAATTATTTCCATGCTAATGAGGCTGTATCATCATGGAGAAAATGAGCCTGTTTGCTAGGTCACTTCTGGTGGTGCAAATTGAGAGAAAGTCTCAAACTCACTTGACATTCAATCCGGCTGGTGGCGAATTTATTTGATACTCCTAGGTTTATTTAATACTTTTGATCTATAGCATGTAATTCTAGATATCAAGAATAATCACTTTTCTCAAGGAAGAAAGAAAAATTAAAGTTTAATTCTAAAATTAAATAATTCAGAGTAAAAATCATGGAACTTTTAACATCTTCCTGTTTTGCGCAAACAATTTCGTCACTTTTCGTGGAACATAAAAAAAGATTATTAGCTTAAAACGAAAGTGAAAGCTATAATTCTGCAGGCACTACTTTTACATTATACCGCAAGTATGCTCCTTCGTCGGGTCAGGTCGATCAATCAATTCATTATTAAATAAAAAAATCAGGGAGCGACATTCACACTCGTCGTCATTAACAAAGATATTGCAGCACATAAAAGAAACGCATCCACCAAACCACAAAGTAGCGGCAGAAATCAATTAAAAAGCGCGACCTGCCTTTTGAGCTGGGAATAAAACAATCGAGTGCCGCGGTCGGATTTCACGAAAAAAGAAACCTGCTTCTGCTGCCGAGATCAACTTGCGTATCAAATCTCGGTGCGTGCAACAAGAAAGAATTTATCTGTAAAAGGAGCACCTTTGAAGAACATCACTTACAATTAGTACAAAAATAAAATGTTGAGAGAATCCGTGTTAAGGCTACTTTGAGCGCGTTCAATTTTCCCCGTGAATAAGTATTATGGCGCACTCAATGGCGCTTATAATATCTACGTTATTTTTATGCCCACAAGGCATAAAATACAGAATAATTAATTGACGCGTACACACAATGATGCGTACAAATAAAATCCCTCTCAAGATCACTGTCAAGAATTATTAATTTTTCCATAGAAACGGGATAATGACTAATAATTTATAATGTACGTATTAAAATTGCAACAAAACGTGCTTGGAATTTGTGATTTAACTAATAAAAAATGTTATGAAGAGCAGAAAGATTCTAGAAAATCCAGTTTTTTCTTCTTCGTCTCATTCAAATGACATAATTGATAAGAGACGCAGTGTAGCGCGTAATATTTATTGCATGCATCAACTATATTACAATATGCTGTTTATATTTTCATATTAAAATATTTAAAATAATAAATATTGACAAAATTTATTTCTAGCTGTCCCCTCACATGCAATATAATTATGTAAAATATTTATGTATTTTGATACAAGTATCACAAGAAAATATATTTTTAAATTTTTTTTTATAAAACCAGTTTAAATTTGCAGATAAAACACTATCAATTTCGTGTTATTAAATTTCAATAGTAATAAATTTAAAAGTAAACTAACTTTTTGCGCAAATTGTAACCCCGTCCTCCGTCTCGCTGCTTACAGCAAGAAAAAAAATGCTGAGAAGTATGAATAAATTATTTTTTAACCTCATATTGTAGCGCTTTTTATCTTTAAAGTTTTTGCAAAATCTTTGTTAATGGTATAAACTTTTTGATAAAGACCAAGGTTCCTTCTTCAAAAAAAAAAAAAAAAAAAAATACTTTCTTCGTGGAAATTTTTCTACAAACTGAACTCTGAACAAATAAACAACAATAATAAGATCATTTTATTTCCCTTGCACGAATTTAGTATGAGATTAGAATTTTCAAATAAAATAATAAAACGAAAATTCACAATGGAAGTTTAAATATAAATTTGCAATTCCGGCCACAGGTAATTTTAAAATTTACAGTAAAAATAATAAGAATCTTCGAGAAGAATCTGATGATAGAGATATCGACACACATATTAGGTGAAACTAATACCGAAAGCGTTTTGTTAGGTCAAGGACCTAAGATATACCCCTGCATATAAAAATATTTTTTATTGTTCTGAAGAGCAGACAACAATATTCAACTTTTTTAACAATGCGTTTTCCCTTCTCAAAAGGAACTAATGAAATATTTACTTCCTAACTTTTGTCAATTTTAACCTGGCCCATTAAATTATCCCAATTTTTTAACAAATAGGGTATCATCATCTCCGGCACATTGTGTCAAACGGAAACGAGGTTGCGTTTTATAACTGATTATTAAATTAAATGACCATAAAGAAAATTATATACACAAATACCACATACAAAGTGTGCTGCGGCGTGTGTCTGTTTATAAATTTTATTATTGGCCTTTCGTAATTATTGTCACTGACCGCGAGGGGGTTCCGGTAAGCATCTCTCGCTATGCACCGAGAAATCTTTTTCAGATGAAGAAAAACACAAGAGAAAGTTTTTGTCGACGCGACCTGTGCGCTGCCGGAATCGTCAATTAACCAACTTGGCTCGTGACTCAATGCGGTAAAAATTATGCTGGGCGCTGATTTCAAGCAGGGCAAGCAGAGAAGAAATATATAGATAAAAAAAAATTAAGTCGCTTCAAGGTATTGCTAAATTTGGCCAGCCGAGCGTGTGGCGTGAAATCACCGATAAAATTCCGTGCGGTTTGAAACAAAATAATCTCTATACGAAAAGTATTGTTATCCCGAAAAAAAATCTGGTTTAATACAGTACAGCGGTTGTGACGGTCTTGAACTGTGTAATTGCAATTTTCACTCGGTGAATTACAAAAATAAAAAAATAAATAAAAAAGTAAGAATGATTTCATGAGGGTTTAGATTAAATTAATTTTTAAAACAAAATAAATTAAATTTAAAAAAATACGCTTCAGCCTTGCGGTCTTTTACTTGTGCGTCTTAATTTTATAATATTTATTTTTTTACGCAAACTGGGAAGCAAAATGATTCAGCGCATCGTGAGAGATGTACAGTGTAAAGAATTGCAATTTGCTTTTTAAGACGTCTCTCGTCATTACGTCTCGCCTCTTTCAAGGTTGGAAGTCTCATTGCCAAGGAAAAACCGCACGGTGCGCGGAGATTTGAATAAATTCAAATGAGAGAGCGAATAAATGGAACCGAGTTTTCTAGGGAAGGTTTTGTGTTTTCTCATTACCCATTCATCTCTCCTTTGCGATACGGATTTCAAATTACATGCGCATATACCTAAACTGGCACGAATCGAGAGCGGAAAGTCACGTCGTAATATTATGCATGCTTGAAGAAGTGATCGCGCGAGCCAAAATATTAGCGTTCTACTTACAGGGCTGAACTGCTAATCGCGCAAAATGACTCTCGCTAGCTCTTCCACTTAGTAACGGAGCACGCGTGTGTCCAGATTTTTTCTAATCTCTCTCGTTTTTATTTTAGTATTAAATTTTATTTCGCACAAAATAAGTGAGTAAATTAGAGATTTACTTGAATTGCTTAGAATGGTAAAAATGACGTTTTTAAACAGTATTCATAAATCTTGTGCTAAATTTTTGCTCCTAATAGTAAGTTTTAATGGTAAGCAAATCACTGCAAATCACCTTTGTTTGATTTGATCTCCTTTTACCTTTACAAGTAGCACAACTAATATGTGTTCTCAATAGATTATCAATAATTTTTAAACAGACACATTTCTTTAAAAATTTTGACACTTTAGAGGGCTAAAAATGTATATTATTTTTTGTTTGCGTAAATTTGAGTTTAAACATTTGATTTAAAATGAGACTAAACTTACTAAAGTTCGATTAGTTCGCAATTTCTCAGGGTGCGCCCTTTGCCGAGCTCAACGACCGCCAGAGTTTCCTCGTGCACGTACACAACGGTCAGTTCTGTCTTGTCTCCGTTGGGGCCTTCGGGCATTTGCAAACCGCTCCAACCCTTAAACCAACTCGTCTTGTCCGAGCGCCGCCACGGCAGGTAGTTTGCGAAGGGGCCGATGGCCTTTGGGGCGGCCGTCGTGGCCGCCAGGGACGAGCCGACCATCAACAGCAGGACGGCCAAAGTCAGGACGAGGCCGGGCACCACCCTCGGAAGGGGCAGCGCCCGGATGGAGGCCGGCTGGGGGCCGTTCATCAGAGGAGCCCGGAGTGGCTGCTGCGATGCCTCCGGAGGTGATCTTCAAACTGCCGCGACAACGGAGAACGCGCGGCGCACCAGCCGTGGTGGGAGAGCGACATCCTTTTTATATTCGATTTTTATTTAATCCTCTGGCCGGCGCACATTATGGCTCTCGCCAGGTGCGCGGACCTTCCAAAAGCCTTAAACCAGAATTTCGCGGTGAAAGAGCCATTTTTATTTTTAACAAGATGAATGATAGCCAAAGGCCAAATATAAAGGTGGCAGTCCAAGGATTTGTGCTTGGTTCGGCAGTGAATGGTGAAAAAAATCGGAGAGTGGTGAAAAATATTCTAAAATAGATAGAGAGGATTTCTTATGTAACCAAAAAAAAAGTATAAGGTTATGTTCATTTTTTACACACAAAAATTTGACTAGTTAAAATTTGAATGACTGAATTTACAATAAATAATAAATAAGTGTGTAGCTTCAAAAATTATGTCATTGAATGATTAGTGTACATTCACTTCCTGATAAGCATAACGGAAATAATAATAATAATGCTTGGAAATTTCTGTATTCAATTTGGCTTGTACAATTTATCTAAATATATATATCGTATTCATACATTTATTTTACAATGAAGTAAAAATTGTTTAAATTTAACAACCTTTAAATTAATAGACGACCAGATTGAAATTTATACCGATTGAAATTGATTTCCTTGAATTAAAAAAAAAAAAAAAATAGAGGTTTCCACAATAAAATGTTTTACTACCATCAAAGAATATTGAATTAAGTAAAATTTAGAGAAAAAATTGCAAATTAAAATATATTATTTTAACAATATATTTCAGGATTTCAAGATTAGTGAAGTATAATATATATAAGAAGGAAAACTTAAAAATGAGAAAAATAATACAAATAAACGTTATCTTGTTTTGAATTATTTTTAATAAATGATTATTTTTTTGCTGTCTAATTTTTATATTTGAAATGTATTTGCATTCCATTTTAAACAGAAGTAAATGAATAGAATGAATTCTAAAAAGAGTGCAACTAAACAGATCTTTAATTATTATCATTTATAGAAACAACAGTTTCATCTGCTTTCAATCATCCAGACTGAGATTAAAAAGTGGGGCTTCACAGCCCGTATCGTGCAAAGCCATAGGCTCTCTTTGTTCCAAAACAATTATAATAAAATAACGGAGGCGCGCCAGAATAAGTTTTTGATATTGATGTTTATCAGCATGGGGGATTGTTGAGTTTATAACAGGCGAAGCGTGCCTGTGCGACAGACGGACTGGCGCGCACTCGTGTTTTCTTCAGAGTTAAATGGTGTGGCAAATAAACTCATCGCGCGCGGACCGTTATAACAGGGACTATAATATAGGAGTGATCACTCCTACCTTTCTTGTTTTTTTTTTTTTTTTTTTTTCATTCTTTTGAGGACAGTGGTACGCTGACCGACTACAGCACCGACACAAAGCCGTCTCGCAGCTTATTCGCTGAAAACCAGAAAAATTAGAGCTAAAACACTTCAAGATTGAATAGCATGGCCGTTAAAATCAGCGTTTTCGCACCAATGACTTTGCCTTTAACAAATTCAATGAGTTCGGCTTTCATCAAATTATAATAAAACGGACGTCCCTGAACGAAAAGATCTTTTGATAATTGTGTTTGGAAAAGAAAACTTTGCTCTAGTTTTTTTCGTGTCCTCAGGACAATTATAGTTAACTCTTCGTTTATTTACTAGTGAAGAATAATATTATTCACATTCATTTACATTTCAATTTATACAGACACGGTTTGTGTGTGTGTGTGAAACGCTTACAGTTTTCTCTCCAACCTTTCTACGATCGTGGGCAAAACTATTCTTTACTTGTTGGCAGACTCGATTCTAGATAAATGCCACATTTGGAGCTACTATCAAAATTTATGCCGTGAGATTTTTCCTCAATATGTGTCAAATTTGCAAGTAGCTGGATTTTTGCCAACAAGAATGTGTAATTTTGCCCTCGATCATTTGCTCTACATAATACTTAAAATTGAAAACTGGCGTGCAATCGTTCATTGTGTTTCTTGACGGTATCTTTGAGATTTTCGAAGCAAAATATAGATTTGAATTTTCACTCAATGAACATACAAAAAAGGGAAAACATAATTGGCAGGTTCAAAATGACAAAGGAACACTAAAACTGAGGTGTGTTTAAGTGTGTGTAAAAAGATCCAAGTAAAATAGAAAGTTAATATCAAAATAAAAGCACATTCCTCATCACATCTGAGTCATATAAATTGTAATATCAAAAAGAACTTAGTCCGTATGTACATAGATATAAATCAATGCTTTTGCGCTCCTTAAATCACCCTGAACCAGACCTATTCCACTTTCATGGGGGGCAGACTAGACAGCGAGGATAACCCAATTTTCTAGGCAAGAGCTAAGTGAAACAGGAGGCAGTTGAATCAATACTTAAAGTATACAAAAATTTTGTCAAACCAAATATAACATACAATGCACTGCTGACAAATGCCCTGATTAAGAAGTGCATTAGAATTTATATAAATTGCAAAACTTGTACAGGTTGGCCCATAAGTAGTCCGTGATCTTTGAAAGCTCGCCACGGGCGAACCGTTGGTCGAATTTGAAAAATCTGCACAGATTCTGAAAGCCCAACTTTCTACAAATTTGCCTGGCATAGTAAGAATTTTGCCAGAGTTGAAATTGTAATTGTTTTAAAAGGAAAACTAAAAAATGAGAAAGTGCCTTATGGGACTTCCCATATAGCAGCATTATGAGTGTCGGAAGTTCAAAGTGAAAATCATGTTTTTTAGGTAAATCGACCCTCCTGAACACGAATCCGTGGTCGGTTTTTTTAAATTCTCATTATTTCTAATTTTTACCCTCAATTTGCAAATATTTGCAAAATGTGCCAAAAAAACTAACACGTGGAGATAAAAATCTGAAAATTGCTGGAGGGGTGGATCTTGAACATAGCAACAACGTAATTTTTCCATACTTGCTATTTTCCGGAAAATTGACGATTTTCACAAGGGGTCCACGTTTTGGTCGATTTCTCGATTTCTATGGGAGTTAAAAACAAAACTTAAAGTGATTCTGAAAGCTGATTAAATTTCCTATCTTTCCTCTGTGAGCATAAACTTTCCAACACTGGCAGCTTTTCCGGAAAATTGAAGAAAAAAATTAACTTATTTTTCCCAGAGAGTATGCAACCCGCAACAGAAAGTCGAAATAGCCAAAATGTAGCTTGGTTCTTTGGCAAGACACCCCTAAAATTTCAAAACTTTTCCTCCAGCCGTTTTTCCGCAATCGCCGATTTTCCCGACCCCTTTTGGGAAAAATAAAACTTTTCCGGAAAGGCATGTGTGATGCATCATTCGATTAGGCACGTCAAGGAGATGCTAGAAATGAATTTTTATCAAAATTGGATCATTTTTCAAATTTTCAGAGCAGTTTGAAAAATGAACTTTTTTTAATTTACAAAAACTGCTCTGAAAATTTGAAAAATGATCCGATTTTGATAAAAATTCATTTCTAGCATCTCCTTGACGTGCCTAATCGAATGATGCATCACACATGCCTTTCCGGAAAAGTTTTATTTTTCCCAAAAGGGGTCGGGAAAATCGGCGATTGCGGAAAAACGGCTGGAGGAAAAGTTTTGAAATTTTAGGGGTGTCTTGCCAAAGAACCAAGCTACATTTTGGCTATTTCGACTTTCTGTTGCGGGTTGCATACTCTCTGGGAAAAATAAGTTAATTTTTTTCTTCAATTTTCCGGAAAAGCTGCCAGTGTTGGAAAGTTTATGCTCACAGAGGAAAGATAGGAAATTTAATCAGCTTTCAGAATCACTTTAAGTTTTGTTTTTAACTCCCATAGAAATCGAGAAATCGACCAAAACGTGGACCCCTTGTGAAAATCGTCAATTTTCCGGAAAATAGCAAGTATGGAAAAATTACGTTGTTGCTATGTTCAAGATCCACCCCTCCAGCAATTTTCAGATTTTTATCTCCACGTGTTAGTTTTTTTTGGCACATTTTGCAAATATTTGCAAATTGAGGGTAAAAATTAGAAATAATGAGAATTTAAAAAAACCGACCACGGATTCGTGTTCAGGAGGGTCGATTTACCTAAAAAACATGATTTTCACTTTGAACTTCCGACACTCATAATGCTGCTATATGGGAAGTCCCATAAGGCACTTTCTCATTTTTTAGTTTTCCTTTTAAAACAATTACAATTTCAACTCTGGCAAAATTCTTACTATGCCAGGCAAATTTGTAGAAAGTTGGGCTTTCAGAATCTGTGCAGATTTTTCAAATTCGACCAACGGTTCGCCCGTGGCGAGCTGTCAAAGATCACGGACTACTTATGGGCCAACCTGTATAACAATTCTGTGAAATTTTAAAAACACTCATTTAGTTGTTAATGCTTTTGCGAGGGAACAGAAATTACAACGCGGGAGGGTCTAGGTTCTAATGTCAAGGCAGGTTGGATGACAAACGCTTGCGAGAGATATTTTAATAATACTTACTAAAAAGCGCGCACATGATCATAAATTCTACTCAATGCTCTTAAACTTAGAAATGATTTCTTCAATGGGCTTGACAGGCTCCAGGTTCATGAGCACAGGCCTGTCCGACCTGTTTTGTGCTTCTCGCAAGGCACGCCATCGGCGGATCATGTCATGGTAATCGGCCACTTTCTGGGCATCTTCCAGCTCATTGTAGACGTGCAGGAGTCCTCTGTAGTCGTATTCCAGTCCCGAATATCCTGGCCCAAACAACTTGTGGCCTGATCAGACAAAATTAAATAATAGTTGCAAACGTTTAATTCACTAAACCAACCAATGGCTATGGATCTCAGGTACAGTTCTTCAGCCTTCCTATGATGATGCATGTGATAGTTGTAGAGACTGGCCAAGTGGCCAAGCGAAAGGGCCACCTCATAATCCTCCTGCCCCAAGAGCATCTCCTTTATTTGAATGGCTTTAAGGTGCATTTCTTCAGCCTCCTGTGGTTAAAAAATAGAGTTAATTTGGAAAATTTCAAATCAAGACTTATAGTACATCGTATTTCTTCATGCTTTGGTAAAGTCTTCCTAAATTCCCATAGTGCTTCGCCGTTTGCACATTTTGCTCTCCAAAAGCAGCTTTGGTCAGCCTCAATGCAGTTTTGTGCAGCGACTCGGCTCTCTCCAGCATATTTTTGCCTTAAAACAGATACGTGAAAATTTTAATAGTTTCATAAAAACAAAAAATATTTATCCAGATGCAATTGTCTTAAAATATGGTGAGACTGCCTAAATATGAAATTGAAATTGAATACAATTGAGGATTTAAAAAATGTTTTAACCAGTTGTTAAATTCAAATTAATTTCTTATAACGATTTTTTTTAAGAAGTTGGCACTCGAGGAGCTGATCATGTAAAGGAAGAGATCTTTCTTGCTCATGAAATAGGGTCGCAGACCATGACCAAAACTGGTAGTCATTTGTTTTTTAATGAGAAAAAAAATTCTGCAATGAGTGAGGAAAAGCCCGATCTCTTCATTTCCAATAACGAATTTTGTTCATATTTTATCAAAATAATTTTAGCCTTTTAACATAAAATACATACTCGCTTCATTTGAAGGCATTCCAGCAGGCATATCTATCGCCATTTCTTCAAGAATGAGCGCCAAAACTCTGTTAGACGAGGCCAAAAGCAAGTGATCAGCTGGGAGTATTTTCGACATCGTCTCAATAGCCCTTTCAGCATTGGCTCTTTAAAGAACAGTCACAATCAAAAAACAACTCAATCATTATTTTACTAATTTACTTTGCATCACTAAAGTGACCAGAACTATATTCGTGGACGTAGAGTGCATAGGCCAAGTCTTCATTTGCCACAGCCACGAGCAGATTCAACTCTCGGAAAATCTTTTTCCTGGCGTCCAAAGCAGCCTGTTTGCACCAAAATTAAAACCAGTGTCAACATTATTATTTTATGTATAATCCTTGCTTGGTAAACAGTGACGCTGTGGCTGATCGAGTCATAGTTCAAGAGGTAGAATCCAAAGTCCAGCAGTGTGTCAGCATATTTGGGGTGTGAAAATCCATAGGTGTCAATCGCCCGAGCCACCGCCTGTTTGATCAGCAACTCCGCCCTTTGGAATTTGCGCTTGACCACACACGCTTTGGACGCTTGGCGTAGGACGTCTATCACCACCCCGACTGGCAAGTTGGGAACCAGCTCCTGCAAAGCAGCGTTGCTCCATCTGTATGCCTGAGTAAAAATAAAATGGATTAATATAAACTTTATGAATCGGAAAAGCAAGCGATTTAGCCTGTCCTTATCTGATTTAATATAAAAACCATTTTTATATTATACCTCGTCGTATTGGCTCCTGAAGAAATACAATACTGAAAACTCAGCGTAGAGACCAGCGAGGTTGGGCGCTTGGTTGACGCTGGCCATTTGCTTCACCAAATCAGAAGCTTTGTGGTGGGTCCCTGAAGCCTGCTCAAAGAGGCTGTATACTGTTTGTGCGTGAAGTAGTCTGGAAGAATTTTTATTAAAAACTGTCGCTTTTGATATATTTTTTTCAAATTACTTGTGCAGAACTTCAAGTTTTAGTCTCATGTATTTAATCTCCGTCGGGAATCGGTCCAACATTGAGTCCAGCAACACTACGCACCAGCGCAGGATCTCTTCACTTTCCAAAAACCAACCAGCTTCACTCAAAAATGATCCTGAACAAAAATGAGAAAAAGGTTAGAGAACAACTCAAATTTGAAAATAATGATGCAATAGGAAAGCGAACATTTCAAATTCCTATGCAATAGGGAAGGGTTTAAAAAAATATAATAATAAATTAAATAAAATAATTTTTCTGCCAATTTCAAATTTTCCATAAGCTAGCAAAATAAATTAGCTAGAAGGAATTTAAAATTCACCTAATCGCAAGCCAAGTTCGATGGCCACGTTGTAGTCTGCATTGACAGAGACGGCGTTTTCGCAGTTGTGGATGAACGCCTTTTTCAGTTGTTCTGCCACTCTGTTGTTGTGAGCCATCACAGCCTGGAATGTACATTGTTTTCAATGCTATGCAACCACTAGATGAGGCAGTATAATAATATTTTTGAAGGTCAGGCAAGGTGGAGGCCGTGGAGGGCAAATAATTACATCTCGGTCAAGGTTTTTCAGGTGTGTTAGCACTTAAATAGGAAATTGATGATTAATTTATAGTGTTTTAGAAATAAATGCATACATCTTTTTTTTAAATAATTCGCATTAATTGAATTGATATTTATGTTTACCATCGAGGTTAAAGAAAAACGACACAGAGGGTATCAACTTTCATTATTAAATCGTGGGAATAAAAAAATTGCCTCGTCACCAGAGGGTTCGAATTCGACGGCTGGGATTTGAATAATTTTTGTCACGGTGTTGGACGCACCTGAAAACTTTTTATCAGTTGGAGTCGTTTGTTGTTTGCCCTGAGCAGTCTGGAGATAATGGGCAGTTCCGAAAAAAGGGCCGTCAGCTGACAAACCTCGCCGTCTTCGTACAACTGCAAAAAAAGCACAATCAAAAATTCTGAAATTTTCAAAGGAAACAAAAATATTATACCTTGTAGTAAACGTCAAACTGAATGTTGAGGGGCAGATTTCTGGTCACCTCTTCGGACATGTTCGATCGGACGGCCGTGTACGCGCTCAGACACGAGCTGTACAGCGTCTTCGGGGCCTTCATCCTGTCCGTTGAGGCCATTCTCCGTGGAAAAAATGATCCTTCTTCTCCTTCTTGTTGCTGTCCGACGGCCAGCAGCAGCTGACTCACGTACGATTTGGCCGAGCGCGATTACTCAACATATTTCGCCCGACGGTCGACGGCGGCGAGCGGCCTCTCCGTCCGAACAACCCCTCAAGGTCAGGCCTCGGACATCACCAGAAGCTCAATCGTCTGCACTTTCTTTCGCTCCGCAACTCTCGGGAGTCGAACCACAAACAAAGAGCAGCAGAATCGCTTGTTGACCTCTTCCTCGTCCGTCGTCGTTCTTGCTTGGCAAAATCGTCAGAGCATCACAAATTCCTAGGAGGTTCGTCGTCGCGGGACCTTTAAATCCAAGGAGGTTTGACCCCTGTTGCCAGGCAACACGCCGCGCACTGGGCAGCTGTCAAAAGAAGAAAAGCAAGACAAGTCGGACCGATTCCTTCGGCTGAAAAAAGGGGTTAAAGGTGATTATAAACTTTGGTTTCTTTTCCTCCGTCTGATCGCGATAAACTTTGCGGATTCTCTGAGAAATTTTTAAGGAAAATTGTCGTGTTTCCGAGCTAATGTCGTGTTTTTTTCTGAAAATTTTGGTTACTGTTTTCGAAGCCGCCAAGACCGTTCAAGTGTGAACGAGCTGTCGCCTGCGATTAACCATCGATTTGACCTCTAATAATAGGAAAATTTGATTGCGTGTGTGCGTGTGACACGTTATTTATTGCAGGGCGTTGACCCGAACTGCTTACAATTAGGTCTTTATGTATATTTTGGTTTTTCGCCAAAGCAGTGATTAATTAAATACAGCTTTGTTGTTGTTGTAAAAATTTCGTTCAGCTGTGTTATTTTCTTAAGTTTTATTTAATAGAAATTTAAATTCGAATGAAAAATTTAGCAAAATTGATAATTAAAAAATAATTGTCTGTAAATATATAAAATATTTTTAGTTTTTAATTTCATTAGTCACAGTCAGCGCACATTAAATTATTTCTTTATTTTTATTTTGGTTATGTCGATAATATTATATTTTTTCATTTTTTTTTAATACAATTAAAAATTTAAAAATGAACCATTTTAGAAAATATGGATATTATCTAACTAAAAGCTTTTTTACCTGGGCTTTTACCTACTGTTTTTTTTTTTGTGAGAAAAAAATTAAAATTTGTAATTATATTTTTAAATTATTTTCTTTATAAAAAAATTCTCTATCAATTTAAGTTTCTTTCATGTATTCGCCAAAAAAATTTACGTTGAATATTTAGCTTGTGATTTGTGATATTCAACTATTTCTGTTGGTTTCTTTTTTCTTTTTTTTAATCGTCAATTCTAAATTTGGATTTTTAAAAGACCAATGAAAAAAATACGACAATTAATTTCAAACAGGCTCGTAATATGAAATGAATTGTAATTTTCAGTTAATTAAAATTTTAGTTAAAAAATCAACAAAATTTTTCATCTCTTCAATTATTTTTACTTGAGAACAGTTTTTTTGTCTGCTAAATTAAAATTTTTCAAATTTTTGAACGATGAATAAGCAATAAAATAAGATTGAGCAGTTTTCAAGTTATCAGTGGTTCTGAGCGGTGCGAGCTAAGAATTATCTTATCAAACCAAAGCATGCTTTAAACTAAGTTGTTCGCTATAATGTTGTTTATCTTTTATTGTCTGACTGTTGACAAATCAAATTAAAATCATACCAACTTTCAGTGAAATTAATTCCGTTTATAACTTGCTTTGCACGTGAGCTGTTTGAAATATAAAGTTTAAATTTTGTAAATTTTGATTAAATTGTATATAACACACAAAAATAACAAACAATTATATTAAATAAATCGTTGAAAAAGGTCACATTGGGAAAAAAACATAGTTACTCACTTTCATTGCTGTTTCATATGCGAAAATATGTTTCTCAATTTTTTCACTGGAATTCAACTTCATTAAAACTTTTTGAAAGGAATTTTCATCAAGATATCTAATTTTTTATTTTTTTTGTTAATATGATTACACCCTTTTATTTTGGGAACGAAAATGTCTTTGTATTTTTTAATCTTCTAAAATTTTCACTCAAAAATTATTTGAAAAACAAAAAGAATATGTCAATAACGTCATCATAGTCATTATAGACACGTGAACGTATTTTCTTATCTTGTCGAAAAAAGTCAAAGTACCTTTGCTCCATATTCAAATCATGTCAAACAGATTACGCATGTCCTCAACAAACTTACTAGCGAGGCCGCAATAGACATCACCATTTTATCAAGTTTTGAATTATCGTGAAATTGGAGAGTACTTCTTGATGCTTGATGTCATTAACGAAAAATTTCAAGTGCTGAAAAGAATATTTGAGAAGAATTTGAATAAAGCATAATTTAATTCTGTCCTTGAAACCTAAACAATCCGTTCTGAGAAATCTACAATGCGTGTTGGATTAAATAATTATCTCCAAACTTCGGGTACACTAGATTGATTTCCATAGTCCTTTTTTCAATGGAAAGGTGATTTTGAGATAAGCGTTTTGGTTTAGACGCGGTCGGCATAATATTGATCGATTATTCTGCAATCCAATCTTGTTCAATTGTCTGCCCGTTGACCGTTGCTGTTGAGAATCAAACCGATAAGTCCGGAGCCCCTGAGATAAGGGAACGTGGGAATTTTACCACTTGCAATCGAGGGCAGTCGCTCGCTACTTGGTACTTCAGGTATGACCATCTCTCTTCTGCTCCACTGAAAGGACGAGATTTTCCAAGATGAGCGTTAAAGAAAACGAGGATTCCGTTTCCAGGAAATGTAGGAATATTCGTCAAAGTTTTGAAGATTATTTTTGTGAATAATTTTTAAATTTCGTAGCCATTGAATCAGTAGAGAAGCAGGAGAAAAGTCCCGAGGTTTACGATGGACCTGTAAGTTCAAGTTTCCCAATTTTTTCTCTCTCAAAACATTTGGAATATTTTCCTAATTTATATATAGCCTCTGAAGTATCCAAAATCTGTCTTTTTCATCATCACGAACGAGTTCTGCGAGCGATTTTGCTACTATGGCATGCGAAGTAAGCCCCTATAAAGGTTTTTTTCTTTTAATTAAAGCTAATTCCGCATTTAATAACAGCTATTCTGGCACTGTATTTGACGGACTGGCTTTTATACAGTGAAGACACTGCCACTGTCGTCTACCATGCGTATATTGTTCTTTGCTATTTCACTCCAATTTTGGGCGCCATCATTGCAGACAGTTGGCTCGGCAGATTCAAGTACAAAGTTTTTCTTCTAAACCGACAAGAGAGTTTATTTAATTTGAAATTTCAGGACCATCTTGATTTTGTCTCTCGTTTACGCCGTGGGAAGTGTTTCAATATCTATGTCAGCCATTCCTGATTTCATTCCACCAGAGTAAATATTTAAAACATATATTTAAATTAATTAACTTCAAAATTAGCAAAGTGTTTGTAAATTATGGCAAGTGGCAGTTTTTTTTTACAGAATAGATTATTTTGATCAATATTTAATTTTAATTGTCAAGAAAGCTTTAATTATAAAATTCTTAATCTAAAAAATCCTTCATTCTTCAAGATATTTTGTCAAATTTTCTAGTTTTAAAAGATACTTTGCAATTTATCAACTCTCCTCTTTCTATTAAATATTAACAAAAATTAAAAATAAAGGGCCTTTACATACGTTGGTCTTGTCCTGATCGGCCTGGGAACTGGAGGAATAAAACCGTGCGTCTCTGCATTTGGTGGCGACCAATTTGTGGTGCCGGCGCAGGAAAAGCAGCTGCAAAAGTACTTCTCCGTTTTCTACCTGGCGATCAACGGTGGAAGTCTCGTGTCCACTTTTATCACCCCCATTCTTAGGGAGGACGTCGAATGCTTTGGCAGGGACGATTGCTACTCCTTGGCGTTTGGTGTTCCTGCCATTCTTATGCTCGTTTCGATCGGTATTAAAGATTGTCTCTGAAACTTCCAATCGCAACTAAAATTAAATCTCTATAGTCATATTTGTGGCCGGAAAACCATTATACAAGTGCAAAGAACCAGAGGGAAACATTGTGCTCCAAGTCTGCAAATGCATTGGAGTAAGTTTAAATAATTTACTTGGATTTTGCTTTTTATTAATATTTTATTAAGCACGGAATTGTTATGAGAGTGAAAAACCGCAAGGAGAAAAAGGAGCATTGGCTGGATCATGCCGCAGACAAATATGACCAGAAACTTATTCATGACGTCAAACTTGCCTTGAGGATTTTGTTCATGTTCTTGACTGTCCCTATTTTCTGGGCTCTGTACGATCAACAGGTCAGATTTATTTAATTTTTTTATGGAAAAAAAATTACCCAGAAAATCAGGGCTCTCGTTGGACTTTCCAAGCTACCCGAATGGATGGCCAACTGGGCGAAATTGTCATCAAGCCTGACCAGATGCAGGTCGTTAACCCCATCATGATCGTTGTGCTGATTCCTGTCTTTGAGGTGGCCGTTTATCCTTTGTTCAAGAAACTCAACATTTTGCAAAAGCCTTTGACCAAAATGGGTGTTGGTGGATGTCTGGCCGGTCTGGCTTTTGTGATATCCGCCCTGGTTGAGTTGGCCATAAAACCTTCCGCGGCCATTCTTCCTGTCAGTGGAGAGGCGCAGCTCAGGATTTACAACACCATCAATTGTCCGATCATCATTTCGGCGACGGGAGCCGTCACCATTGATGAATTTGAAATCAGTCCCCTCGCGTCCTGGGAAAGGTTGCACATAGCCGCTCAGGATGCTGGACAAACATTCACCCTTGTCGCCCAACCTTCAGATTCTTGCGATTCCGGTATTAATCTGAGGAATTTCAATGTCGAAATAAGAGGAAATACCGTGAGTGCTAGATTTTTTTGCCAATTTTTTTATTGAAAATTACAAAACAGGCGCAAAATTATGTTTTGCATAATGGAATTGGAGCTTCTACCCAAATATCATTAACTGCCCGATTTGAAGATTCTCCTGATAAGAATCGCGATGGCACTGGCAAAGTCAGGTATTTTTAATGCGGAAATTATAGAATTTTTTCATAATTTCATGAATAATAGAGTTGTTGTCAACCCAATTGATTCTGGAAACAATGTCGTGCAGTTCCTGGGAGCCAGAGGATATACCTTTACGGTCGATCAGAACACCCTGGAGTCTGAAATTCAAAATTTGGAAGCTGACGAGTATTTAAAAAAGATGATTCTTATTTTTGTCAAATTTTTTGTCTCAAATCCTTTATAGCTATGAAGTTTTTCTGAATTCGGAGAGAATCGGCTCCACTCACTTGGTCAAGGGTGGCGGCGTCTACACATTTTTGTTTGACGAAGAAACCCCCACGATACTAAGCAGGCAAATTGTCACGCCTGAAAACAACGTCAATATGATGTGGCTCATCCCCCAATATTTTATCATGACCACTGGAGAAATTCTGTTCTCGGTCACTGGTCTCGAATTTGCCTTCACTCAGGTTCCTGAAACCTCAATTTTTTTAACTATATTTCCAAGCTTGTGTATTTTAGGCTCCTTTGACTATGAAATCGGTTATGGTTGCTGGATGGTACATTGCCGTAGCGGTTGGAAACTTAGTAGTGATTTTTGTGGCCGAAGCAAAGATCTTCGAAGAACAAGTAACATAAAAAAAAAATAAAAAAGTTGCAATATTATTGAAATTTTCATTTTCATAGATGTATGAATATTTGCTCTTTGCCGGATTGATGTTTGCCGGAATGATAATTCTCTTCATCCAAGCCTGGGGTTACAAATATGTGACGATTGCAACTGAAGAATCAGAGGACAATTTAAAAAAATTGGAAGATAAGAGATCGAGTATTAGCAGCGAGCACAAACATGAATGACTGTCTCAATCGTGATATGATACACAAGTGGAATGCCCTTTGTGCATATCTTAAGTGTTATTCCAACTTTTCTTGATCAAATAAACCAAACTTCTAATTAATAGTAATATTTCTGATTTTTATTTAAATAAAACACCTTTTCGGCAATTTTTAATTACTTGAAAAACATCCTAACGTATTATAATACTTTTAAATTTGTGTTTCTAGAATGGCTCTCACCATTAGTCAGTTGAACCGCGCGGTTCTGCTCCTCTCGGCCATCGGTATTGTGCTGTGCATCTACACGTATGTCGTTGAGACAAAAAAGGAGGAGGACTCGAGCTACGAGGCCATGTGTGACATCAACGAGCACATCAGTTGCACCAAAGTCTTCACCTCCGAGTAAGTTCCCAGCTTGAGTAATAAAAAATTCAGATTTTTAATGCTATTTAATTGTTCAGGTATGGCAAAGGTTTTGGTCTGGTGAAGCTCATTGCTGGCGAAGACTCGATTTTCAACGTACCCAACCCTGTTTATGGACTGATCATGTACTCCACAATTTTTATGTTCTGTAAGGGTTTTATAATACTTGAAAGTAGAATTAACATTCTATAAATTATTGAAATTTTTTTTTTTTTAAATTTTTAAAATTAAATTAAATTTTAAAAAGTCTATAAAATTTTACAATTCTTTTGCTTTCTGCAGCTTTGAGTCCAATGAATTTGACATTCAGTCTAATCCAAGTCTGCCAGTGCATTTTGGCCAATGTCGGCTCCATCTACCTCGGGTGCATCCTCTACTTTGTCCTCCGCGACTTCTGCATTGTCTGTGTGACAACCTATGTCGTCAACTTCATTCTGCTCATCTGCTGCACTCAGAAGTACAATCTGGTGAAGAGTTCCAGCAAGAGCAAGAAAAACAAGAAAGTCAAATAAACTGGTCAGTTTTGGTGAGCCGAGATTATTTTTTTCCCTTTCTTGATTGATTCCACTTTTTAATGAGCAGCAAAACAAACTTTGCCAAGAGTGAGAGGCTCTTACTTAGTCCGACATGTTCCATTTTTAAGTTCCTATACTTATGTAATTTACATAAAAACTTGTGCTCAAATTTTATGTGCAGCAAACGCAATTTATTTTCACGGTAAGAAATTTAATTATTAATTTTGATATTAACAGATTGCTTGAAAAAGTACATATTTTTGAAATTTTGACATCTTTGTATACGGTTGAGGTATTTTTCTATTCGTCAGTGCTTGTGAATGTCAATTTTTCAATTGTTGCGGATGTCCAGACTGTGTGTCATCAAATTAAATCATCATTGCATGTCAACAACCACTTAGTTTCTCTCAATTAAGCGCTCCTTTTATCCTTGATACTCTAATGCAATTTGCATTAAAGGTCACTGTGGAGGATAATTTTTGTCATTTTTACAAAGAAATGCTCATTTTGTTATTTTGCGCAGCAAACAAATCTGTTTAACACAGTGCTTTTGAGAACTTTTCATATATGTTTTCTGCTTTCATCTAAATTAATTAAATTTCATAATGTAACGAGTATTTATTTAACCCAAGTGACTTTTAATAGATTTATTGCTTTATGTCGCGTAAATTTGTAGCAATTCACACGTTTGTTAATTGATTTCGAGGAATAAGAAATAATTGTCTGCTCATTATTTGGGGAAACCGCGCGCAAGTATAGTAGTTGCAATCATAATATTAGATAGGCCAGTAGCAGGAAACAATTTATGCGGCGAGGACTGCCTGGCTAATGATAATGACGTTGATTTCAAAAAAAGATAGAAGAAACACGCGTTGGGGTAGGGAGTGGGATATTAAAAAAGAATGAAACGAAAGAAGGGTCAGGTTCGTCACTCTTCGACGGCGCATTCAGGGCGATGGAAGTGTTGAGCAGGAATGATAGCAGCAGCGCCTCAAATGCATCATTCAAAAGAGAGGATCCGCTTGTGGACTTCAAGAGGAACGTTGATGACTTCTTCCTTATAACTAATTCAATTGTAATATGCTGTAAGTACAAAAAAATTATTGTGCAAAAGTAATTGTGCAAATTTAATTTAATATTTTTTTTCGTTTCTTGTTTTAAAAATTCAGAATACAAAGCAATCTATTTATATTTTTCTCCTTATTTCATAGCAAATATTAAAACTATGTTTTGGTTTAATTTTTCCAGTAATGCAATGTGGATTTGCATGTCTGGAGGCTGGATCAGTGAGGGCGAAAAATGCCACCAACATCATGATGAAAAACATGATGGACATGTGTAAGAAAATATTTAAATTTTTCGCATGATTTTTATACGTACAAAAATTATTTCAAAGAAATTGCAAAGAAATAGGTCAAGAAAATAATTAATTATAATTGCCACGAGTTAGAAAACTTCATTTTTCAAACGCCCAGGTTCAAATATTTAATTTCTATTTTGACGAATTTGTTTTTTCCGTCTAACAATAGTTGCGCCAGAGAGAGTTCTATTGACAGGCGGAAAGTCATTTGTTACATTGTGCGCATCCAAAAACTGCATATCTCTCAGCAGAGTCAATTAAATTCGCATCAGCCGCGCCTGATGGGCTCTCGATCCGTTGCTGAAGACGAGCTGCCGCGAATTTCTAGCGCCAAAACTAATGAGGTCAAAAAATAAATCTTCGGATTCGGCGCGGGGGGCAAGGAACTTTAATTTTGATTGACAGGTTGCATGCGAGCGACTCGTTATTTCGCCGTGCCAAAAACAAAAGTGATTTAATTGCTTGTAATTTGCGCACCGCGTGTGTCGCGCCCGCTGATCATTATTGTGAAAATCTACCATGCTTTTCTAACGGCGCGGGCGAAAATTTGTATTTTCTGAGAATACGAGATAGAGCACAAAAATAATGAAAGAACCAAATAACATCTTTTTTCTTCTTGAAAAAATAGTAAATTTACTTAAAATATAAAATATCTGGCCAAATAAAATTTCAAATTATAATAAAATTTAAAAAGGAAAAGTTGAAATTTGATTAGGCCAGATAGTAAATTAACTATTTTTTATTTATTGCTAAAAGAAAAAAAAAATTTGCAAGTTAGTGATTTCTGATTTAATAAAATTATTCTGATTGTAAAAGTTATTTGCGGCGCTTGCTACTGGTTGATCGGCTACTCGCTGGCCTTTGGCACCGGCTCTCCGCTAGTGGGCATTGGAGACTATGTGGCCGGCCGAGGTCTGGCCGCCGGAGCCCTTTTTTCACATTGGTTCTTCCAATTCACGTTTGCTGCCACGGCTGCGACAATTGTCTCAGGGGCCGTCGCGGAAAGGTGCACCTTCGCTTCTTATCTGACCTACAGTGCTGTCATCTCAGGTAATTTCATTTTATTTTCAAACTCATTTTTATTCTTTTTTAAAGAAAATAATTTTTAAATGATGAATCATATATCGTCAAAGGTTTTTAATTCCATTAAATAAAATAAGCAGAAAAAAAATTAATTTAGTTTTAATTATATTTTTAAGGAATTGTATACCCAGTTGCAAGTCACTGGGCTTGGTCAGACGAGGGCTGGCTGTCTAAACTCGGCTACAAGGACTTTGCTGGCAGTGGAGTGGTTCACCTTTTGGGAGGCGTTTGTGCGTTCGTCGGCGCCCTTTTACTTGGGCCACGAACCGGACGCTTTGATAATAAGACCCCTCAGAATGAAACTTTCGCAGGACACTCGACACCTGTATTTTACATTTTCTTTTAAAAAAAAACCGAATTTTCAAAATTGCTATTTTAGTTGGTTGGCGTTGGAGCGATGATCTTGTTCACCGGCTTCCTTGCCTTCAACGGCGGGTCGCTGGGTCACATTTCACACCACGGAGACGGCGAACTGGTCGCCAAAGTTTTGGCAAACACTGCCCTTGGCGGGGCTGGAGGGGCTCTGGTCACGATGGCTCTTGGCAGGGCCGGACTGGCCGGACAAGCTGGAAAGTGGAGCTTTTTGATTTCCCTGAACGGCGCTCTCACAGGAATGGTAAATTTGAATTAAAAATTTGTACAATTCTTTTTATTTTAAATTCAATGAAGGTTTCCGTTTGTGCATCAGCAGACCAGCTCCAATTGTGGGCTTCAATCTTCCTAGGTGCAATTGCTGGCCCTATTTATTGTTTCGTCAGTCAGGCACTAGTTCGATTCAAAGGTTTGCATCTCAAATATTATAAAAAAATTTAAATGATTAATTTGAAATTTTCAACAGTTGATGATCCTTTGGACGCCGTTGCAGTTCATGGAGGCGGAGGAGTGTGGGGCCTCCTGGGAGGCGCCATTCTTAGGTCAGACACCGTTGTCGCTGGCGACTTTGGCCTTGCTGGACTCCTTATTGGTTACAATTTGGTCGGCGTCCTTGCAATTGCAGCGTGGGCTGGTGGGACTTGCTGCATTCTGTTTGGTCTTCTGAGAAGAGGAAATCTTTTAAGAGTTTCCCAAGAGGAGGAGCTCGAAGGCATGGACCGGACAAAACACTCTGAACCTGCGTACCCTGGCCCACCCTGGCATGTCAAGAACAACGCAAACGCTGGTGAAGTCTTCAGAAATCAAGCTTTTGTCAGCGAGGAGTAGAAAGGAATTTAAAATTCACTTATTTATTTTTTACTTCTTTGTGTAATTTTATTGAAATTATAATATTCAGCACAACATTGGCGTGTAGCTGCAGAATTTTTCTGGCAAGATTGATCAAACTTAAAAGAAAAAAACGAGAATCACAAAACGAACACATCAACAGTACAAACAGACAACGGAAACATGTGACTTGGTTCGGTTTAACACTTTGATACAGTGGATAATTACGAGTATAGACAATGTGTCAAAATCCATGAGTAACAAATGCGCATCTTATCACAAAATAATTTTCCAGGAATACACAATCGTTTATTTTCCATTTTCGCTTTTTCTTAGGAATGCAAGTTTGAAATGTTTTACAAAAACGTTTTTCACTCATCATGTTTCACATCATTACAATTAATAATTCATGTGCGTGCATGTTGTTGTATGCGCTGCTCACGTTACTGTTCTGTACTTTACTTCTTTGATATATAATCCATTTGAGTCTACAATAATTTAATCGAGTAATTACTGGATTAACAAAAATCAGACCCATTACATCAACTACAACTAGAAAAATCAGTATTATGGAAGCTATATATTTTCCTGCCACCGTTTCCAAAGCAGCGTTCCGTTCCAAATTAATATGACGAGATTACATTGTTCAATACTTGTTTGCTTATTGCTTTAGTGGTACTTAACGTTTGTGCTATTAATAATTAATAAATTACCGACTTGTGAGGCAAACTAGAAATTGTTTTGATTATCATTCTTCTGCAACGAAAGAGATACACAAGAACAAACAATAATACCTTTGTACGTATTTTCAAAAGTTCCAACAGTTAACCCACCTTTCTACCTAAATCTATTATATTGGACTCTCTTTTTCTTTTCTACAGAAATATCAATCTATAAATACAGTTCTATATAATTAATCTCAATAACTAGCGTGGTATCTGGGCAAGAAAAAAAAACGATTAATCTCAGCACAGGAACTCTCCATTATAGGAATTGAGCCGTGTGTTTAAGTAACAAGTGCTTTGCATTGAAAATACTTTTTTTAGTAACTTTGATCTTATTGTTTCTTTTTAATAAGTCTGGCAGGGCAAGATTTGAGGATAAATTTGCAATTTCCTATTGCAAGAGATTTGGTAAAGATGAAATTTTAAGTACGATTCAAAGATGAGTAAAAGACTTTTGGAAAGAGAAAAGACTTTTGAATAAAATTTGAGATTCAAATTCAGATACCACACAACTGCATCATTTTAACATTTAAATCTTTTTGATAATACTGTATACACGCTACTGGACTAGAAAACCGCGGCAATCCAAAACGACATCTAACAATCTCAAGGGTATTACAATTGTATACAGACGTGTGTGCATGATTTTATGGCGCATCGCTCAGTAAAAAAACGCTGCTGAGTTTCTTTCATGGACGGTTATGAATTTCAGTGATGCTTTGGTGATTTGGTTGCTGAGTTTGTAGCTCGTCTGATTGGTGAGAAAATGTTGAGTGGGCCAAATGGAGTGTTGGCCTTCATAGGACTGGGTGTGACGTCGCCCAGGCACGGGCTTCGCAAATCTGTGGTTGAGCGATAGGTGTCATGGAGCCGAGCTGATTGAGTCTGAAATTTTATATCAAATTTGTTATTTGCTAACTAATAATTTCCCAAAAAATTGAGATTCATTTATTTTTCTTAAATCAATACTCAAAGTACTAAATTTCAAATATTTTAAACAATCGCAATATATTACCTGTAAGTTCAGCTTCAGCTCTTCCAAAATACTGAGGACGTTGCTCCTCCGAGCAACTGCAAGCTTATACTGAATTCGCGCCTCCTGACGACGTTTCCTCCTCTCTTCCTGAGTTCCATATTCACAAGTTGATTCATTTGACCTGCTGGTGTCTGTAAATTTAAATAATGAAGATACTTTTCCACAGAGATTGTAGTTTGCATTACCATGGTCAGCACTACTGTTCTCCTCCGCCTCGGGTGGCGACGAGTCGCTGCTTTCGTCCATCTCGGTGAGCTTGAAGTGCTCCTGCAGCCGTTGCATGGCCGCGCTGGAGTACACTTTCCTCTTTACAGGCTCACTCTGCGGGCAGTAGGGCGCCTCTGATGCCACTGGACTGTTCAGATCAACTGAGCGGAACGTGACCAAAGCGCGTGGAGGTCCACCAGACGGAGTGGTCACCGTCACGGCAGGATATGCAGGCGTGGAGCTTGAAGCCTTTTGAATCTGCAACACAAAAGATGGAAATTAAATTCAAGAGTTTATTTAAAATCAAAAAAGAAAACAGTAAAACTGCAAATGATAATTATGTTGCTGGAATGCTTTGTTATTTATAAAACTTGGAAATTTGTTATTAATTTTAACTCACCTTAATGCTGAGACGGGCTGGATCAGGTCTTGGCTGAGGAGGCTCCACAGGGGGCGGAGGGAAAGGTATCACTGGAGCCTCCACTGTTGGAGTTTCCAAGTCAACCTCTTCCACCGTCACATTCCTCATATGCACCAGCAGACTTTCGGCTTCTTTAATTAGCTGCCTGTATTTCCTGTCTGCCTCCTTATCTGCCTGAATTAACTTCAACTCCGACGCCGAATATTTGGATGAAAGAGATGATTTGCTTTTGTCTTCCGACTTTACCAGCGGCAAATCTGCAGGAGCCTTTCGCACAGGTGTGCTGTTATTGCTTTCGCTCCGTGCCAAATTACAATGCCGGGTCAATCTAGGCGTGCTGCAGTTTGAGCCAACGGAGGGTCTACGCCTGACCAGAGGAGTACTATTTCCAGATCCACCACTCTTTTCAGGCAGAATTTTGTTTCTCAGGGCCGGAGAATCAATTCCCCTGACCTTCAATGATGGCGATTCCTTTGATTCGATCACCTGGGCTATGGGAGATTCAACTCGTCTGTTCTTCAAACTTGGAGACAAGACACCCCTTGCTCTGATTAAAGGTGATTCAACCCCTTCTACCCTCCTGAGTCTCAACACAGGCGAGTCAACTCCGGTCGGAAGTGCCGGCGACTCCCCTCTGCTGCGATTTCGCCTCTGGCTGGCGCGTTTCAACTTGCTGCTGGCCGCGCTGCTGTTGAGGTGCTTGAACTCCGAGTGGTTGTAACTCAAGTGGTACGTGCAGTGCGCCTCGTGATGCACCACTTGAGTGTCAAACTGTTCCCCAACGTCGATATAGTCAAGTTCCATCTCGCAGAGGGTGTGAGTCGTTGACGTCGACTGCTCATTCACAGTGCGAGAAGAGGCGGTGATGGTCTCATCCACTTCGCAGTCGGTGGCATCACTGTCGCTCAGAATGTCCGTTTCTTTGTCATATGTGTAACTTTCTTCAAATCTGCCCAACTCGTTCAAAGTGGCGTCTTCCACGCTGCTGCATCTGGATATGGACGGGGTTGACAGTAACGTTGAGTCAGAGGAAAAGCTGCCCCGCTTTTTAGGTGCCTGGGCAGAATTAGACCTTTTCTTGATTGCAGCAACTTGCCTTCGCCTAAAAAAAAGTAAAATTTGTTTTTATCAGAAAATATTGATTTAAACAATTTGATTCATGTTAACTTGAATGCAATAAAACTGAGTCATCCTTTGTTTAGTTGACGTGTTAAAAAATAGTACCTTATAGGCTTTTCCTTCAAGAAGACATCCTCGTCTTCGTCACAGCTCTCTTCATCACACGTAGTGGTCGAGTCAGCAACATGCCACGAGCCAATGGTGGCCGCTGTGCTGATGTCCTCATTCAATGGAGTCAGCGGCACCGCTGGTTCAGGATGGGTCGAAGCTCCACTTTTGCTGTTGTTCACTTCCCTGCTGGCGTTTAAGTTTGTGTCTGAGGCGGTTGTTGACGGCAACCACGGATTCGTCCTGATTCGACATCTCTGCCTGGGCGAGTTGCAGTACTGCTGTTGCTGCACCGGACTGCTTTTGCAGTTTAGTTCTTTTATTGATGAAGCTCGGTGTTTCTCATTTTGTGCAAAAATACTGTCTGGAATGCTGGATTTTCGAGGGGGCGGCTGCGGCGGCGTGGCACCAAAACTGCGAAGCCCACCTCCTCGGTTGCAGTCTCCTCTCTGATTTGTAAAAAATTTTAATAAGCATGTCAGAGGAAATAAAATTACTTTTTAGTCCAATTACAAAACAAAACATTTGACAACTGAATTAACTGCATTATTTAAAAATTTAATTAAGAATTTACCTTGGAAATTAAGTCAGCTCTTTGGTTGATTTGGCCGGACCCAAAAGTTCTCAAAGTCTCGGGCTTGTTCTGCAAATCAATGTCCACTGACTGGAAGTATCTTGTGCCTGTTCTTATGTTGATGTAGTACTCTGGTGAAAGAGTGGCGTCTGTCAAACAAAACAAGTTAAAATATCTTTTCATCTTGCAATTTGGCACGGCCGGTTAATTACCAATGGAGGGTTCATACGGAGAAGTCGCATCTGTGCTGTAGCCAGTCGAGTAGGCCGACTCGGGAGATGAGAGATAAGAGCTGTAGCGAGCACCGAGCCTGTTGTTGTTGTTGTTTATGGCGGCGTGAAGAGTCGGTCTCTTTGGCGAGCCTGTGTTCTCGTCGGTGTAAGAGAATTTGCAGGAGAGCGTCGGAGAGACGAGCGTGACCCGTTTCGTGGTCTGGGTTGAGCTGGACGTGGCAGGATTGTGGTGGCAAATGGCAGAGGTCAGGGGCTGGGTCGACGGCCCAGGGTCGGTGTGAGCAGACGGACTGGACTTGGGGACAACCTCCGCAGGTGGCGGCGGGTCCTTGGAGTTTTTTGCTTCTTTCGAGCGTTTCTTGCGGTGACGCACAAAGTGCGTCTCCACCCAGTTGCGGATTCGAGCACCAAACATTTTGAGGCAGACTGAAACGTAAAAATTAATAAAATCAAATCTTATGAAGCTGTTATGAAGAAATAAGAAATCATAAGAAATCAACACAAAAGTTGTAAATCTTATAAAATTCATAAATCTATTATTGTAAATTTTAAGAAAGATCAAAAATTCATTTAATCAGAATTTAAACAAAAATGAAAACACTTTTAAATTATAAAAATTAATGTGTTATTTATCAATTTTCATTTTGAATATGGATCTGGATCTAATTTTTTAAAGAATTCAAATATCAAAACTTGGTTTTTATTTCTACTCTTTTCATGAAAAATGCAAACTTAAAAATTTATAAAAAAAAAGCACATTTTTCCTAAAATTAAATAAAACTTTCTATTATATTTCAAGTGTGATTGATTTCCAATATTTAAAATATTTTTAAGTAAAACACAATTTGTAACTAAATGCTGAAGTTGTGTTTCATTTCCCTTTGCAAAGAATAAAAGCTTATTTTTTTGTATAAATATTATGCAAATATTGGAAAATTATTATTAATGAAAATAGCCGCACGCTTTCAATTTAATCAATTCACATCAAGGCAAACAGGGGAACGCACGAAAAGAGCCAATAAATCAATTTCCAATCACAATAATGGGCCGTCGTACGTGATCAATAATTTGCCTGTATGCTTTTGTTGAGAAAAAAAGAGAAACATGTATCGGTATGTTGTTCTGTTCTTCTGGACCAAAATTCACTCACCTCGACTTTGGCTAAGATTGCGACGAGTCGGTGGGAGTTTGGCGAGTGGTGCTCATGATTGTGGTCATTGCGGACTAAAGCGGCCGTCGTAAAACTGTCGCTATTCGCATTTTGCTGTCACGGTGCCCACACATTATTGACCATTATACACTAATAGCGGAGCGTGCTCTTGGACCACTGGTGTTGTCGGAGTAGCAGACTTGGTCATGCATGCCAACCTGGAGGTCAAAACGAAAAAATCAGATATCAAGTTTCGGGCAACAAAACCAACAAGAAAAATTGTAACGACATATATAAATATATAAAAAATAATTTTATTTGTAAATTATTTCGGTAAAAATTATTTCAAAAAATGAAATTTGTGAGGAAACTGCTTCAAAGTTGGCATTAAATTGAGGCCCTGTAAACTATATTAGGCAAAATCTTTCCCGAGGGCCTCAACCTGACGATGAAGCCCTTCATAAACCCTTCGGATGTGAACTAGAAAAATTCATCGAAAATCGCAACCCGAAATTACAAATCCCCAAATTTAACTTGCCTTGTAACAACTGAAAACGCTACATTTGTTGTGAATATTAAATTAGCCCTTGAAGATCAATATTTAATGCGGTCATGCGCAAGTCAAGAGCAATTCATGGCCCTTTGCGGAAAGGCGAGCAGGGCCTTGAGCGGTCTAGGAATTGAGGTCCCACGCAGACAACATTCACTCGAACGTGTGAATTGTCAAAGACGGACGCTTCCGCTCGTTCGGTCGGACACTTCCGACCGGCCGGTCATGCAAAGGATCGTACAAAATCGGGGTATGAACCTGCGAGCTGGAGGGCCATGTCAAGGGCGCAGGTGCCGTCGGCAAGACCCTAGTGATGCCGCGATAGGTACAGGTTAACCTAAAACCTATCAAAAATAACCGGTTTTTTAGGTTAGGTAGGTTTTTTTTAAAAACCTATCGTAACCTAAAACCTAATAATTTTGGTCTAACCTATCAATTTTTTTCTTAGGTTTTAGAAAAAATTTTTTTTGAAAAAAATGCGGAAAATGCAGTCTAACCTATCAATTTTTTTCGTAGGTTTTAGAAATTTTTTTTTTTTTTTTGAAAAAAAAATGCGAAAAATGAAAAAAAAAATCGCGAAGCGTAAGGTCGTTTCATGCTAGAAAATTTAATTTTATGTCATTTTTATAAGTTAATTTTAACCAAAATTTAGAAACTCATTTTCAATACATAAAAAGAATATAGTTATTGAGGGAAATTTAATTTTATGCAAAACATATCTCACAAGTCGACAAGTCACATCCCAGCGCTCATCGCTGATTTATCTTTCTAACTAGTTTCTAGGCTGTCGACGCGAATATGTATATATGGAATAAAATTGAAACTATACATAGCTTGATTTAGCAATGTTGGAAATAACATGATAAAATTGATCAAACACGCATATCCAATCTGTGTATGCGCGTTTATTATTATTATTATTTGGGGTCAGGCCAAGTCAAAATCTTGTGAACCCATTATTGATATGGTGCAGAAGGCACCACCCTTTTTTTCTTTTATAACTTTATAAACTTTATTTAATACCATCGTTTTTTGCTGGCATAAGTGTCTTGGTGAGTAATTTTGGATAAAAATGTTATCTGGACCATAGAAGCCAACTTTAAAATGTGTTGAAACTAAAATATTGTTTTATTAAAAAACAGTTTTTCAACAAGAAAATATTTTTTTAAAGTTTGGATAAATTTTTTAGAATTAGTTTTTGGCACCTTAAATTCAATTTTAATTAATCTAGAAAGCAAATAAAAAACAAGGGAAATGTACATAAAGAGTCCAATAAATTATTTACTGCCGTTAAAAATTTGCGAAAAGCCGAAAAAGTGCACGGAGATCTCAGAAATCTATCAATGGAATTATGATTAAAAAAAAATTAAAATTAAATTTGCATTTAAAAAAAGTCAAAGTACTAACAATCATAATAAAAATATCAAAAATATATACGCGTACACATAAGTTAATGAAAATTATTTTCATAGTGATCTGAAAGACCAATTGGATCAACTTGAGACTGACGCCTACAAACATTATTGTAAATGAATATAGTCAGCAACATGTAACTTTTGTTGCTGGGCTATTTAAGCAGACAGATTAGATGTGAGCCATTTCCTTTTCTTTTTTCCTAATTTTTTTTTTAAATTTTTTTTTATCGAAGAGAATATAATAATGGCTAGTTCTCCTCCAAAACATGATCTTGCAAGATTATTAAAAATAGTAGGCATGCTGGGTGGCATGTAATTTTTCGTTGCATATTCTATTGATATATTTCTTAGATCTCCGTACACTTTTCGGCTTTTAGCAAACTAAACTAATCTAATCTAGCTGAATAACCTTAAAAAAGGCCAAAAAGGGAAATAAATAAAAATGGCGCAGAGTGCAAAACGCAAAACATCTTCCGACCGTTTTGTGTTTGTTCATTTTTTAAACTATTTTTTTAGTTGAATGGAAATTGCGGCTAATAATATTTTAATTATTATATTGCTTTGTATGATCAATGATTGTGTTGCCATGCATTTGCAAGCTGACCTTGACGTTGATTTTGTGAGAGAGGGTAATGGTCAATCCAGGGTCAATCAAAAATCAAAATATATAATAAAAAGAAGAAATAAATTAATGTTGATAAATTATTATATAAATTAAAATAATAATTTGAACAGAAATTTATTTATTTGGCACTGCGTTAGGTCTACTAGATTTATTTTTGCTCATTCTGATTTTAAAATAGGTTTACGGTAAAATATTTAGATAATAGAATTTTGCAATCTTTGATTAATAACTGCAGTCAATTTTAATAGTATTTTTCTTGTCAGCCGCAGCCGAAAAAACTCATGAAATTATTAATAGCGCAACACCCTTTGTAACTTGTAGCTGTAAAATAAAAAATAAAATATTTAACTAATTAAAACGATCATCTAAAAAAAAAAAAAATAAATCGATGCAAAGCTATAAAAAAAATGTATCATGTTAAAGCACGTAATTAAAAAAAAAAAAAAAAAAAAATATAATAATAACATGAAGCGAGCGAAGCGAGCGCGAAATTTTTAGGTATAGGTTAACCTAAAACCTAAAAAAAATCACCTAATACCTAAACCTGTTACCTATTAAAAATAACCTACCTATCCTATTATAGGTTTTATACCGGTACAAAAACGGCATCACTACAAGACCCCACGGCCGGGTCACGAGGATTGGTTTGTTGTGGTTATGCGCGTCGTGCGGGTTGCAGCATCTCTCCTCTCCGTTCGGTGTTGCTGATTTTAACATGGGAGAGATATAAGCTTCGGGCAAAATGACACCAGATGACGCAGTTGTTACAATAAATTACTCGAGCCAAACTTATAGATGCAGCAAAAATATCATTTCCAAGGCCAATGCAGGATTAATTTAGAAATCTTTTGCGAATTTCATCCTTTCTATTTATTCAAAATATAAATATTGGTGCCATGTGAAGTCAAAAATGATGAAAATTTACTGAAAAAAGGTTAAATCGGGTTAAATAATAAAATATAATCAAATAACTTTTAAACTATCTACAATTTCCCGGCTACGATTTTCCTGCACGACGATTGGTCAAATTTACTCAACTCTCTTGATTTTTCAGGGACTCCGCCCATCACCATCTGTTAAGCTGGTCGGGGTAAAATTTACGAAAATTTAATTTATCGCAAATTTTATTAGCAACTTTAGCCTCAAATTATAATTTCCCAAGCGAAATATGCGCTTGTTCTTAAACACCCTTTAGATTAGAAAACGCTCGCGCAAAAATGGAGTGCGAAAATGGTGAAGTGATGGCGAAAGAGGACGATGAAAATCCTTCGACTTCAATAGACGGTAATGTCCCTGTGATATTCGAGACAGGTCAATGGCACGGGAATTAAAATTTTCTTTGTCATAGCAGAGCTCGACTGTCTTCGAGAGAAGGTCAAGAAGCTCGAAGAGGAAAAGTACAAAATCCAGGACGAATTTGGTCACCAGCGAGCCAAAATGAAAGAGTTGTTTGTGCAGAAAGAAGGTGCGATTTCTAAGCAGTTCGCTATGTTTTCATTAGCGCGTTTTGCTTGGTCAAGCAAGAAAATGCAGTGTTTTGTCTCGCGTAAATTGCTCAAGCAAAATATTTTATTTCACAGTCCAATGGCAGAAAGTGAATGAAGAAAACTCGAAGCTCAGGGGGGACATGCTGAAAATGGAAACGGAACTTGGAGAGGCCAAAAGTCAACTGCTCGCAATTGGATTTCAGCAGGAAACTGATCTTTTATCGGAGCAGCAAAAATGCCAAAGTGAAATCGCCTCTCTGCAACAGCTCATACAAGGTAAATTAAATTAATTTTTTAAATAAACTAAGTTATACAAATTTCACTTTAGAAACTGTTGAAGAGAGCAGCTCATCTCGAAGTAAATACGAGCAGAAAATCAAACAACTCCAGGAGGTGAACAAGCAGCTAGACTTGGAGCTTCAGAACGTTCGCTCAGGCCCCATGGACATGAGCTTGTTGGGCGACGGCGTCTCAAACGTGCTCAACCCACTGACTGCAGTCACAAAGTCTTTGGCACGAAGAGTCGTCAGTCTGGCGCCCACGTCAACCTCTTCAATCATTCCACAATCCAGTCTGGTACCTAGACCATCCTCTCCACCCAAAACATTAACCAATGAACACAGCAACCTAGAGGAATGCATGAGAAAAGTAGGTTAATCCTTTTCTGCTCTGGCTGCTGCTGATTTCGCTTTAAACACTTCAGTTGCATGCACTAGAAATTTTGCTTATTTATTCCCGACATATTCATCACAGGCTCAAGAGGACGCTGCAATGCTGAGGTCACTTGTTATCCCCTTGGAGCAAGAAATTGACGCTCTCAAAGGCAAACTGAGGCACACGGACCAAGATCTGCAGTGGTTTTATGCCAATACAAAAGTAATTTTAACCCACTTTTCTTTTATTGATTTAGAATTTTTATTTTATTTATAGATAAGACCTCCTAATGCTGAATCAAGTGCCATTCAGGAAAGCACACCTGTTGTAGAAAGTGTAGAGCTCATGAAGACTTCAACAAGTAGCGAACACATTCAGAGAGAACTGGCTTCCCCGGGAGGTCTGCAATATTCCACTTTTTTCCTTCAATTAAATAATGTATTTTGTATAATTTAGGTGCCAAAGCAGATGTGTCGTGCGACATGTGTGCCAACTATGAAACCCAGCTGCAGATGGTGCAGAAACAAGTGTTGCAGCTGGATGCCGAGAAGAAACTGGTGCAAAGCGCTGCAGACCGGTATCGAGAAGATCTCAACAAGGAAACTGAATATCGAAAGGAAATGGAAAACAAGTGGAGTGAGAAAAAAGAGGAGCACAAGAAACATGTTGAGCGTTTGACTGGCCAGGTGAACGAGGCGGAGCAGATGCTTTTGCAGATCAGACAGGCCTTTGACCTGGCAAGGTCAATGTTAGAGAGCAGGTTCTCCAGCCTGGCTGCGGAGCATGAAAAAGTGCACGCCAGTTTGAAAGAGTAATGATTTACGCATGATTAGGAGCCTCCTTTTTTAATCTACAATTTTTTATTTAGAATTCAAGATGAAAATGAAAAGTTGGTCGGGAAGTATTGCAAAATGGCCGAGGAAATGCAAGACGAATGTATAAACTTGCCTGACGCGGTTGATGTAAGGATAAGTTGTAAAATTTGCATAATAATTTATTTTGTCATTCAGGAGTTACAAGAAATGTTGTTATTGATGAGGGAAGACTTGATTACAAGTTCAGTTGGCAAGGAAAGAGCAGAAGAGCAACTAAACGATGTTCGATCAGAATTGGAGCTCACAAGGAATGAGTTACGAGAGCAGCTGAAAGCATTCTCTGATGAAAACAAAAAATTAAGGTATTATTAACATATAAAAAATATGATTCAACATAAATTATTGGGGGACATTAAATAGACTTATAATTCTCATGTGTAAGGCCTTGCACACAAACATAAGGCCTTATGCACAAGCATAAGGGCTTATGAGGGTGAAGGAAAAGTTATTCCGAAAGAATTGGGGGCAAAAATGTTGAAAGTGGGACAAAAAAAATTTATCTCGGGACAACGCCTACAGCAGGGTAAACCTTACCCTTTTGGATTTATCCTGGGATATCTTTTACACCGGGAGAGATAAGTCTATTGAATCTCCCCCATTAAATTTCTCATTTCCAGACTTATTGCTGAGGAGTACAAGGCGGTCAAAGCTGCTGAGCAAGCTTCACAAATTATCATTGCAGAGTTCAAGAAGGAACTGGAAGAAACAAAACGTGGAAAGGTAATTGATTTTTAATGCATAAATAAAAATGGAAATTCAAAATGAATTTATTCAGGCAGCGGCTGAGAAGTTGGAGCAAGAGCTTCGTAATCGAGTAGCATCATTGCAAGAAGATTTGGAAAACAACGAAGCGACGCAGCAAGACTTTGTGCAGTTGTCACAATCCTTGCAGATGGAGCTGGAAAGATTACGTGAGGCTGAAAAGGAAGTTCGCTGGCAACACGAAGACGACGTTGATGAATGTCCAGGTTGCAAGCAGCAGTTTTCCGTTACGAGAAGGAAGGTAAACATCAATGGGAAAAATTTAAAATATTAGTTTCCTGACTTTTGCTTATTTTTGTTGCAGAGGAACTGCAAGCACTGTGGCCGAATATTTTGCCCGAGCTGTTTACCCCACCAGGTGCCGAGTGGACCCCGTCAACGGTTGAACAAAGTGTGCGCTGTGTGCCATACTTTGTTGGTGAGAGACTCGGCACCATACTTCAGCAAACGCCTGCCACACACACCTGACTAGTGAGAGGTGCTGGAAGTGTGACCAGATGGTTCTGTGATACAAAAAAAAAATGACTCTGCGTGGTCCCAATTCCTGAGCCCCTATATTAGCCTTTTTCTTCTTATGAAATCCGATCAGACATTACCCTAAGCAAATAAATTAATCAGTTGCGAGTCAACATAGTTGCAATGCCACCGACCAACCTCGCGGCGGATCTGCATATATTTCACGCGGATTATCTCCTATTTCAAATTAAAGCGATATCTCTTATTGTGAAATTTATTGCATGTTAAAGTTCTAATAAAAAGAACGTTTCGATCACGGACACTAATTAAATCTTTCATTTGTCACCACCTTGGAATACTGAGCGTCGATTTCTTGAATGCAATTTCCATAAATTTATTTCATTGACAGACAATTTTCGATCCTGCAAATTCAAGGACAGCAGAATACTAATTGGTGAGACCAGGTCAAAGTCAAATTTATTTCGTTCTGTTGGTCAAACACCAGCTGAGTAAAAAAGTGGCACTACTCGGCGACCTACTATTTGGAAAATAATTACTGGAGCTGTATAATGTTTCAGTCGATGTCAAATAAATCGTTGCCATGTAATTTGGCGTCAACAAAGCAGGCATGCATTGCCCTAGTGTGCGCGCGAGTAGTGCACCTTTACGTGCCGTGTACGTCTGGCGGAGAGCTTGCCGCACATGAGCACTCGGCGCGATCGATATCCGCACCCTTTGCTCCGCGGGGCGTAAACTGCCACTGTGAGCACCGCCGATTAACCGACTGTTTGTCACTTCACCCTGGTGCAAACTCAAAGTTGGCCGGTGCTGACCTGATCGGGTCTACAGTCGCGATGGCCACCTCCGAAGTGCTCATTCAAATCCCCTCGCTCACCTTCAATGAGGTAAACCATTTGAACCCAGTGGATTATATTGTTCTCCAGTTTGCACACGGCAATTTCTTTTATGTTTATATACCGACATTTCCTTAGAAAAGACTGCCGCATAATTGGTCTTCACTTAAGCTGCACAAAATAAAAAAAATAGAGGAATATCTTAATAATATTCAATTCATAAATTTACATAATAAAAAATTATTAACTTTAAATTTTGTACATTTTATAATCAAAATAATTACGAAAATAATTAAGCCTAAATTAGTTTTATTATAATTATTTCTTTACAGGACAAAATACGTCTTGCTCCACCAGCTGACACTATGGCAATCAAGGTTGCCCAACTGGAGCACAACATGCGATTCCTGAGGGAGCAACACCAAATCATGCTCTCCAGCTTGCACAAGGAAATTGAAAATTTGAGGCAGTTCAACAGAGGTTTGTTTTTTTCTAAATTAAAAAAAATTAAAAAAAAAACATTTAATTTCAGAATTGCAGTTCCAACTTGTAATGAGTGGTGCGGCAGCAAAAATGAGCGCGCTCTCCATCGAAGTACCACCCGATTCATTCGATGATACCGCTGAGCACCAAAATGTACATTTTTTTAATCAATTCAAAAAAATTTATATACTAATTAATTTTGTAGAGACACGTCAACAATGATTATGGCAGAGTCGAGCTACTTGAGAAGAGCTTGGCTGAAATGCGGATAGGTCTGAACGAAGAAAAGGGCCGGAACAAGCAGCTCTACGAAGTGGTCCGAGAGCAGCAGAGGTTATAATTTCATAAAAAGTATTTACGAAGAACTGTTTATTTTTTTGTCAACAGAAAAATCGAACACCTGAAGATGTTGGGCAATAGAAGCTTGGCGTGCCAAGACGCTGTCTGCCAAGTGGATTTCCCACCTGCAGATCAGGTCGTCGAGAATAGCACCCGGTACACGCAAACCTATCGTAATTCCGAATATTGGTCCAAGGTAAAAATGATAATTCGTGGTCACCCCTCAATTATCATAACAATAAAATAAAGGATTCACGGAGGAGCGGCGGCAATCGTTTCCGCCGGCACAATTCCGGCCGATTTTCGAGTGCCTCCTTCAGTCACGACGAGACGGCCGGGCAGCAGCCGACCGGGTCAAGGCTGCAAATGTTCCCACCACTGCAATCGCCCGCCGGCTGGCAGCAGCAGCAAGCGCCAAGGCCAAAGTACTAATTTATTCGACCCCTAATGAAACCCAGATTTAAATCTCAATTAATTAGGACAAGCGTCGAAATGGGCAAAGAAAAACTGCCGGCGCTGCAGTTGAACGAGGAGCACGAGGAAGGGCACTGGGCTCAGAGGATGGAGCAGGCTCCACACTCGGACCGCAACCGGCGCCGACGGTTCAGGAGCAAGCGCGTTCAGGGAGAGCAGACTAACTGATTTGTGTAGCAATAAAGATAAAAAAATATATAGCACGCGCATATAATAATTAATGCTTCGTTTTAATTGCACATGTTTACACGAAACGAGAGACTTCTTCTTATGTACCAGCCGTTGTTAAAAAGACGTTAGTATTCACATATCCCAGCAGGATGAGTGACATTTAAAAAATGCATTGAATATTTAGAGAGTGACCGATGAACGAGAGAATGTCAGTGCTCTCCTCAATCTGGAAATATATTTAAAATTGAAATTAATACAAATCAGCTGACTGATACTCAATTTCGGTTGGAAATTCATAAGATTTAACTCAACATATTACATAGCTGATTATGTAAAATTACTTTAGGTCTTTTGATAAATATTTTAAATAAATCACGAAAATTTTTAGTTTGGCTAACAATAATTATCTTACCTGTTTAGCTGTTGGCTTTCCTCCTCCATGGCCAGCTTTAGTTTCCACTCTGATGAGAAGCGGATTGGTCTGCAGATTTTCACAGTAAGTTAATTGCTCATTCAAATTCATTTCAATTATAAATACTTGAGCAGGGTGATTTCCCACAGTGTGGTGAAGTTCAGCAATGAACTTGAGCGAGTGCAGTGGAACGACTCGGTCATCATGGTCTGCGGTTAAGAGAAGGGTGGCTGGATACTGTTTAGAACCCTTCCTCTCCAAGGGATGGCATGCAGAATCGCCGTCTGGAATTTTTATGTTGTGCAAGGGGGAAATGCGCAGGAGGTTCTTGAAGTGCTCCGGGTCATCTGAGCTGCCGTAGTCGGACACCCAGGCATAACCAATGGTAAATTTGTGAAAGCGGAGCATGTCGAGCACCCCCACTTGAGCAATGGCCGCTCCGAAAAGCTGAGGCCGCTGGTTGATGCAGGCGGCCACCAGAAGTCCACCGTTTGAACCACCCTGGATTGCCAGTTTTTCACTTGACGTGTAGCCATTCTGGATGAGGAATTCGGCAGCGGCTTGGAAGTCATCAAAGCCATTTTGCTTGTTGAAGAGGCGGCCAGAGTTGTGCCACGATTCACCATATTCTCTGAATGAAAATTAAAATTTTAGAGGAAAAATTAAAAATTATTTCTTATCAAGAAAATTGACATTCTACAGATCTTAAACTGGATTTTAATTTATTTATTTATAAATTCTTAAATTGTTAAATCTATTATGAATTTCTATTTCATTTAAACTCACCCTCCTCCTCTGATATTTGGAATGGCAAAAACACCGCCAAAGTGTTGGATAAACACAAGTCTGGTGGCACTGAAGGTGGGTTGCAAGCTTACATTGAATCCGCCGTAACCATACAAAAGGCACGGATTGGTGCCGTCCTTCTTGAGACCCTTCTTGTGCACAATGAACATTGGGATTTTGGTTCCATCCTTGCTGGCGTAGAACACCTGCTCCGTCTCATAGAGCGAAGCGTCAAAATTCTTGACTTCGATTTCACGGTAAACCTATTAATTTTTTTTCTTATCAGTTAGAGTTATGAAAAAATTTATTTAAAGCTTATACCTCTGGCTGAATTGTTGGCTTGGTCAAATCACATCTGAAGATAACCCCAGGTGTGAGGAAGGAGGCAAACTGGTAGAACATTTCTGAATATTTTTTCTTTCCCGAGAAACCAGTCACTGTGCCTACGTCCAGAGGTAGTTGAATAATAAGTTTGCCGTTTGAGAGATCTCTCAGTTGCAAAACGCTCTACAAATTTTATGTGAGAATATTTAGCAAGAAGTTTCAGAGTAACACAGAGTGACAAACCTTCACATCATGAATGTAACAGACAACCAGTTTGTCTCCATGGACATTTGTAGCCCAGTCCAAAACATCCTTAGAGTCTTCCTCGACCAGAGTGCGCCACTGGTCCATGGTTGGGTTTTCAACATTGATACTGACAAGTCGGTAGTTTGGTGCATCCTTGTTTGTCCTGAAGATGCATTCGGGTCCCACATTTGTGACATACTATTGTCAAAATAAATTTTTAATAAACCTTTCCTGTTGATTAAAATTTTTGAATAAACCTCATAGTCGGCTTCAAATTTTTCCACTATTTGGTGGAGGGTAAGAGGCCCCCTTGGACCATCTTCCAAAGAGCCAATGTCGGTAAAGTACAGCAAATTGTCCCTGCAGTCTTTCTGTGGAGTAATGAGCAGGTAATTCCCACAGTCGCTCACCTCAGCACCTCTATTGTGATAATTAATGATGACATTGAACAACTGACAATATTGACCTACATTCTCCACTTTGGCTCGTTCGGGAATTCCACAACCAAAACATCTTCTGACTGCGGAGTGTTGATTCTATGGTAATACAGTTTCTGGTACTCGTTGCTCACAGTCTCTGAGCCGTCGGTTTTTCCTTGTTGCTCTGGATATCTCTGTCAGGGTTAAAAATAAATCAATTGATGAGTCATGGAAATACCAGAATATAATTTACAGCGTAAAACACTCCTTTGTTGTCGTGTGTCCAGGTCATGGGGGAAAACTTGACCTTCTCAAGAACCTCAGGGTAATCACGGCCTAGTTATGATTATTATTTAAATTTATTAATAGACAGACAATTAAATTCACCTGTGGCAACATCTCTGAAGTGAATTGTGATCCAATCTGAACCACTTTTGCTGATGCCGTAGCACATGGTTTTTCCATCTTCAGAAAATCGTGTCCTAGACAAAGCTACAGTTCCGTCCTCGGATAGCTCATTTGGGTCCAGGAAGACTCTCGGGTCACCATCCAGAGAGTCTTGGATGTACAAGACGCTGAAGAGGAAGACATATGTTAAAATTTAGATAAATTATCTTGCAATGGTAATAAACCTTTGATTTTGGAGTCCAGTGTTTTTGAAGAAGAAGTAGTTGTCGCCGTGCCGAGTAGGACAAGAATACTTAGGGTAGTTCCACAACTGTGTGAGTCTACTTTTGATATCTTCCCTGGCAGCAAATGAGTGCAGATAAGGCTGTGTCACCGCATTCTGCTCATCTACAAATTTTTTAGTTTCCTCGGCATCGGGGTCCTCCAACCAGCGATAAGGATCAGCGATCTGAACTCGATTTGAAATTAGAAATTGCCCAAATAAAAATAACTGAATAAAACCTTATTTCCGTGGTATTCATCAATTACAGTTCCATCCCTTCTGGGAACAGGATACTTGAAATCCATCGTTGAGAAAACCTTCGCTGGCACAATTCGGGTCGATCGACCTGCAATTAAAGCAGTAAAATAGGAATTTTATCTCTTTTATGGTTGATAGGTTGATATATTTGGCGGCATAGAAATGAGTCAATATTTGTTCCAAAAGGGTAAATGAATGTCAAGTGGCTTAATGTGACTTTTTTACTCTTTGTGTGCGTTATCAAAGTACCTGACAATGGGTAGGGACTTGATCTGCGCACGAGGGGAGACAATGTCACCGTGAGTCTGCTGAAAAGACGCAAGCATTTGCAGCTGGCCACATGTGACATCGCGTATCGGCCTTTGCGTAATAGTGTGCATACGTATCAACTGAAATTCGCAGTCGAATCACGTGTGAAAATATACGTCAGGGTGTAAACACCGTTTAATTATTAGCGAACGACGTCTTATCATTTTTTTATTCTGAACGATGATTCAACAGAGATATCACTTTCTCAACGAGCGAATGCTAATTGGCAAAGCAAAGTCTCCAAGTCTGCAAGCGCCAAAAAATAATATGCCACAGACGATTCGCGAAACGAGTGTTAAAAATAATTTGCTTGACCGACTGACTTCCTTGTTCGTATGTACCGGTCCATGCATTACATATAGGTCAGTGAAGCGTTTGCGGCTTGAATAGAGATCTCAAAATTAAAAGTGATTTTCGCACGCGGATTTCAGTAATTCCGCTCGGAACGATGTCAAGGTCGGTTCGCATTTGATTTTAAAAGCGGAGGGCGTTGAACTTACAGGCGAATTTTCAGTCCAAACTGCGCGATTTCAGAACGTAAACATACATTAAAAGGACTCCAACACGAACATATGATACGCGGCCCCTCCCCCCACTTTTGCAAACTGGAGTGCAAACACAGGAGCACGAGCAAAGTACCCTGCGGGCCGGGGAAAAGAATAAAAACAAACGAGCGAGAGCTCTCACTTCATGGAACAACAATTACATAAGGTTCATTGAGACATCCTTTGAAGAAAATTCTGGCCGCGGCTCGGATGCGGAGTAGGGATCCGAGAAAAGGGCACTGTGCAGTCGCGATCACACCACTTTTTTCGCCGCTCCGTTCGCACCAATGCGATTTTGGCGCGTCGCAAAATTGGCCAATGAACGCGCCGCATTGTGGTGTGATGAGCGGGGCTCGGGATTCTCCACTCGCGCGACGACCTGCGACTAAAACGACGTCCATTCTCCACTTTCTCCAGCATAGGGCGCGGCTTTGAAGTCGCAGACGGCGTCGAGTGGAAATCACGAGCCCCACAGGTACAACCTGGGGTACCCAGACGGTCAGGAGATCGAAAGGCATGCCACACCAGGCGATTATCAAATTGTCGTTCGGCTGATTTAGACAGACTCGCACGCAGGGTCGCTTTGTGAAAGTGGGTCAGGCCGCGCGGGCTATGCAACGTCCTCATTGTTGACAGGTGCACTACACTCACACACACCCACAATGGAAACAAACAGGTGAGACAGAAAATTGGGAAAATCGAGTCCGAAGGGGGTGCGTCCGGGCGAGGGTGGCCGGTGCCACCCACGGGTGCATCGATTCAAAGGACGTCGCGAACCTTCATGCTAAGGCCCGTTCGCTTTTATGAATGAATTGCTACGTTTTTACTTTTCGCTGATACCCGCAGGCTAAAAAGTTAGCATGCACAGTTTAGAAAGGGACTTTTAATATACACAACTTGCTTTTCTTTGACAGTTACATTTATTTACATTTTTACGTCGGGTACGAGACCGTTTCGCCACCGTGGAGAAAAGGTATCAAATTATGGTGCATTCAATATCTGGGTTAATGCCAAATTAAATATACTATCAAGGGCGGCTACGTAGGCCTTTGTGTGCGTATGGAATTATGGATAGCCTCCGCGCCTCCTCCTCGGTTGGGCAACCTTTTGAGCCTTTTAAATTCTCCGGGATTGATCAACCTCAGCAGCTGGTGAAATTCGCCAAGCCTCCGAAACTCAAGCGATCATACAATTATTAGTCATTCCGTTATCTTTTCCTCATATTATTTGTTTTGATCGTGCGATCGTTGCAAAAAATTTGATGACGTGAATATGAGAATATGCGTCAAATTTAGTCCATCGACGGTTTATCCAGCTCTTGTAGGCGTTCTTGCTTGAATCCGAGCCGTGGCGTTTCGTTGTTAAATCTAATTTTAGAATTTGACAAAAGAAAATTTACGAAATTTGAAAGTGAAAATTTTGTTGGCCAATCAGCTCTATTAAGATTTTGGGGGGAAATAATCATAATATGGTTTTAATTGAAAATTCATGAAGTAAAATTTATAATATTGTTTAACCATTGAAATATCTTGTAAATTGATGAAAATATTTCAATTTGTTTAATTCATGATAATTTAGTTAACTCTCAATAATCATTGAGTTTGAACGAAGCAAAATTTCTTCAATTGACAACTATCAGAAAAAGGTTTTCCAGAATAATGTAGATTTAGAATCAATGCAGCCAATCCTGCTGTTGGTTTTGTGTCTGTAATATTTCAAATGATATTTTTATTTTTTCATATAGTCAGATATATTTTCATTCAAAATATAACACTCATTGTAAAAAAAAACTCGATTAAAAGAATATAATAAAAGCTTTCATTCAGAAATTGAATTTACAAGCAATAATTCAAAACTGAAATTCTTCACCTATTCAGACGTTAATTCATCAAAAAAGCCATAATTTGGATAAAAAAAGTGTTTATAAAAAAAGTGCCACGACTATATTAAAAACCTAACCATAGATAATGATTATTGTTGCGGTTGTAGTATTATTTTTTTTATTTTCGGAAAAAAATCACTGGTTTTCCCACAAGCTTGGTGATGACGTCGGAACGTGACAAGCGGATCTAGAGAGGAAAATTGGCAGAATTGTGTGTTCCCACCAACCTTGACTAGAAAATAATAATATTCTATGAATTCACTTTGGCCCGAAGATGTGAAAGATGACGTTGGTCAATGTTTTGCTCTGGGGTTATTATTGTTCATAGGAAATTTCACTTGTCATTGCATCACGCACCGCGTCGTCGGTAAATGAGCCGCCTTTCTTTCGACTTTTCACCTTGAAATTTTTTGCTCGAATCGTAAAACGCGGCCTTAACGCCGAGACTCCCTATAAGATATGTAAATGGTTTGAAAAAATTTTCATCATGAACATCCTGCAAATCTCGGCTTGCGAATTATAATCATATAAATAGAGGCAAACAGGAAGCGAACGCAATTATGCCAAAACATCAGATTTTATCTTGTGGTAAAAAAAGCTGACGCTCCTTCTTATATTTAGTTTTTTTTTATATTCATGTTTGGAATAAGAAGTATGCGCTGCCGAGTGCGATTCTTTTGTTTTGTCGTTATGTCATTTTGGTTGTGTCGTTAGCGAGTTATGCAGCGAGTGCACATGCACGCCGAGTGAATTAAAGTCTCAACGCGACGAAATAATTATTGGCTCGTAAACGCACAGCTGCAGCCAGAACGCTCTTATTATTGCCACATTGCTGCTTTTTATTATGGACTTGATTAATTTAAAGACGCAACATCAAAACCAGCAAGTGGCCCAATTTGCGCGACAATTTGTAAAAATCACAGCTTGAAATTTTCATTTTTTAAACAACGAGATGAAAAATGCCAAAATATGCGTTGATATAGTTTTTTTTCCAATGGAATCCCAAATATGATAAAATGAAATTTACTTTCAATCGAAGGCTATGAATTTAATTAAAAAAAGGGTTTTGGGTTCATTGAACCTCACAGATTTATTCTTTTGTTCTCGTTTCTTTTTTTAATGAATTAATTAATAATCATGGTTTGTTTGTGTATTATGTATTAAAATTTTATGTCAAAATATTTAGGTTTTTTTTAACTCATTAGAACAAAATAATTGATATGAACTATGAAAATTAGCAAGGAAATTACTTGGAATACTCTTTGAAAATAAATTTTCCATCAAATCCACCTTGCGTTAAATTTCAATTTTAAGAATTTGAAACTATCAACAATTAATTAATAAATTGATTTATTGTTGTAAAAGGCAGGGAAGAAGTTTCACTTTCTTTCTCAATTAAAAGCGGTTCACTGTGAGAACAAAGAGCCAGTTGTGTTGTTGGCTAAGGTGAAAAAACTTTTATCGGCCGGTCTTTTATCTTTGCTTAAGAGCCTGTTCTATTCTTAATTCCTCGGACTCACCGGTTATTTCTAGTTAATTCTAACCATATTCAAAATAGTCAGGCCATATCGCACGACGTTCCCACGTGCAGCCGATATCGCACACTTGACGACGACTTAATTATAATTAACTAGGCCGATTGCTCAAAACTTGATCTAAATTCACTTGATCAATATTCATTGTTGAGAACAATTCGCCGCTAAGCTTGACCTTTAACGACCTCTAAAGAAAGAAGACTTCTCGATATTAATTTTCTCTCTAAATCTGAAAAGTTCAGTGAAAGTGCTACGAAATTGCTTTTATTTCGCAAAACAATGCGCCAGACCAGAACTTTCTTGTGTTATTATTTCCTCGAATTAAAGTTCTTCACTTGCAAAGATTTCTGCGGCGAATCGTTCGTGTTTCGCCAGCACTGCCTCTAATCGTGGCAATCTGCCTCGCCACAGTAGTGCTACCAAAATTATATAGTTTTCGAATATGCATGCGACCATCTCCATTAAATAACCGCACAGCCGTGGCCTCTTTACCTGATTTCTGTGAATCGATACGGAAAAAAGCAGCTTAGTCTAGTCAGCTTAAAAAACAAATAAAATAAAAATTATGCATACAATAAGCATGTTTTTCATATGAATTACAATAGTTTTAATGATGAAGAATTGATTCATAATTTATTATAAATATATTAATTTATTTATATTTAGTTTTTCATTAAAATTGGCAGTTTATTTAATTTAGTGACTCCAGAATTATTATTTAGCATGAAATTTCCATTTTTGATTGTTTTCTTTGTAATAAGGAAACTTTCTTGAATAAGTTTTAAATCAATTTGTTAAAACAGTTAAATGAGAAAGTTGTTAATTAAAAATATACAATTAAAGTTATTTTTTAACTCATTTTTAATCTTGAAATTTTTTTTGTTCCTTCACCTCGGTTTCCCTTGTAAATAAGTTAAAAGATAGAAAATTAAAATATGATTTATTTCTTAAATTTTCCAAGGTGATTGCTTAAGGTAGAAACAGTAATCTCGGACACTCACGCAGAATGTGACTTTTCATAATTATTTTTGTAAAAGTCAGATAAGGTGCTCTCATAAATATTATAAGCCTGACCACGGCGATCAAAAGGCTCAAAAGTCAAAGTCGTTGGCAGGTTATCTCGCAAGATCAACTGCCATTCATTGTTGCTAGCTGCATATAATTATATAAAGCAGTCGCGTTGCCAGCTGGGAGCGCTAATCGTCTCCGAGTCGCGGAAACAAAACAAACGGCAGCTGCTGCGGCCCAACGAAGGCTAGTGAGACCAGACTCGCGGAGCGTAACACCATTTCCTATCTGCGGAAATCACGAACGCGTGTTGCAAAACGACGACGAGACTGACTGAGAATCAATTCAGTCGCGAGTACATACGCACTACACTAGGAAGTCGACCGGCGGCCCGTGGGTATTATTATTTTTTTATTTGTTTTTACGAGAAACGGTTTTTGCTCATTAATTCCTTTACAAGTTTTGGCGAAAATTGAGCAATAATTAAGAAACAGTAGTCTGGCCTGAGAGTTGGGATGGGCCACTTGCAAAATCATTTTGCAGAGAACTGCGCAGAATTTTGAACTAAATTATACATTTCTTGAAAAACCTGTTGGTGTTGAAACCAAAGGTCACATTTAATTCTTTTAAATGATGGGGTGAATTATTAATTCCTTTTAGTTGTTAAAATTTATCTTCAATTTTAGGATTTTTGGCGAATCGAGTGCTGAGGTCTAAATTTATGTGAAACCGAAACGATATTATAAGAAAAATGGAAGGGGAAAGGTAACTAAACAGAAATAATTTGGCATTATTTGTATCTTATCTTAGCTTAATTCAATTATTATCTGAAGAAGCCATCGTTTGAAATTATCAGATTGATATATCTTCCAAAATTAATTTTTTTATTTCAAGTAATGATTTGTAATTTTTTCTACAAACTTGAAATGAAATTATTGTGTCGAAAAACCTTCAAACTTACTCATCGGAATAACAAGCCATTATAAAACCCATTATGGCAAATATCCAATTAGATTGCAATTTATTATTTTATTATCTCCCCAGTCGGCATTATTTCATTTTTATCTATTGAAATACTATTTTCCACTAGTTAAAATTACGCAATTTCGTACCCTTGAAAAGTAAAAATGTAGCACAGACGAGCCGACCTCGTGCTGAATTTGTTCAAAAAAACAAAGATTCTAACGCGTTTGTCATTTTCGCAGGAACTGCTTGCGTCGCATAACGCACGAGGAGACGGAATTCTCGGCGCAGAGCATCTTGCGCGCCATGGAGAAGTTTGTCAAGGCTGTGAACGTGATGGACGAGACGATCCTCGTGCCGAGCCGGCTGATGGACCTGAAGATCTCTGACGAAATCACCGGCAAAGATCTGGCCAAGAGCCGGCGGCGACTGGCCAAAGACTTGAACAATACCGACTTGTACAGTGTCTACAACATGATCAACGGTGTGAAAAACGAGCTGCTGTGGGGCCAGTCGGCGTCCAACGGGCCCTCCGAGGGTCCCGAGGAGACGACCCAGGTGGTCAAGGGCCACATCCGACGGCCCTCGACCGTCTCGGTGGCCTCGACCTCGTCGGCCGTCTCCACCACGAGCGACACCGACTCAGAAACGGGCATCGAAAACGACATTGGCAGCGAGTCCGAGGACTACGCGCAGACCGTGTCGGACAAATTCAAACACCACCTGCACGGACTGTTCAACTGTCTGGACCACATGACCGAGGCTGCCAGTTATCTGACGGCGCGTTACCAAATCGACATTGGTGGCTCCGTCTGATGCATTTTGTTTTTTTTTTTCGTCCGGCTGGGTGCTGCGGGGGGAGCAGGTTTTTCAAAGTGAATAAGTTTTTTTTTCGTTGTTAATCATAATTATATATATTTTCAGTGGATTATCTTCTGTGATGCTTTGTAGAATCAGACATAATTAAGGCATGACGTGACAATAAATAAATAAGAAAAGCTCAACTGTTGAGTGCCGACGATTGTGGTTTTGATTCTGGTGAGAAAAATCGCCAGCGGCACACACTACTTGACGAGTTGATGTACTGGCCGTTCACCTCGTTCATTACTTTGACTGTGACGTCACGATCATGCCACTTGTAATTTCATGGCAGCCTCCAATCGAGTGGAGTGGTGCGATAGTCGTACCACGTCACAATCAAGCACTCATCCTCACAATATTTCTCACGTTATCCAATCGAGTTAGCACAAGTTTTTCACGTGTCTCTGTAAATCTGCATAAATGCATAATCAAGTGCTAAAGTGATGTGTGTTTGCCATGGAATTATATAATTATTAAAAATCACGTTTTGTTAATGAAGTTCGAAAGACCATCATGACTTTTAATTGCATTTTGGTGTCGGATGTTAATGAGAAATTCTCTACGTAATCACATTTTGCACTGTATCCGAAATTTTTGAAAAACCTGTCATATCTGTAAGCCTGGTTGCTTCCTAATTTTTACACTACATAAAATATAAGCTGAGCCTGTAATGCCATCTTTAGCAGTTAGCCGGAATATACTGTTGAAAATATTGTTCTCATGTGCGATGATTAATTAGTCTGAAAATGAATCTGTCAAAAAATGAGATGAATTTTGCAATCAAAATCTTTTCAAAGGACTTGTCTCGCATCTGGGACGGGTGATAAAATTGTGACTTAAAAAAAATTGATTGGCACGAGCAGATACGATGATTATTTTTGGTTCTTTTGGAATAAATTACTACCGCTCATCCAGTCTCATTGTTTTGTAATAAGTCTGTTATTGAGTTCAAGAGAATTATGTATAATATTATAAATATTCCGCAGTATTACTAGTGCAAAGTAAATTATATAAAATATCGAATAAAATCAATAAAAACTCCACATAATAAAACGAAGATGTCAATATATATTTTTATTCAACTCTTCTTGGCAGCCTTCTTGCGGCCTTTCTTTCCTTTTTTGCTCTTCATGTACTCAATCTTCTTGATCTGGTACGCCCGCCAGCAGTGCTGAATTCGCATGGCTGCGAATCTAGTACGGAATAGATAAATTCTGCGGTCCAACTCTTTCTGCTCTTCGGCGCTTTTCTCTTCCATCGCGGCCTCATACTCGATCTCCTGAGCCTCAAACTTGGCCTACACCAATTAGTCGTATATCAATTTAGGTATGAATCACGAGAATAAAAAGCAGTTGGCATTGAAAACGTTATTCTTACATTGAGTCGCTCCAACTGCCGTAGCTCCAAGGTGTAATTTGCACCGGTGGCCTCTATTTCGTCGGCCAGCTGCTGCATTTTGGTGTCATAGTCGGAGATTTTGCTCAGCAATTCGTCTTCCAAACTTTTTCTGTCACATTTTAACGCCTCGTCAGCAATTAAGAAGTTAAAAATTAATTAGGCTGGCGGCCAGTCAAGCTTACTTGATTTCTCTCAGATTTTTTTCGGCCGAGCTGTGGTCTAGTCTAATTTTCGCTAGCAGCTCTTGAACGTTAACCAGCTCGCGGCTCAGCTCTTCCTGGTTGCTCGTGGAGACGGAAATCGCCTCTTTCATCCTCTGCTCGGATCTCTCGCTGAAAATGACCAACGCCTAAATGAAGATTAATCTGACAACATTTTCAACAACCTGTTCCGGATTCCTTTAAACCCACTTAGACTATTAAGGTTTAATTATTCTTCTGCTTTTTATGCCAAAACTATAAATTATTTATTCTAATTATTTCCGCGTATTTATTTTTTACCTCCGAATGAAATGTTAAGTAATTGAATAAAATGAATTAAATGGAATAAAAAGCTAGTGCTTCTTTGTAAGCCATTTTTTCTCTTTTTCAATTTTAAAGTTCTAGTGTCAAAGACGAAATGATAATAAAGAAGTCATAATTTTATTTAAATCAACTGAGGCTCACTGCGGCGGATAGACTGGATCTTGGAAGTTTTATCAAAACTTCAGCGAGTTGCGGTTTTTTTTTTATAAAAATTCCTTTTATTAACATATAAAAAGAATGAGTTTTTTGTACCTCAAGATTTGAATCTGCCTTTCGCATTCGGCTCTAGTTTCGGCGATTTCTTGTTCTTTCTTCTCCGTTTGCCGCTGCTTGGCGGCCACTCTCATTTTCATGCACATCCGCAAACTGTGCAGCTCATTTCGCAGGCCTCGGATTTCCTCTTTGTACTTGTCCTGCTCCGTCCAGGCCCTTCGTAGGCGCATCGTGTGCACCTTTTCAGTCGCATCCGTCATTGCTAGCCTACATATTTTGCAATCAATAAATATAATCTAAGGCGGCGTGCTAATCACTCAAGCTGCGGGAAAGCATGAAAGACTTGCTTTGATCTCTGCTCGAGAAGGGACGACCAGATCTAAGAACTAGAAAGCTCTGGACGTCACAACACATATGAATACAAGGTCATTAGCACACAAATCTAATTGTGTTTAGCTTTGCAATCAATCAATATTAATAAAAAAAAAATCTGGAGAATAAAATAATAAAAATTGAAAAAAAGTTCAGAATAAAATATATTTTCAGCTTAAAAAAAAATTTTTTTGATTCGGATTTGAAAGTTTTAAGCATGGAAATTTTGTGATATAGCTGGGATTAAAAAACAATATTTCAATCCAAATAAAATCAACTAATTCAAAGCTTTTTTACTTTGACTTTCAGACATAATTCAATGGAAAAATTTATTATTTATGCATTTTATTGCTTTTAAATATGCATAAAATCTTACCTGAAGTTGCAGACGTTGACGAGGCCATCGAACAAAGTGGCGAATTTGGCCCCGCAAATAGACTTCTTGCTGCACTTGTCCGCGCCGTCAGTGAAGGGGTCGATCTCATTGTTGATTATACGCGTCGCGAGCGTCTGGATTCCCATTCTCGGGTTAATGGCACAGCAGCTCAAGATGCTATTTGCGTCATTGGTGCTGCTTCTGCTCTCAAGGCGATCGGCATTCTCTTCCTCTTGTGTTTTTCCAGTCGACTCGCAACTCATTATTTGACCCGCAATTCCCATGGCGATTTCGATTTTCCTCGCGGAAGTTTGTAGCAACTTCTTGATTCTGTTCGCCTCACCAAAGAATTCCACGTTTTCCTGTTTTTCCTCCGCAAAGTAGCTGGCCTCGTCCATTTTTCTGCGCAGCTCGGATGTATAGCTACCTATAAAAAACTATTTTATTAAAAAGTATCATTTAGCTTGAATCCTATTAAAAAAAAAGAAAAAAAAATTATAGGAAATTTTCCTAATTTAGAATTTTTATATGATAAAAACCTTAGCTTGAGTTAGAAATTTTGTTGTTTTATATTGTTAATTTTTAATAAAAATGTTTAACCAGTGTTTTTTTCTCTCTTCAAAATAACCAAAACTAGTGTCAAGCTGTTAATTTTTACTAAACTAAACCAGATAATTTTAATAAGGAAAAGCCTTAGTTCCCCTAAAATGGCACTTTTTTCAATAAGAAATTATTTACTATTGAAAAAATTGGTCTCTTTAACTTTTTATTTTAATTTAGTCAAGTTCACAATAGATTCCATCTATTAAGAAAAGAAAATATAAATTAATTTTCCTTTTGTTTCTTATCAAATTATTTTTTCAAAGTTTCATGTTCTAAAACTTGATTTTTAAATTTATTATTATTAAAACCAGGAATTTACTATTTCTATAGTGCTTATTTTAAATTTGTCTGGTGCAAATTTTAATTAATTGCATGATTTTTTTTCACTTTTTTGTGGTGTATATGAGTGCGTTACGTCACCTTTAAGGATTACAATTTCCGACACTTGAAGTATTTTCGAGCATCAGCAGATTTTTACACGTGCCATGAGGTGTATTCGCGAGATCTTCAAGCGCACCTGATATGAGTCCAGTGTATGAGTCAGCGAGAAAAATGAGAGACGGCGTATGTTTATAAATTGCGTGCGAGCCCCGCGTGGGTTTCCATGGTGAGCCTTTGTGACCAACAGCGCCGCCGCGCCTACCGTTTTCTTTCTTTCTTTTTTTAATTGTATTTATTCTATTTTTTGTGCAAACGTCGTAAAAATTGAACGAACCGCGTTAAAAGGTGCTGAGTGATACTTGATGTACACCTCTCTTTGACTCTCTGAGCATCGTTTTAAATCACTAGCGCGATTTGTCGGCTAATTTTTTGACGTTTGTTATTTTTGCTCCCTTACGTCAGTCTCAGTGTGTGCGCGTCTCTCTTTCTCTCCCGAGAAAAATACTTATTATATTCATGACGTCAAAGTGAGCAAAAAAAAAAACTGTGGAATTTTCCCAACTCACTTTATTAACCACTAATTATGCCAGCGATGGAAAATTACACACAGTGACACGTCAAAAAAAAATAATAATCGTCACGGAGGACTGGACTTTGCACAAATAAATGGAAATTGTTTTTGTAAATACTACAAGTAATATTGCAAAAAGTACTGGTGTAAGCAATGAAAGAATTTAATATAAATACACCGTTATATTCAAAATGACCCAATTATTGTTTAAAAATATTTCCTATATTATGTCCATTTTATGTAAATTGGTTGAAAAAGGATTTTTTTTTATAAATTTTGATTCATCACGTTTAGTAAGCAAGAAACGGAATAATCAATTTTTTATTTTCATATTGAGCTGTATATTCACATTGCTTACATTGAATTAAGATGAATTAAAAAAATCAGGAAATTGTTGATAAAAACGGCACCAACACTTAGAATTTTGCGAATTTTGCCACATTTTTTGATGATCCCTAAATTTTCAATGAAATGATTTTAAATTTGCAAATTATGACTTAATTTAGATATATGTTTGACTCAGTTTGACTAATCTTGCTAGTAATGTTAAATTTAATTTATATTGAAAAATAATTTGCTGGAGTTTTCCTTAGTAAGAATTTTTTACCATAAAACTATTTAATTGAGGAATAGCGCAGTTCATCATATACCATGTAATGATTCGCTCCTGTAAGTTTCATTTTATTTAGAAAAAAAAAATCTTATCCGCTTTCCAAACCCCAGCTTTGATGCAAATTTAAAAAATTTATTATTTTGGTAAAATAAACTAACATTGAGAACAAAAGATTTTGTTGGAAAATTATTAAAGTATGTAATTTTAAAGTCTTTTTCAATATAATTTTTTAATGAAGTACCGGTGAAAGAGATATTTAAGAAATTTTTGATTTAAAATATTTTTAAATCTTGTTAAATTTTGAAAATTGAGAATCATCTTAGTTTCAAATTTTATTATAATTAAATGTAAATTTCTTGCAGATTTTCAAACGTGATATTTTGCAAAATAAATTAATTTTACAAATGATTAAACTTGAACCTAAATTTGTGAACATATGTTTGATTTTGACAGAGGATTTCATCTGGTCCATCCAATCCTTAAACTAAAGTTGACGTGCTGACACAGCAGCATCTAATAAATAAATATAGCCGAGTGTGTCTCGCGAGGCCATTGACGCGCCTGCATCTGACATTCGACGCAACGTGTAAAGCAATAGTGCGCGGCCGGTTGCATAAGTTGGTGTCTCGTCGTCGGCTCGGTGGCCGTGCGGCTGATTATTTATTCGCTTGTGGAGCTTACACTTCTTGCTCTTGTTGAGAGCCTAAGTACCATCGCAAGTACTTCTTCCTCTCGGTACTTCAAGTCGTGTGGCCGTTGCCGAGCACCAGTGAATAATTATCCTGGTTTTCGTCGTTACCCGCTCAACTTGCTACAAACATTTCGCATATAAGACCAGACCAATTTTTGAAATATACATTGACAAAATAAGTAATGCAAGCTGCGTTAATATTATCGACGTGATCTGTTTGTATAGGAAATTCATGCAGTGAATAAAAAGTTGGTGAGAAAGATTTAATTTTATTAAAAAGCTAGAAATTATGGATAATTATGACAAATGAAAAATATAATTATAATTTATTAATTAATCATATTTATTTATACCAAAATAGTACGAAATATCAATTAAAAGATATAATCTTATAAGAGAAATGTTAGGAATAGAATATGAAATTATGAGATAAATATTCTTAAAATTACCCAAATATGCCACATTTTTAATGGTTGAGAGATTGTATAGCATTTTTTTTAGTTCATTAACATGAAATAGTTTCTCCCCATTCTTTGAATAATTAATAATGAAATGATAAAAATGTATTTTAATTTCTTGCTATGAATTTGCGTTAAAATAATACTATTTAAATTTTAGGTATTTTGGGGAAAAAATAGTTTATAATTATTAGAAAGTTTTGAATAATTTAGCACTTTAGTAATAATTTGTCATTTTTAATTGAATTTCATATAAAACGGAATTTAATTAATTGTCAGTGTTAAAACAATTATAAAAACGAGTTTTATTTTATAGAAATCAAAATTTTTTAGTTATTCTTTAAATTAACACTTTGTTATGTTTTATATATAAAGATAAAGCATAAATGTATCTTATAATTTACGTCAATTAATTTGAATAAACTCCCTAAAAAATCCCTGAAAAATCCTTTCAAACTATATTGTACGATTTTTTTTTTTGTAATTAAAAATATTCTGGAATAGCATAGCACTTTGCTGACTCAATATTAAGTTATATGTATTGAATTGATAATTCATTGTCTTTTGTGAATCAAATTTGAGAAATTTTTTTTTCAAATAGGTTATATGGACTGAGAGAATAGGATCAAAGAAGGTTCTTTGTTGACTCGTCGCCGCGGGTCGTATTGCGTGACTGCGTGCGATGATTCGATGAAAAGAACACGAAACTTGTTGCAACTTGCATCGCCAGCACAATCCTTCCCCCGACTGATGTTTTCTCTCTCCCTTCCCTCTTGGATCTTCCAACAATCACCAGCACCAACAGGCACCAGCAGGATGATGCGTTTTATTTCTTGGCCGTCTCGGCGTGCAGAGAGAATTTTTTGTCTGAAAAGAAATTCGTGTTTTTTTGTCGTTTGTCTCATCTCTTTGACGTCTACTTGTCCGTAATTTTTAACGATCAGCTTGTTTCTATTCGCTATTAGCAGCTCACATCACACATAAACTGCTCTAATATAGCAAAAATCGCAAGTTAAAATTCCTCTCTGCTGCAAAATCAACACGATCGAAATTCAAAATAAAGGCCACAACTGACTTTCTACGAATTCAGCAGTTTGAAAAGCATCATAAGCAACGAGAATTCTACTATAAATCAATTTGTAAGACTTGTAAGTTCCATTATTTTGTTGTACCGTCAGTTTACCATAAAATTGTAAAAAATGTTATAAATTCGCTTTGATTTTATAATAAATTAATGCAGAAAAATTAAAATTAATTTAAATTCTTTTCATTTTCCAGGATAATTAAAATGGCTGAAGTTGTAGCTGAAAATTGGAACGAGATGTTTCTGAAAATGAAAAAGTCTTTGGAAGGAGCAATTTTCATCTCCATCGACAATGAATTTTCTGGTCTACGAGACATGAACAAGGAGGACATCAGGTATGTATTTTTCATTTCACACCAATCTGAATTTGCCATTTTATTTTCACTTGATAAATAATTTCCAGCCTTTTCGACAACAATGAGCAACGTTACTCCAAAATCCGAAACCACATCAACGAATACTTCATCGTGCAGATCGGCATTTCTGTTTTCTCATACAACGCTGACAGCAGCGGCTACACATGCGAGGTGTTCACTGTTTATCTGTTCCCCAGCACAACAGGCAGGAAGGACACCTCTTTAAAATTCCAGGCCTCCTCCATTGAGTTTCTCTGCCGCTACAACTTTGACTTCAACAAGGCAGGTTTTGTATTTACGCTCTCGTCTTTCGTTCGGCGGCTCTCAATATTGACGCCCTGTCATATTTTATAAAATGCCAGAGATTTAAAGCCGACCTGCATTAAAAAAGATATAAATCTTAAATCGAGTGAGAAGTTTTGGTCCCGAAATAAAAGCGGTGTGTGGGTAAACTATATGGAAACTTATTTATGGCATCCTGTTTTGCAGATGATGCATCACGGCGTGACTTACATGTCCCTGGCCGAAATGGAGTTGTTGAAGAGGGCCATGCAGAATGGCAAATACTCGCAGCAGCAGAAAATGTCCCTCAGTGTGGACATAGCAGACTTGTACAAGTCCTCTTGCTCCGAAGCAATGAACTGGGCCGTCCGGGCCAAAATCGGAGATGAAACGACCATCAAATATCCTGCTTGTCTCTCTTCGTACCTTCTGCACAAGGATATTCGAATGTCCTGCCCTGACATCTGTACTTTCGATGTCCAGGATGGTGTATGTTTCTTTAATTTTTAATTGTATCCCACAAAATAATATTTTTTTTCCACATAGGGGATTTTAATCAGAAAAGTTTGCTTGGAAGTGAGGGCTAATTATGAGATGGTTAGAGAAATGCAAGAGACTGAACAGGCTTTTGAAAAGTTGATTGGTTTCTCAAAATTCTTCTCATTGCTTGTGCAGGCCAAAGTGCCAATCATTGGACACAATGTGCTTCTGGATCTCATGCTGATGTACCAGCAGTTTATTGGACCTCTGCCAGGTTAATTTTGTGAAAATTAAGAAAAAATAATTATTTTTAATTTAAATTAAAAATTTTTTAATTTGAAATAATGCTAAATTCAATTTTTCTTTCATTTTGTTTTTTTTCTAGGCTCATACAATTTATTCAAGAAAAAACTGCAGAAGACCTTTCCCACTATTTATGACACCAAATATCTTAGTTTGGAAGTGAAACGCAAAATCTCCATCAATGGTGATAATTATTTAATAAATCTTACAATTTTCTTAAATTTTGAATGTGTCAATTTTATTAGATGGTTGGGATAGTGATCTGCAGAGGCTGTACAACTACCTGCTGACAGATCGTTGCAATAACTATGCACCTGGAGCTCCAAACATCTCAACCAATTCCTATGCTCAAGAAGATTTGCATCTCTCTGCTGACGGAGACAATAATTCAAAGCGTGCTGGTCTGAAGGTTAATATTTAATTTATTATTTTTCTATTTACTTACAAATTATTGTACTTAAAGGCAAAGTTTCATGATGCTGGTTGGGATTCTTACTGTGCTGGATACGTCTTCCTTCGTCTTGCCCACATCAATGCTGTTTTTGACGAGGCTGTCAAGAATGAAGACAAAACAAGCGAGTTCAATCTGACCTGGAAAAATTTGCTGGAATCTGTCCAACCATTCCAAAACAGGGTTCACATATCCATGGGGAAATCCAAACACATTGTATGATTAATTCACCAAAATTTGAATTCTAGAATTATATATTAAATCTAAAATTGTTAGGCGTTGGAAGGAAAAGATCAAGAAGCCAAATGGAACCAAATTGTTTTCTTAACTGCCAAAGGAAACAAGACCTTTAACATGAGGGACATTGAGGACAATTTTGTGCAGTATGGGTCCCTTGATATCAAAATTATCAGCCCGAAAAGTGCTCTTCTTGCAACTTCCACACCAGAATGGTAAATTTAATATTTAATAATATATTTAAATGAGATATATTTTTATATCATTTTTTCTAGCTTGAAAGACATTTTGAAGGTGTGCAAGAATCATCCACTCTTTAGGGCTAGGAGGTACTCTAAGTTGAGACACTCTGCACACGGCAGATATTCTATGTGGTAAGTGCAGGCTGCGGAAGAATTAAAAATGTACTTGATGCTGCACATATTTTTAGGGCTGGCATCTTTGCTGCATTTGCAAGTGGGACTTTCTTGGTTTACTCCGCCTGCCACTGAAACAGAGCAGAAAGGCCTTTGACCTTTTAGAGGTGTTCGAGACGATAGCCAGTGCGCGTATTGTATTTCTTTTTTCAACCAACTTTGGCCCATTTTAATATTTTACAACGCACCATGACATTTAATCTATTTTAAAAACCTTGGGCAACACCGGTCCGAAAATAAAAGAAGGCATGGGCGTCGTTAAAAATCGCCCTGACAAATTTAACCCGCCATTCAAAAGCCTGTTTTTTTCTGAGTTAACGAAAGCCTTGAACCTTCTTCTTCTTCTCAGTCTAAAAACCAGCCAGCATTGATTTTGGCGATCGGTTTGAAGTTTGCTCCGCCCTCGCAGCAGTCGCGAATTAATTTTTGAGCAAATTGTTTGAAACCGCGCGGCTGCTCGATGTCAGCAATTAAGACAGAAAACATGCAAAGAATGAGCGGGACCGGTGGCTGTCGCCGGGTAACTTATTTTAACGGTGAGACGCCGCCGAAGCACCTCTGTGTTAGCTAACGATATTGCCCTGCTGCGAGAGCAGAGCTGCAATGGAGGGCAGTGTGAGATATTATTGTAATAGAGGCCAGCAGCCGGCCGGCCAGATGAGCCGCGCCGCCGATTGTACAATAGCCGGGCCACTTTTCGAATAAATGGGCGACGCGCCCGTTTTCCCTGCGACTTAATTTTGCCTCCAGATTTTTGTCCTTGGGCTAAAGTGTATTTTTGTAGAGCACACTCATTTTTGCACAATCAAGGTATACATATACAAAAAGTAAAGAGCAGAAAACTACTCCGAAGGCGCTAAGCTATTTGTGTCTTCGAGTCCACCAAACTTTTGCCATGCTTGGGGTTTTTTACCACGCAGAAATAGCCGCCACCTATAATAGGTGGTACACTGTTGGGCAGTTGTAGTGGACCGGCCGCGAGCAGCGAATTGTGAGATCGCTTCCCTCGGCAGAAGCGCGAGCGCCGAGATCGATTTGTATTGACGAGAGGTGTTCTCTCGTGTCTTTCGATCCTGCCGAGATTTTTTTGCAAGCGAGAGTGAGCAGCAGTCGGACGTACCAGAGGCGTGTGCGGATTATTTGCACTCTCTCCTCCTCCCTTTGCTATTTTCTGCCGCGCATTTCATCGGCACATAGCTGGGTTTTATTTTTGAATTCCTCGTAATTATGCTCTCGCTACTGTCCTTGAGGCGCGCCGCGTGCCGGTGGCATTCATTTCGCCGTGGAAATTCAAATTTAGGCTAACGGAGGAGCTCTCCACTCGCTCGTCTGCCGCGACTATTTATTTGTTTTCCACCGCTGACCAATAACCCACCCGACTCTGTTTTATTTTACAACCGAAAACATTTCGCCCCAACGCGCAGCACAGCCTCGTTGGGAAAAATTGTCAACTCCGTCCAGCGTGGAGAATGTGAAATTTATCTAAATGAAAATAATTAAGTGCACAACCACTCCGCACCATTAAGTCAAAATTTATCGCCAATAAAAGGTTAAAAATAATTTGTAGTATTTCCTAACAAATTATACATAAAAACTGCAAGCATAAAAATGAAATAGGCCAATATTACAACAAGTACCCTATTATAACCTTCAAGTCTAGGAATTTTATTTTTGCTACAGATGTCGTTTCTCTAAAAAAAAATCGTCACTTCGTATAGAGTTTGTTTTCCCCTTTTATTTTAACACAAAAAATTCTCTAATTCAGTAATTCATCTGTACAATATAACCTTTAATTCCTTTTTTTTATAGTATAATTCATACAAAAAAAATTTTAAAGAACTAGAGCATAAGTAGTGCAGATAGAAAAATAAAAACTTATTTTTAGCAGTTTACTGACCACAATTATTCACAGAAAAATAAATACACTTGTTCCTATTTATATTGTCGTTAATAAAAATTAAAAGTTTTTTGAACATTTTACAGATCTAGAATTGGTTACATAATGAAGAACCTCTTAGCCACTCGCAGATTGTGCAAAAAGCTAGAGATTGAGTTAATGCTCTGCGTTTATTTTCGACCGAAGCTTCTCTCATTCAATTTAATTTGCGCCGGCAAGATCGCCTCGCACAACAATGTTTGCTGCTTGCTTGTAAAACGTGATTTTAACTTCTTTTTTTTCAACTGATCGTCAGAGAAAATAGATTCCTACAAAGAATACGCAATCCAATCCGCTTTTTACCATCTGATCGTGCGTTTTGTCTGCGTATAATTGGGTCGGTCGGAGAGACTTAAATTATGCTGCGAGATATGACAAGTTTTGGCTCCAAGATGACAAATGCGTCTATCTGCTCGACCGCCGCGTAAATCTCAAGTGGCGCTCCTGAAGGCTAATATTTGGGAAATAAGAGCGATTAGACACGGAAGGGGAGATTATCTGTTTCGATGGGGCAGAATAATTTTTGGTCCATCGCCAAAATCAAAATGTTATTTGCAAAGGAAGTTTATCTTGTGTGAGATTGAAATTTGTTTAAAAAAAAACTCTGCAATACTTTTTGTTTTGCATTTCTCGTTTTTCGCAGGGGGATGGTAAATGATTAACAAAGTAACTCTTTTCTCCCCAACAAGGCAAATTTCTACCTTCAAAATTTAGTTTAAATAATTCCAGCAGTAAATTCTTTCACTAGCAGAGGAACATTTAAAGTTGAATTCCGTACATCAAGATAAATATATGATTGAACTGATTTTAAAGGAAAAGTTTCAAAAGTTTAAATAATCTATTTGATAAAACTCGTAAATTTTTACTTCACTTAATAGATGACCATTTATCACACTGAATAGCTTATTCTCGCTTGTTTATAATGGTATCTATAAACACATTAACACAGAAAATTATGTTTGTGCTAGACAAATTAATGTTGAAATTTCTCACTTCAGCTATTTATAATTCTAGTTAACTCGTTTCTGCAAGCAGATTTGAGGCCAAATTTTCTCCTCAGCATTTTTTTTTTGCCACTGATGATTTTGTAGTAAAAGATTTGATCGTAATTGAATGAAATTATTTCGTTGCTGCAGTTGCAATCTGAGGGTCCTTCTCTTTACTCGGAGAGACAGAGACACACCTGCGAGTGTTCCGCTTTTGTCTCTTGCTGGCGCTGGCATGAAAATAATACAGCCCCGTGTGCACAATTGCTTTTAAATAGAAAGCAGCAATAAAACCCCAACCGAGCAGCGCTGCCCGGTTCATCTAACGCTCGATTCATCCGGCCAAAATCATTTCCTCGGTTATGCAACCCGCGGGACCAACGAAAGAAATAAAGAAAGATAGGCAGGTGAAAACCAAGTGTGTAAGTTTTGCCTGGGCGTGCGTGTATAATTGGTCTATTTTCGGCCGCTACTGAAAATACATTACCGATGAGCTAAAAATGCGCCACTTAAAAATGGGCCCCAAGTTTTCGCTAATTAATTGCGAGGGGCCATATTTTGAGAGACAGACGTGTATTTATATTTTGGGATTTTTTGGCGGCCGCCGACGAGACTGTAGATTGCCGGCGGTTGTTGCAGCTTCTTTCTTTGTGCGTGTGTCAAGGTTGGCCTGCACGAGGGAGAGAGCGAAATAGCCCACCGAAGGCACCCCTTTCTGCGAGAGCGAGCAGATGAGTGCAGCGCGGTCTTCGGGTGATAGATTAAAATTTGATTGCCGCTTGGCGCTGACCGCCGATTTTAGCTCGCTGGTTGCAAAACCGCGTCTCTTCTTCTCGCTCCTCTTGGGACACCAAAACTCACACAATTGTTCCGCAACCGAATTTCACTAACTGAAATAAATCTACCTGTATATATGCTCATTAGCCGCGGCACGCTTATTTATCGAAACCCAAGACTATATTTATTGGCTCGAGCTCGTTTTGTCATTTCGCCAAAACGATTTATTCTGTGCACTTCAAGTACACGCCCGCTTTCTGCTTTGTTCTGTGTGTAGTAGTACGATGTGAGCCGGCGTCCTAGGTTATTTTTGAGTGAATTGAGGAAAAGCCTGGTTAACTCTCACAAAACCGTGACTGAGCTTTTAACAACTCTTTTTTCCTCACTGATGTATAATTAGGAATTTTTTGCTTCATTCACATACTCTGAAAGCGTGATGTCGCACTTCTTTTCTATTTATTTATTTTCTTTTTTTATTCAAGTGCAAATGAACAAGGAGAGAAGTATCTATAGAGACAGCAATTTACGCACTAATGAAACAATAATTCCTTTTAAAATTAATTCTATTTTTCTATTATTTTGAATAAAAAGGGAAAGAAGTCAAGACTTTTAAATGATATCAATTAACTATTACTGATTTATTTTTTATTACTTAATTGCACGAAAAGCGTAATTATAAAAAAATCTTTATTGGAATTATTTGAATAAAAACTAACTGGTGGGTAAAAAATGTTACAATGTTTTTAATCTCTACTGATCTTGATCTCAACCACAACATTCCACAAATGTTTGTTTGACAGCAATTGACAAATGGAAATATTTGATATTGAAATATGAATGATAAAAGGGTAAATATATTTGTCAAGTAAATACAAATAAACATTTGCTCTCTATATGTAATTGATTGCGTCATAAACTATTAATAGACAGAGAATACTTTCTTCAGATGGCCAATGGCTATTCACCTATTACGTAATAGTTTGGGCTGGAGAAGAGCCAAAGTAAGTAAAAGGTGGATAATTATTGTAGGCAATATGCAATATGGGCTATTTTTTATTTTTATTTTTAAAAAGACCAGTAAACTAGATGTGCTTCACGAGTTATATTTCAAAATTTATAATAAAAAGACAAAAAATAAATCAAATCGCAAAGGAATGTTATTATTTCTATTTCTTCTCCCTCTTCTCAGTCAATACAGAAATTTAAAATTGGAGATAAAGAGAAGAAAGGGTTTACAACAAGCAGATGTCTGCTAAAACGTCCAAAATCAAAAGAGACTTGGCCGCCGCGGTGACTAATTTGCAACTAAACCCACACAATAAAAAAAGACAATATTACAAACACAATAAATAATATATTATAAAACAAATTTAATTTTTTTGGTACAAAGTGTGAAAAACATGCATTTTTAATTACTGGGTCAATCTCAAACTATAGATGAATATATTTTTCTAATGCAGAAAAGTGCTCTTAAATTCAAATTATTTCCCCTGTTAAAATCTCGAGTAATTTGGAGAGTAATTTTACCTCATTGTTCTACAGTAAAAGAGTAATAAAAATAAATCTGGTTCCTCCTATATTTACTTGATTTTTTAAATATATTTATTTAAATTTATTTCTTTTGATAAGAGAACCATACAAGCAGTGAATTGTTATTTAAATTTAATTCCGCGTTTTCACTTAACAGGTTTCACAACGGCACTTGCACTCTTGATGCAAGTCAAACTGAAACTCATCACGCAGGAAAACACAGGGCGCGCACCGGCGCTATTTCGAGCGCTCTGCACGCACAGCAGCTCTGACTGAAAGCACCATTAAGTTCGCATACGTTCTCCTTCATTAATTTAATAGAATCGCTAATGGTCCTTTTTTAACCCCGGCCACTTTTCTTTTCTTTCTACCACTTTCTTGTTTGTAAGAAGTATTTTAGGTGCGCGATTTCTTTCGAGAAGGAATTAAATGAGCAAAGATCAGAAAAATAAGATCAATGAGAGAGGAAAGTTCTTTTGTAGTGTGTTTTTATTGCACCACCGAAATTACTCGAAAATGTCTGTCGACGCACCTGGCCGAAATCATTAAATCAAATCAGGCCCGAGCTCTGTCTCCGTCTGCGAAGAATTGAAGCAGGGCGCCGAGCGCTCAATAAGACTTATCGCTTTTGGCACCGGCGCAAAAGTCTGCCAATTCTAGCCTAATTAGGAGAAACGAGGCCTTCTGTCTTCCTCTCCGCGACCGAATTCTTTACTTTATACCTGCAAAAGAAGAGTAAAAAAAAAACAATAAAATTCAAATGGGTCGTGCCAAGCTGAGAGGATCGGCTTTCTCCTCTCTTTTTATTATTTGTTTCTTTCTCACGCCGCACCCCCGCCAAAAATAGGAAGAACAAAAATCTGAATCGTTCTTAAAAAAACAGGTGGGCTCTGTTTTTTTTTTTTTTTAATTCATTGTTGTTTTCTGCTGGTTCTGTAAAAAGCTGCCGAGGAAAGGGTTGAGAGATGGAGCATCTCTGGCGTAGCCGCGCGAGTGTGACAGCGACGTAGAGGTAGGCGCGCGAAGGGCTCAGCACGGCGGCTGCGAATTTTGGCGCACGGCCCGAGGCGCGCGTCAGCTCTGCGTTCGCAACACCCTTCACCAGATCGCGCTTCGGGCCGTGGTTATTTAAGCACGGGTAGCCTGGTAATGGTGCCCCGATTCGTTTCATCCTGCTCCAGCGACGCGGCCGGCGTTGCTCTTTAATCCCTTGTATGCGATAGCGCGGGCATCACAGCCACAGGGATACAGAGGACGCACCGACGAGGTGAGTTCAAATCCGCCGAGAAAGGGAAAATACCTAGGCAGACACGCGTTGTATGCATTTCGCTTTTTCCAACGAAAACGGTGTTTCCTCTTTCTCTCTTGTGCCGTCTCGTCTCTCGTCCCCGTTTGGTGTGCAACAAGTCTCGCGCTCTCTCAGTGACAAAAAAACGAATGGAAAAGCCACAGTGACAAAAGCCTGAGTGAAACTGGAACAAAAAGTGAACCGGAAAAGCAGTGCAGACAGCAGGAACGTGCTGAATTTTTTTGCCTTTTGTTCTTTTCCACAATGATTTCCCAACTTTATATCAATCTAGCTTGAGCCAAAATTTGAAAACTTTTGAGAAAAAGCGCAGGTTGTCTTTATTTTCTTCTTTTCTTATTTAAATGAAGAAATTTTTCTTTCAAAACAGATTTTTACCAACTTCGAAATTTCCTTTAAAAATTTCTCAACCCGTGTTTGATTTTTATTAACTTAAAAAATTTGTGACTTTTAACAAATTCAAAGTTTGGTTGAAATCAAGGCCAAGAATTGGAGTTGCTCTCATTTGTCTAAAATTTGTATTGTTTTAAAAAAACGTGCACTTTTATTCTCTGTGTCACTTTATTTTCCACCTGAAACAAAAGTGGCTCGAAAGCTCCAGGGTCTTTAGACTTTTTATCTGGAGGAAAATGCGCGAGAATTTTCTCGCTGAAATTGGCGCTGGCCGTGTCTCTTTGTTTTTGGCAGTGGCCCCGGCGCCCCCCGCGCCTCCCTTGGTAGCCCAGGCACATTAAAAGAGCACCAGGCTATTCGATGACGGTGTTTAAGTTCTTGATGGCGGCTCTTGCCAAAATCATTTTAAAAAGAGAAGCGACCCCCAGTTGTGCTAAATGCGTCTACAACAAGCGCGCACAGCAGCCAGAGCGTAACACATTTTCCACCTATCGCCGGCTATTTTTAAAATAATTTCCAACTCTCGCGCGCGCAGGAGCCTCTACAATGACAACAATGTTGGAGACGCCGAGTGCCAAAAATTCAATTGGACTTGGAACATATCGTTATGATTGCCTCTCTCTCGTAAGCGGGCAATTTGTTAAGGCGCTGCCGTTTCCAATTTAAAAATACACGGCCCCCAAAAAAGAATCGCGCCGTGACAAAATTAAGGGGACAGCGGTTGTCATTTAGCACCACCGAGATATTTTTATATATTTTTCAACCCGCTAACTTGTCCTTGGCTACTATAACCCGCGTAGCGCGACCTCCGTCCAAAAAATTAATGAGCTTGTATTTTTTGTTTGTTCTCGAAAAATAAATTTTCTTATCCCTCTCGCGAACGAAGAGAAAAAGTTGCGCAACTCGTTGTGCTGGATTAGCAAACGAGGGCAAACCCACCCTGCGCTTAACGCCCGACTTAAAATTAAACAGTGACGCAACAAATTAAAAATCCGCGGCGCCTCGACCGATGCTTTTTGATCAGACTTGGCACTCGCCGCCGCCACCGTGCGGTGTGTAATTGCAAAAAAGGTTTTTATTTCCAACTCCAATCTCTGTCGGATTCGCGAGTGATTCATGTCCGTGCAGTCAATCTGCGTTAAAACCATTCAACTCCGCCAAATAAACAAAACCGGGGGTGTTTATAGAAAGGAGCGCGGATGAGCCGAACCGCGCGCGCCAAACCTTGGCTGGAGAATCAATGATCGCTTTGAGTTAGGCCGGGCGCGTTTTGCCGCTGCCCCCCGAAAATACAAAATAAATAAAGACGCCCGAAAAAAAAAGAAATTAGGTAAAACGGCTGGAAATAGATTGGGCGCGTGTGCGAGCACGTTTTAATTCACGGGTGCGAACTTTTGAAAAATTGCAAGCTCTGGATTGATGAACACTATTTATAAAAGAAGAATAGCGCTTGCAAAAACGTAAAAAGGAAGAGGTTGAAGTGGACTTTTTTGTTAATGCTTCTAGTAAAAGTAGTGAGGCGGGAAATAAACTTTTGCCAATTCTCAGAATTCTTTTTGTGGATCAGCTGCTTTGGTTGTTTAAAAAAGAGGCGTCCGCGCAAACACAGTCATAAAGCTTTTCAAGATATTAAGAACTTTTTACTTCTTTAAGTTAAAAAGAACTCTAGCAAATATTTGTTCCGTTTTTGATTAATTAATCTTTTGAAAATTTTTTTACAATAAAACCACATTATCTTAAAAAGTAACTGATTCATGCCGGTAATTGGATCTTGGATCACAAAATCGAATGAAATATTTCAAATCTGAGAATGAATTTTAATTGATTGAATTAAATTATTTATTGGTAGCTTTTGTGAATGTAGTTTAAAAAACTGATCATTTATTAAGCAAAGGGTAAGCAAATTAATTCTCTTCTGTCCATTTTAAGTGTTAATTATAATTTAAATTGAACAAAATGTTTTTCCAAATTCTTCCGCAGGCTTAGCAATTATTGTCTTTTGAATCAACAATAAAATCAAATTAAAATTCAATCACAAGTCTGTGAAGACAATAAAGCGCTTTTAAATACAAGTGCTCATTAAATTTCAAATGACGAAACGATTTTAATGTGTCGCTTCAAATTAGAACCATTAGTCAAAAGGTGCACACACCTCAGCCACGTGCTCGCAGAGCAACGGCCCATGTTTCGATTGCCAACATATGTGTTCAATTATTTATGTCAATTGCTTTACGACGCGACCATTGTTCAACATATATGCACACACGCGGTTGCTTTATATACTCTAGAGCGCCGTGCTCCAATTTCATTATGTAGAGAGAGATACACATATAGATCTATTATTATTGATGCTTGCGCTCATGAATGGCCGAGGCTTTTATTTTATATAATTCTCCAGCATCTACTCGGCCGGGCACTTGACTCGGAATAGATAGTCTGCTGCTGCTTTCACTATTAATTTTTATTGCGTCGGGTGTGTGGTGGTCTGCCGAATTTACGAGCTTTTTAAACGAGAGACCCTTTTTACGTAAAGCCGGCCGAGACTTAATGGCTGTAAAATTAATTACGTCGCAGATTGCAATCGAGCGAGGCGAAAAGAAGAAGTCACGGAAAGGTGAAAAAATCTCCCATCTCTTCTGCCCGCATCTCCCAGGCCTCAGTTTTATTTCAAGCCCCGCAGCTCGTCGTATGCAGAGAGCGGCGGCTGCGCTGGCCAAAAACCCGCCGTTCGAGTTTGCAAATTCGTGGCGCGATTCGGGCGGAACTGGAATATATTTGCCGCAATAAATCTAACCATTTTGAAGCTGAATTAATATACAAATTGCCGCGTGGCCAAATCGGTGTAAATTCGCGCCGATTGCGTTCGAAAACGGCACGCGATTGCAAACGCACCACGTATCACCGGTGAGCTTGCGGGCGGCGCCGCTAGGTGGCACGGCGCACGTGTGATGAGCTAGTCACTTACATCTGTGCAATCTGTGTTTTTGGAGCAGCATGAAATTTTACTCGAAACGCCGTGTTATTCTCGTCGTGTTCGCGTAGGCCGGCCGAATTTCACTCACCCCGTCGCGAGACCGCCCTTTTCGGCCCCCTGCGCCCCCGATCGGCACTTCGCGCGAGCTCCCCACCAAGCCGAACCCCGAGCAACGGACAGTCGACGTTGGCCGCTTTCAAAGCAGCCCACCCTCAGCAGGCCGTCCGGACTTGAGTCCGACGACCCTTGAGACCCCGAACCAACCCTTCGTGTGAGTAGAGAGAGAACCAACCCTTTGGCGGCTCCGTTTCGGCTCCGCCTAAAAGAATTCAGGCCTCAGGGCGGCGGATTTAGTTCATTGACAACCGGTCGGTCGTGACACATCAAAAGCAGGTGTCTCGTTTTATGTACATAGAGCAGCCAGCGGCGTAATATCAATAATTACAATTCGTTTCAACGAGAACAGTCTGTGCCGTTTATCATGCCAAAATTCGCGCAAAAAAATTAAGACTTTTAAAAAAAATCTGCCAATATCCGGCCCAATTTGTGCACACATTTTGATTTTTTTTTTTTAAATCAGAGCCCTTGTTCGTTTGATTATATTTAATTAGAGGCCCATTCGCTTAACTCTTTATCTGCTAGTCCGCTCTAATCAAATGCCTATTGAGGCAATGACAGATTGAGCGGTGGAGGCTGAAATCCAACCTCACGTCGTGTTTTGCGGCTTGTTATTTACCAGTCCCCCTGCCTCAAATGTGACAACCCGAAGCCAACTTGCGGCTGCAACAAGATCCAGATCTCTTGATTTGCTTCTATATAATTACAATAATAAATAATATGATGAAATTCGCGCGAAAAAAATGCTCATTTCGAGACACCCGATGACTCATTACTATTTGTTCGAAGTTGTTCTAGAAGAAAATTCGTACATTTTCACTAATCTGAAATTTTTTTGGTCTGTTTCAGTAGGATTTGTTAATGAGTTGCTGAATCTCGTGAGAAATCCGAGCAACAGACAAACTCATCATGGATGATGGTCACGCTAAAACTTCGGAAGAAGTTATCGAATACTTCAACATCGATGTCGATAAAGGTCTGACCCCCGATCAGGTCAAGAGGAACCAAGAGAAATATGGTCTCAACGGTGAGTTACAAATTTTAATTAATGCCCCAATTAAGATTCAAATTGCTCGTCTCATCGCTTTTTACTTTTTTCCCAACAGTCGGCACTTTTTTTTAATTCTACTTGAGCTGCTAATTTGTCGGAATGCAGCACCAACCAATTAGGAGTGAAATCATTTCTCGAGTTGCACCGTTCGCCGTTTCGGACGTGATCGAATTACTTAATTCCAGTTCGATCGAAGCTGCCAAAGCAGTTTCTTTTTTTTTCACCAAGTTTCAAAGCGATGACGACCAAGCTTATCTGATAAATTATTACATAACACAACCATGACCTTTGCAACTCAAATGTGTGCAAATTTTCCAGCCCGCACACACTCGTGCAGGCGGTGTTAATTTGCATATTTGTTTGAATAATAAATTAAGGTCTCATAATTTTCCTCTTGTGTTTCAGAACTTCCCGCAGAAGAGGGTGAGTCTCACTCGAAGGGCCATCAACCGTCGTTTTGCTGTTTTTCACAAACAGAAACTTGCAAAAAAATTATTCCGTTATCAAAAACATCAATTTTTATCATAATTGCTTGGAATACAAAACTTGAAAAAATAATTCAAAAGAATGCAGACAAAAATCCAAACAATTTTATTATTATTATTATTATTTTTAAATTCAGAACTTGATTTATTGATTATTAAAAATACATTCATTCAAATTAGTAAAATCAAAGAAGTATTTTAAATTTCTTCTTTTTCAAGAAACCAATTTTCCTTTTAAAAAAATCAAAATTTTCCAAATTACAATTTTTGTACCTCTCCGAAAATGAGGGAAACTAATGACGTTTGAATTTGCGCCATCCGCACGCAAATCGAATGGTGGCGGACGCGAGATACGGAGAACACTGATAAGGACAGCATTGTAGTGCGTCAAAATTTATAAGGAACAAAATGTGGCGCAGGTCTCAGTTTTTATTCATGTAATCTTATCAGTGGCTGGCATGATTCTGCAGCCCTATCCCATTCGCTGGCTTCTGCTTGCACTGCCGCCTCTCTCTAATGAGACAATTTAATGAATCAACCGACTAAGTGATTTGTCGTGCCGCGGATAAACAACTATCAAAGCCGCCCGTCGCGCCTCATGCTTTTGTAGCGCACAACAAGTTTTGAGGAGTGTATTTTGCAAGTTTCTGTGTGCGAAGCAAGAACGAAAATAAAGTTTTGCTAGGCAAAAATAGAAGATAAAAGAAGGCCTCGCGGAAAGAGAGAGTAGCTGGCCATAAAATAAAAACGAAACGCGTGTTTTCGTAGATCAAAGTTCAATTGTTTGTAAATTATTTTCCAAGGTGCCTTATCTGACACGTGTGTTTGCCTAAGGCATACATTGTGTATGGACACAGAAATCAGTGTTCTTAAAATAGCGAGACTTAAACTTTAAAATAATAACAAAATTTGCATAAAAAAATCATAATTTTTTTGGAAAATTTCTAATTTTGCATAAAGTTGAAAACAGCCATTGAAAGAAGTAAAATCAAAGGGTTTTTGGTTGACAAAATTTTGTTTTATACTTAATTTTTCCATCTGAATTTCAGGCAAAACAATTTGGCAGCTTGTTCTCGAGCAGTTCGATGACCTCCTTGTTAAAATCTTGCTCTTGGCCGCCATCATTTCCTTCGTAAGTTGCCCTGAACCCATCTTTCGATCACCTTTTGAAATACGATTTATTTTCCTCCACAGGTCCTGGCCATGTTTGAGGAAGAAGACTCTCTCACAGCCTTCGTTGAACCTTTAGTCATTTTGCTTATTCTTATCGCCAACGCCATTGTCGGTGTCTGGCAAGAACGCAATGCTGAGTCTGCTATTGAGGCCCTGAAAGAATACGAGCCCGAGATGGGCAAGGTCGTACGTGGCGACAAGGCCGGTGTGCAGAAGGTGCGCGCCAAGGAGATCGTTCCTGGTGACCTGGTTGAGGTGTCTGTGGGCGATAAGATTCCCGCTGACATCCGCCTCATCAAGATCTTGTCCACCACTCTGCGCATTGACCAGTCTATCCTGACTGGTGAGTCTGTGTCCGTCATCAAGCACACTGATGCCGTGCCTGACCCCCGCGCCGTCAACCAGGACAAGAAGAACATCATCTTCTCCGGCACCAATGTCGCCGCTGGCAAGGCCCGCGGTATTGTCATTGGCACTGGCCTCAATACTGCCATTGGTAAGATATCAATAAAATTTCCAAAACATTAAACAGAACTTATTCCTAACAACTGTTGGGAATTTAATGAGTTGTGGTTTTAATGGTAAATTTTAATTTCAGGTAAGATTCGTACTGAAATGACTGAGACTGAGGAGATCAAGACTCCCCTGCAGCAGAAGCTTGACGAGTTCGGCGAGCAGCTGTCCAAGGTTATCTCCCTCATCTGCGTTGCTGTCTGGGCTATCAATATTGGTCACTTCAACGATCCCGCTCACGGTGGCTCCTGGATCAAGGTTCGGACACTTATGAAATTTTATTTGGGGCATACGGAGGGAAATTTTATTTTTGAATTGGAGTTTTGATTGAGTAATTTGTTTGCGCAGGGTGCCGTCTACTACTTCAAGATTGCCGTTGCCCTGGCTGTCGCTGCCATTCCCGAGGGTCTGCCCGCTGTCATCACCACTTGCTTGGCCCTTGGCACCCGTCGTATGGCTAAGAAGAACGCCATTGTGCGCTCCCTGCCCTCCGTTGAGACTCTTGGCTGCACCTCCGTCATCTGCTCTGACAAGACCGGTACTCTGACCACCAACCAGATGTCCGTCAGCAGGGCGTTCGTCTTCAGCCAGAATGACCCCACCGGCGCTACCTTCGACGAGTTCGAAATCACCGGCTCCACCTACGAGCCCATTGGTGACGTGTTCCTCAAGGGATCCAAGATCAAGGCCAGCGACTACGAGACCCTGCACGAGTTGGGCACCATCTGCATCATGTGCAACGACTCCTCTATTGATTTCAACGAGTTCAAGCAGGCCTTTGAGAAGGTCGGTGAGGCCACTGAGACCGCCCTGATTGTCCTTGCTGAGAAGATGAACCCCTTCAACGTGCCCAAGACTGGTCTTGACCGCCGTTCCACCGCCATCGTCGTCCGCCAGGACATTGAGACCAAGTGGAGGAAGGAGTTCACCCTCGAGTTCTCTCGTGACCGCAAATCCATGTCTTCTTACTGCGTGCCCCTCAAGTCCTCCAAGCTCGGCACTGGACCCAAGCTGTTCTGCAAGGGCGCCCCTGAGGGCGTTCTTGACAGGTGCACTCACGCTCGCATTGGCGGACAGAAGGTGCCTTTGACCACTTCCATGAAGAACCGCATCCTGGACGTGACCCGCCAATACGGTACCGGCCGTGACACCCTCCGCTGCTTGGCTCTCGCTACTGGTGATAACCCAATGAAGCCCGAGGAGATGGATCTTGGAGACTCTAACAAGTTCTACCAGTATGAGGTGAGAATTAAAAATTCAATAATTTCTAATCCGCTGTCTTTTCTTTTGTCTGCTTGACACATTTATTTAATACAATGGGTATATTTGCTGCTTTTGTGTAAAAAGGAGATTGGAAACTATTCTTCTAGGCCTACTTTTGATCCTTGTTAAAAGTGGCAATGCAGCAATATTAAAGCTGAACCAAACATTTTAAAGATATCATTATTAATCTTAATTTAATTAACTGACGATTTTTTCATTGAAGAATTAACTTAAACTTTTTTGTTCTCTCTGCGGTCTCTACCAGAATCTAAACCTTTTATTTTATGCTTATTCCATTTATACTAAGATATTTATCCATTCACATACATATTTTTACTTGTATTGAAGAATCAAACCTTACACTTTGAGGATTTATCACACAGTTAGGAGATTAACTCATTTGTACGACTTCTGCCAGACAGAAAAGCAAACAGAATTGATTAATATTTACTCAGCACGAATCGCGCAGACGAACGTAATGCAATTAGGTAGCCGGCGCGTTGCGCATTAATTGGCCCAATTACTCTTTCTATTCCTAATCGATGTCTGCTCGTTTTCAGAACAACCTTTGCTTCGTCGGCGTCTGTGGCATGCTTGACCCTCCCCGTAAGGAGGTCTTCGACTCCATCGTCCGTTGCCGTCTGGCTGGAATCCGCGTCATTGTCATCACCGGTGACAACAAGGCCACCGCCGAGGCTATCTGCCGCCGCATTGGCGTGTTCGGTGAAGATGAGGACACCACTGGCAAGTCCTACTCTGGCCGCGAATTCGACGACCTGCCCCTGTCTGAGCAGAAGGCTGCCGTTGCCCGCGCCCGTCTCTTCTCCCGCGTGGAGCCCGCCCACAAGTCCAAGATTGTTGAGTTCCTGCAGGGCATGAAGGAAATCTCTGCCATGGTAAAAATTATTCCCATTTTAACTTAAAAAAACGATAAATGTACATAGTCTGAAGTTTAACTTGAATTTAAAGTGAACAAAATCGTGGCAAAAAAATAGTAATAAAAATCATAATTCCAGACTGGTGATGGTGTCAATGACGCCCCTGCCCTGAAGAAGGCTGAGATTGGTATTGCCATGGGCTCCGGTACCGCCGTCGCCAAGTCTGCCTCTGAGATGGTGTTGGCTGACGATAACTTCTCTTCCATTGTCGCTGCTGTTGAGGAGGGCCGTGCTATTTACAACAACATGAAGCAGTTCATCCGCTACCTCATCTCCTCCAACGTTGGTGAAGTCGTGTCCATCTTCTTGACTGCCGCCCTCGGTCTTCCCGAGGCTCTGATTCCCGTCCAGCTTCTGTGGGTCAACCTGGTCACTGACGGTCTGCCCGCCACTGCCCTTGGCTTCAACCCTCCCGATCTTGACATCATGGACAAGCCTCCCCGTCGCTCTGACGAGTCTCTCATCTCTGGCTGGCTGTTCTTCCGTTACATGGCTGTTGGTGGATATGTTGGTGCTGCCACTGTCGCTGCTGCTTCCTGGTGGTTCATGTACAGCCCAGAAGGCCCTGAACTCACTTACTGGCAGCTGGTCAGTAGTTCTGCTAAAAATTTGTCCACTTGAAATGATGACAAATCCTTTTTCAGACTCACCACCTGTCCTGCTTTGCTGAGAATCCCGACTTCAAGGGAGTTGACTGCAAGATCTTCCACGATCCTCACCCAATGACCATGGCTCTGTCTGTGCTTGTCACCATTGAGATGTTGAACGCCATGAACAGGTTAACTTCAACTTAATTTTACAGATTTTTAACTAAAATTTATTCATTTTTTATTTAGTTATTTAAAAATAAAATGTAATAACAAACTCAATTTTTCTTCAGCTTGTCTGAGAACCAGTCTCTGCTGAAGATGCCTCCCTGGTGCAACTTGTGGCTGTGCGGAGCCATGGCTCTCTCTTTCTCACTCCACTTCGTCATCCTCTACGTCGAAATCCTCTCAGTAAGTCCATCGAATCTTGCCTTTTGCTTTTTCCTTCTCCTCCTCGCAGCAAGTTTCTGTTCTAATCACAACTTTGTCGGGCGCGTAGTCTGTATTCCAGGTCACTCCTCTGAACACAGAAGAATGGATAACCGTGATGAAGTTCTCCATCCCTGTGATCCTGCTGGACGAGTCTCTTAAGTTCATTGCCCGCAAGATCACTGACGGTGAGCGTGGTTATTACCCGAGTGAATTGCATTGGATTGGTGTGATGTGGGGGGTGTATGCCGTGCTCATCATGTACGGACCCATCTAACACGAGTGTCTTGTGAAGTAACAAGCAATTTTAAACCACGAGGACAATTTTACTTCAGCTTCCTCAGCCGGCACGTGTATAAAACAAACAAAAAAGATACCCTCCTCTTCACAAACAAACTTCCAAACTTGACTCGAATCGTTATTAATTTGACCTATATTTATTTAACAGTGTGTTGTTCTTGGATTTATGATGATTTTTGCATATTATATTACTCTCTTTTTAAGACTTCCAACGTTCATCCTTTACACAAACGTATTCGATCATACACAATTTATATACATTTGAATAATTTGCATGATCCTCTCAGCAGAAACAAGCAAACAGACATTAGTTTAAAACGCCCCTTCTTTCTCTCGCGATTTAATTAATTTATTGCATTCTTTGGTTACCTCGTCAATTTCACAAACATTTTTCTATTCCTCTCCCCCGAACCTTTTTCGATTTCGCGCGCGTTGCTGATGGTTGTCGTTTCATTGTCCGCTCTGGTCAATTTTGTTAACAATCGATTTTGCAACAAAGCTGAGCTGTACCATAATTTATTGGCTTCCCTAGCTGCTTGCTGATGATTTATCTCAAGTGTCTCTTTCTCTTGATAACTTGATTTCGTTTCCGAGCTGCGCAGGGCTTACTTTACACTCAACTCTGCCAAAATCATAAGGAGTGAACGTGTTTAATATTATAATGTTTGCAAAAAATATTTTTTATTGTTTCTGATGCGCTGAATGAGATGATACGTACGAGTCTGTATGGGTCATATAACTATATTTTAGAAAACTGTCTGTCCGTGAGTCTAAAAGCAACATTGTGTCGAGTGATTGCGCGTTTCTCTGGGTGACAAGTTGCTAGTTTGCCTTCTCGGCAGTCTCCGCGGCTGCCGAAACACTCCCTTTAGAATGATAATCATACGAGGTAACGGGTGGAGTTTTAATCCCCAAAGTGAATTTTACGGTTGAGTTTTTATTGTCTGCGACGTAAAAAGAATGAAAAAAAACACACACAAAAACACAAATACACACACAGAACCGAGTAAGAATTAAAACTGAAGACAAAAACTGATATTTGGAAAAGTCGAAGAAAAATTAATCAATCATCCTGAACTTTGGATACTTACAGCATGGTTGTTGTTGTTGTTGATCAATCGATATAAAAGTAATAATAATTATATATTATTAGTACGAAAACACAAAAACGGATTTGTTTCTTATTGTAATTTTATTGTTTGGTTGTAAAAGTTGCATCTAACTTTTTCTCCTTTCCCTGATACAAAATGAATGAAAATGCAAGAAATGCCCAGGAGCAAGCATCTGTGATTTTGCTGTATTCACTTGGCGTTGGTTGAGGTGCAGCAAACCAAATGTGTGACAGACTCACTGAAATTATCAATTGTAGTAGCCTCACCGACCTGACCCAGTTTTGATTGTATCAAACAAAACCCCCGGGAGGGCGTCTCGCCGTCCGCGGGCTCCTTTGACCCGACGCGACACGTCCTCCTGCCAAATTTTGTAGTTTGCGAATTTTTTAAATAATTCATTAAGGCCAAGTGATATTTTTAAAAATGTAAGTACACCAGTGTGGATTCAGTAAATTAATCACGGAAGTTTTTTCTGAAATTAACCGCATGTCGAGAGTGTTCGAGAGAAATTTGAAATCAAAAACACAAACCGTAAGACAAAGAAGGATGTTGTGCGGTTTGCCGACCGCCGAGACTTTGCTGTTGTACCTCGGATTAAGAAGCCGTGCCAAGAAGTCCGCGGCGCCGAATGCTCCAATTATATACGAATTAGCTAGATTTGAGAGATGCAACCAACAATACATATTAAAAAGGATTGATTGAGAAAAAAATGTGGCCTACTCCTTACTTATATTACTAACATGTAATCAAACTACTGTCAAATCCACTAACTTTGTCGATTTTTATTTCCTCGCTCTCCGTCACCTTTCCTCCTTTTGAAACAGTGAATTGAGTTTGAGAATTTTGTATTTGGCAATGAGTGCGACCTTTTTCGAAGAAGCCTCCCTCTTGGCTATTCTTAACATCTCTCTCAGTTTGGAATGCTCCCAAATTGCTGTTGATTGCTGTCGACTCGCTTGTTGCTTGCATTTTCTACCTCCGAGGACCAATTAGCGGACCAATCAAGGTAAGAGACTTTTCCTAACAATTATAAATAATTCTTAATTAATATATACTCTAGCAACAAAAAAATTTATAAATATTCAGCCTGCTCAACACGAACCAATCAGATGTACATAAAAAAATATGTGTTTTCAAAATTCCGGCCGCTTTATCCGTGTCTAGAATAGAACCGTTTCTCTGACAAATGGTTTCTCTGTGCCGTCCAGACACCTCTCTCAGATGGAGAGGCCAACTTTTATTTTCGGTAGTTTAGACAGCCGCTTCACACGTGTCCGTGTCCTTGGCTCGCTTTTCCGCTACAGAAGAAGAGCAGTCGAGCAAATGTCGCTTAAGCTTCTCGTGGCGTTCGCTGATTTTTTTCGTACTCTCTGTGCCAGCAGAGAGGATTGCAATCGAGATTCACATTTTCATAAGACTTCTTTCTCTCTTCCAACAGTTCCCGAGCTAGTAAAAAAGGCCGACTAAGACGTACGTGGTCAGTGTGGTGAGCCGAGAAGACAGAGATGGACTCGCCGCGCACAAACAAGGATTTTTTTGATCTGAGTCGAACATACATTTTTACCGCGCCTTAGTGATCGTAGCAAAAACCAATTTGAGACCGACGATTTATTTTTACCTCACGGGAAGTGACTATATATTTACATACGCGAAATGCAAAAAAAGGCACTTTTTTCATACAACGCAAAATTAACTCTGGCGTATTTGTGTAAATATGAAAAAAAAAATTAATCCGCTTCTTCAATAAATAATTTCTTTTACTCAATGAAAAGAAAGAAATAATCGCAGGCTTTTTGACAAAAAATATTTGATAAAATAACGCCGAGTGATGCAAAATAAAGACAAATAGATCGCTCGAGTATGAAAATTAGGATAATTTATGATTTGTGCATGATTGTGCTCCCCTTTACCTAATTATAAAAAAAAACTGCCAGTGTGCTATTTCCCCGTCTCTCAACTCCTCTTTAGTGTCGATCGATGTTCTGCTTCTTGTGCTATTTAACCTTTGGCTAATATGCGTACATGTGCTTTAATTTCAGTTCCTGACAAGGTTGTCGACAAGATGGCCCATTAAGGAGGCTGACGAGCGCCCCGTCGTTTGTCCACTTTATTCCCGTTTATTTGTAGAAAAACACACTCAAGGAAAAAAACAAACGATTCGACACGGCTTTTTAACCCGAACCGAAATTTGCGTTTCGATCTTCTTTTTATCCAATCTTGATAATGCAAAATTGAGCATTGTGTATATTTGTGCAGACCATCTGTTGAGAGTATTTTAGATCCTGAGAGAATATTCGCCTTTTTTTCTCGCTCTTATTACTTGTAGAGACATAGTTGTGACTTAATTACTGCTATACACTAACAACCAAAATTCGTCGAAAGTGCCTCGTTCAATTTTTTGCATTGGGCAGACCGAAAGTGTTGGATTAATTAATTATGTATAAATTATTATTTATATAAAAATCGCGCCCCTCTGAGCTCCTCTCGCCCGCACCCTTCTCGATCCATCTGAAAGTCAGTCGTTCTGCACCAAAAGGATTTCAGTGAGAGGGGCCTAAAGGACTCTGTGCGACTCCTGCCATTTCGAGCCATGCTCTGTAACTCAGATAGGAATGGAAATCAGCTGCACTCTCATTCCCATTCCCTCGGATGTAATTCTTCGGCAGAACGACTCTGCCAGTGGCAATGGAACAAACAAACGAATAAAGTTTTTTGACTTAAAAAACACCAAATACAACCTGCAGTCTTATTTATCAAAATTGTCCCGGTTGTGAAGAAAATTTTTTAAATTGATCCTTTTTTAAAGGGTACAAAGATGCAAAGGATGTTAGTAAAATATGCTTTCAGAAATAATTATCTCATTTATATTTATTAAAAAAAGCTATGAAAAAAAAGTAAAATTCATGAATAAAATAATTAAAACCTTTTTCGAACCTATTGGTTATTAAGTTGAACGTTCTTACGCTGAGGTAGGATTTTTTTAATAGCAAGAATAATTTAATTATCTGATAAATTGGTCCACATTTTTCGTCTCTTTGTAAAGTATACAATCAGCTTTACATTTGTGTTGCGCCAGTTGCCTGTATACTATTTCTGCAGGCGCTTTGAATTGAAATTAAAATATTTCGACAAGTAGTAGCCTTCTCTTTCAGATAATTTTTGTCTCAATTTTCCACATGAATATAACTTTTATAAAATAAGAGAAAAGAGAATATTAAACTGGGTTGTTCAAAGCTCTGATTAATTTGATAGATAACATTTGAATTGGCGCTCTTATTGTGTAAAAAATTCCGACGTCCAGGCATGCGCAATACGTCTAAGTCGGAGGAAGGCGTAACCCAAAAAGGTATCTTAGAAAGTAATTTTCTTCAAAAATTTTAATTTGTCCTTAATATACAAATTGGACGCGGATGAGAGCGTGCTCAAGTTAAAGTAAAAAACAAAATTTATTAATTGTGATATAAATTTCGGTCCTCAGAAATTTGCATTTGTGCTTTTGAGCCCTGAAACTTCGGCTCTACAATGACCATGGGCAAAACAAAATCATAAATAAACAAATTACGAGAAATTAATCATTGGAAAAATTCAAATGGGTACGACAAAATGTATAAATAACTGCATTCAAATTCAGCTTGAAGTACTAGAACGTTAATTGCGTTTGGATTTTTATTTATTTATTAAATTATTATGTAACACTGAAAATTGTCAAAACATCAGAAGTCAACTTTAAGAAAATTATATATCAGAAATTAATAAATTATAGTTTAAATATTTATTTAAATTTGAATGAAAACTTAAGCTTTTCAATTAAAAATGTTAATCTTTTTGTAAAACTTCCATAGGTTCATCAAGATGAGTATCTTCCTGAATGTGCTCAGACCTTATGTTGCGTACATCACGTTCCCTGTCGCCCTAGTCTTTGGCTTCGTGGGCTACAAAATCGAAGGCTGGGTCTCGGACAAGTACACTCCGTACAATAAAAGTATACAAGAGTTGCGAAGGGAGCGGCAGGAAAAAGAAGGAAAGGCCGAACTTGTGATCCCTAAAACGATTTTTGAGAAGAATTTATCGCCCTCTCTCATCGAAGAAGACCCGAGAACCACAAAAAGCAATGCGGCGTAAATGTACCTTAAAAACGACGGGCATCTTCCTAACATTTCAGTGACTGTGAAAATAAGCGGCAAATAAATAAGCAGATTTTAGTTATCAATAAAATAAATGATACACTTGCAGTTTGATTAACATTGTACTTGTCATTGACTAAAATATTTATTTGGCATTGGTTGAATAGTTACAAAATAAAGAATATTTTAAAAAAAAATTGCAATAAATTGCGCACCGTGAATGTTACAAAATCTTTCTTTTGAGCAAATTAGTAAAATTAGAGTCGATGTTGTGAGCTGCTCAAGTTACACTTGGCAAATACGAGCGTTTTGAATCTTCTGGCAAAGTCGATGGTGCATAAGCCGCCCCTAAAGAAGTTACGAATTAACTCTGTAAAATTCCAACTTTAAAAAAAGTAATTACCACATGGACAACTTCTCCGTTGAGCGCCACACAGGTCAGGACAATCAGAGTAATGACGCAGACCACAATAGCACACATTACAAAATGTCGGTACTGCACCCAAACCTGCAGTTCGTCCACAGTCAGGAATCGGTTTCGGTACATAAGAGGCAGTTCGAACTTTGAAGGTTCTGGCAGGATTGACTCGTAGAAATCTTGAAGGACGGCCCTGACGTAACCATTTTCCTTCTCCTTTGTGGGATCCAGGTTATCATTAATGCACACAAATTTCCTAAAGAAAATAAATCAATCTTAAGTCATTAAAAATTTTAATTTATTCAAAATTAATTTTGCACCTCGGCCTCCGTCTCAAGTTGTCTAAACTGTCCACAACTTGACTTAGATTGGAAGTTAGCATTTTGAAAGCTACTTCTTCCTCTCCCATGACTTTGGTCTTGTACTTGTTGCGCCTGCCAAATTTTCTTATCAGCCGACTATTCACTGATTCGCACAGAGATACAAGTTGCTTTGTAATTGTAGGCTGTAAAAAACCACGCTGATTGTGAGAAAAGTTCATAAATTTCAAACGAGTTTTTCTTACCACTTTTGAATCCAGGTAATGTTCATAGGGAGGAGTAGGAACGTCAACCAGAACCGAAGTGTGAGTTTTCGAGCAGTTGGTCAGCTCCTCCTCGAATTCCGTAACAAATGAAAATTTCAATATTGCATGCAGCCGGGCCAAGACTGTCCTCATCTCTCTATCAGACCAGGTCCTGGGATACAGAAATAAGACTTTTAAATATTCAAAAGTAAATTAATTTACCCTGATTTATCTGTATCAAACATGTCAAAAATTTCTCCAATGTGGACATCCTCCTTTTCGTGCATTAAAAAGTAATAGTAAGAAAATGCAAACTGCATGTCCATTGGACTCCGAAACTTGTGAGACGAGGTTACATCCCACTCCCTGGGAAACCGCTTTTGCAGTTCTGCCATTACATCTTTGTCGATCAAATGGGCAGAGTGGGCTGGAACTTTTCTCGCCTCAAAGCCAAACGCATTGTTGTACAGGCGGTTGACGTGCAGCAAAGAGTCGGCAAATGTGTCCAGCAACTTCCTCCCAAGTCTTCGGTCAAAATTTCCCTCCGAATCATCAAAGCCCAAGATTTTCCTTAAAGAATTTGTTAGGTCTTGGGGCCCCAACTGAGCACCAATAGGCAGTCCAGTGAATGACTTGAACCGAGCTTTCTCGGTCGTTGAGCTTTTTGTGGCCTGATGTGTACCATTGACTTCCGGCCTGGCTCCCCATGTGTTGATTCTAACTTTTAATTGGATCTTAAAAACATAAAAGCCATAAGCAAAAATTAAGTTGACTGCCAGTTTCAAAATTACCTCATATTTTTCTCCATTTCTGATTCCCTTTATGTATCCTTTTATCACACTCTCAGCAACTTTCGGCCGCAAAACGAGAATCACTAGTTTCAAATTTGTATTTAGAGACCAAACTCTGATTGCAACGTGGTCCTCAAATTCACCGTCGACCGGCTGACCATCATCTAATATGTCCGATACGTTCCAAAATGCGCCAAGAACATCTAAGCAATAAAAAAATTTAACACTCATTTCACAAAAAATATCAACTCACTATCTGGCATGACGTACGTAAAATTTTTGAAAGTGCTCATTTTGAACTCATGCAGTCTATAAAAATTAGCAGTACCGCAGTCTCCTGCATCAAAACCACAGGCAAAATAGTTGCAATTCTGTAAAAATTCGATTAAATGATTTTCATTAATAAAAAAACAATGAAAAATGGTGTCTTACAAGATCACAGAATTTGTCGGCAAGCCATCCATCGGCGCAGTTTGGCGCGCAGGAATCAGGGTCGTCCAGAGTGGCTGACCAATGGTCAAAGTCCTCCTGCTCTTCCCTAAGAAATTCCATCTGAGGTTCGACACCATCTTTGCAGTCGCCACCGTCCCACATGCACTCTGATACGTTGCAAGCCTTGTCACAGGACCCATCCGAGATCCAAGACGTCGGGCAGCCCTCCTGGCATTCGGGAACCGGCCAAGACAAGTAAACCTTTGGGTGTCATCAAAAGGATAAATCATGGAAAAATAATTTCTAATTCTAATTACTTTTTGTCCTTCGGTTTCAGTGTAAAAATCTTCTGGCCAGACATCCTTTCCGAACATGACATCATCGTTCAGATACAGGAACCTTTTAGACAGTCCTGGTATTCTAAAATTTGTAAAAGAAAAAAAAATTAAAAATTAAATGACATAATAAAATGAAGATTTTTTTCAATTAAACAGAGTTTGACTGATTTGTGCAATATTTTTCTCACCTTAAAATAAACTGGTGTATTTAAAAAAATTAATTTCCTATAAATTGAAATAAACGATTAAATTCAAATGGTTTTTCTATTCACCTGTGCAGGTGGCTTTCAATGGCAGGACTGCTGAACGTGGGCAGGTGAGATTGATTCACAAAGAGCTGCTGATGGGTCACGACGCTCAGTCGGGGGTGGTCCAAATTGAGCCAATATGGAATTTGCCCGTTTGTGACCACATAGACGTGCCTCACCCATGGGGCATATTTTTCAACCGACCGCAACGAGTATCGCAGTTCCTTTTCAAAAAATGAATACATATACTCATACTTCTTATAAATAAAAGTTATTTACCTCTTTGTCATGGAATCGCGAGTCGGAAAAGTCTTCATTGTGCTCAATACTGGTCAATTCTAATACTAGATGTGCGGGTGACAGAAATGCGTCTTTGCTTCCAACTGTTATATTAGGATACGACTGTTGGCAAATATTTCATTAAAGTTTGAAAAGAAGAGCAAATTTAAATATACATTTCTGAGGGTGTCTTGACCAACTGCATGTGGAAGCTGGAGAACAGCCAGTCCCTGGTCCAGGTAAATCCAAACGCCCACAACTCGAAGGTTGCTGGGCAAAGACTTGATCACAGTCTCCTTACTAGCGCTGGCGGGAACACCAAGCAAAATCACAAACTGTCGCAAATTGACGGAATTTTTCGCATCGGGATCTGCAGATTTTTTTATTACGTTTTAATCACAGGATATTTATTGATTCTTGCCTGTTGTCCAGAATGCTTGGTGCAGGCTGAAATTCCTACCGGCAAGCTTGAGGATGCCGTCAGCACTTTTGGCCTCTTCCACAGACGGATACTGAAGGAGCGTCCAGGTCCTTCCATTTAGAGGGACTAAGGAAAATTCAGAGGCGTGGGCCAAAACTTCCACCTTCGTGTCCGGCGTCAATGGAAGGCCACCTCTGCAAATTATAAGATTGTAAATTTCTGATAATAAACTTTCAATCGTTTTACTTGGTGGAGATGAAGTGAGATGGTACACATGACCTGAAATGGCAGGGGCCTCTTTTGTGGTTGATGTCTTCAATTTTGAATTCACTTTTCTCTTTTAATAGGGTTTCCTGGAAAAGGGGATCGCTGCCGTTTACCCAAGTGTAGACAACATCAATGGGCACTGACTGGCACAACCTGAAAAATGCAAAATAATGAAATTTACTGATCTATATATCTATAAATGTAAAAAAAAATATGCATGCATTTTACTTTTCTTGGAGATTTCTCCCTGCAATGTTGTCATGGAATCTGTTAAAAATCGACGAATATCTGACCGTGCTCCACTGAAGCCAGGTCTGCAAGATATTTGCTTAAGTTAAGAAATGTTTTTATTTAATTAAATAACACTATACCTCTCCAAATTGGAATGCAGTGACAATCACAAAAGTGAAGAGAACGAGAATGAAAAAGAGTGCTTGCTTGTGAGAGAACAAATCGTAAATCTGCTTTTGAATCACTTTCCACAGACTCATTACTCCCGAGCGATTTTCCTGGCTGGAGCTAAACGTGTTGTCAACGTCTGTAAACCATTTTCTGGCCACTAACCGCTAATTAAAAGCCGCTAATTGCGAAATAATCAGTTTGTCTTGTCGTCTGATTTGTTTTGCTTTATTTGAAAACAGATGTATTGCGGTTTAACTGGCTAGAAAAAAGATACCGGTTATTTTGATTATATTATAATTAATTTTTAATAGAAAAAAGTGCTTCTTAAATGTAAATGCTGATCTATATTGTATTTAAAAGTTGTATATTTAATTAAATTTTTATATGCAAATATATTTAAAATAAATTTTTTACGAAATAATAACCGGTATATTTTTATATAAGCACACCACACACCGCAACAAAAACAAAAACACGAAAAACACATGGCCGGCACGAAAACATTGGGGTCTAACGTTTGATTTCACCTAAAAATTCGATGATCCTTCGCTCAGGTCGCTGCCGACTTTTTCAAAAACCAAGACTTTTTACTTGTAACATCATGGATAGTGAATCTTCGTCGACTGGTGACGGCCCGAGACCGCAATTCGGCAACAGACACCTGAAAAATCCGGATGACGTTTTCCAGCACAACGCCTGGGACGATGTCCAGTGGGACCCTGAGCAGCAAGAGCACGCCAGGAAGGTGGTCGAGCAGAATTCTTCTGAGAAAATGAGTCCCGAAGACGCAGCAAGGATCGAGAACGAAGCTGGAAAATTGTGGGACAAATTTTACGGCGTCCATCAAAACGGATTCTTCAAGAACCGGCAGTGGCTGTTCACTGAGTTTCCCGAGCTGGTGCCCAAAGAAGGAAATATAGACAGGGTCAATGTATTAGAGGTGACAACTTTTCTATAAAAAAAATCTAATAAAAATTAAAAAAAAAATTTAGGTTGGCTGTGGAGTTGGAAATACTGTCATTCCTTTGGTCCAAACAATCGCCGACCAAAATTTCTTCGTCTACGGCTGCGACTTTTCAGAAACTGCCGTGGAAATAATGAAGCAAGATGAAAACTACAACGAGTCTCGATGTCTTGGGTTCGTTTGTGACGTGACTGCTCCCGAGTGGCCTGTGCCTTTTCCTCCCAACAGCCTCGACCACATCCTCCTAATTTTTGTGCTCTCTGCAATAAATCCAGAAAAAATGCATCACGTGGCGGGACAGCTGTTCAAATACCTGAAGCCAGGCGGTCTGGTCTTTTTCAGGGACTACGGTCGTTACGACATGGCCCAGTTGCGGTTCAAAAAAGGAAAGTGCATTGCAGACAATTTTTACATGCGAGGGGACGGAACTCGGGCGTACTTTTTCACACAAGAGGATTTGAGAAAGTTGTTCACCGGGGCTGGATTTGTGGAGGAACAAATGTTGGAGGACAGAAGATTGCAGGTCAATAGGGGGCAAAAACTAAAAATGTACCGCGTTTGGATCCAGGCAAAGTTTAGAAAGCCGGTATTGCAATAAAATAATATATCTAAAATTGGAGATAAAGATTTTTTTTTTAATTTGAATTAATCCAAAATCCAAACTATTTCTTTCTTATATAATATTAAATATATAATAATAATTTTTAATATTGCAGAAAATACACTATCAACAAACAGAAATTTTAATTGTTGAGAATATGTGTAGTCAAGATAAAGATGAACAATTGAAAACATTGTTTGAAGTTTTAATTATTTGTATATTTTATAGCTATACAATTTTGCTGATTATTGGTTTCAAAGAGTCAAACAAAATGTATTTATGGAGTTTTGGAAAAGTTTCAGAATTTGAGTTTCAAAATGGATAGCTTTACAAGTAAAATCACAGCCAGTCTTAGCCAGTCTTAGCCACTCCTCGAATTTGAATAGGAACAGCGACTTTAGCGATCCAAGTGCGTTGGTGGAAGATGACTTTTTGAGCTTGAACATGTATCAAGCAGCAGAGACTTGGAACAGTCCGAGTTTGATGCGGGCCTCGTTCGCCTCTGGTCCAATGTCCAATTTGATTCCGTCTCTCCCCTTCTGCAGTTTTCTTTCGGCTTTTAATTTTAGTATAACTGAGTACAAAATTTTCAATTTGTCCTTTACTTGTCCTTAAAACTGACAATCTCCGAGGAGACGGGGGTATGTCTAGTCCAGACAAAAGATGTAGACTTTGCGAGTGTCGAGAGTAAGGAGATGATGAGGGCGAAAAGAGGGATTGCAGCGGTGGAAAATTGATTAAAAATGTAGTGGACGCATATCAGCTGAAATTAAAGCTGGTTGAACTGAAACGTAGGCGAAATTTTTTTTGTCAATTTTGATTTTATGCGCTATGAATAATTCACAATTTGTCCAAACTCATATGCAATATGCTATAGTTATACGCTTGTGAAAAAAAAGCAATTTTTATGAGTGAAATATATATAAATATTGGTGATTTCTCAGCTGAAAAATAAGTATGAGCGACGGATATAACAAAAAACCTAATAGGTGAAAATGAAAGAACGATGTTTTTACGTGGAATGTTATCAAATATGCCATCAAAATTAGATATTTATTTTTATGCTTCAACATATATGTATTGAAAAATCCATCCAAATAATATGTACTAACTGAAGATTTGGTTGGTTTCACATACGTACAGAATGATTTATCTTTTTCTTTAATAAAAACAATTTCTCTAGCCACATTCATTTTGAATTTTTATTTGGTCAACATTATATTGCATATCATTCTCTATTCACTAATGAAATAATAATAGAACCAACTGTTATGGGAATTTGTTAGTATAAGCATCATCACAGTTCTTTCTTTTCTCCAGAGCTCTGGTCATTTCCCTCAGCAATTGTGATCCTCTTTATCTTCAAAGTCTTCCTCAAACTCACTCTCTTCTTTTTTCATCCTCTTCGTCTTCACTTTCTTCATCTTCGTCCTCACGCTGTTCTTTCGGCAGGGACCTCAAGGTATTCATCGGCTTTGAAAAGAAAGCAAATATAAATTATTTGAATCTCTATCAGCCCTCCTTTCTCCTCTAACGATCCTTTTGTATTTATAATTTAAAAAGTAATATACCTTATTGCGTTTTCGTGATGGCTGCTGAGTACCACTGTTACCAGGGGTGCTACACCCCGAGGCACCTTGGCCACCTGGCGGCCTTTGGATTTTTGATCGAATTGCAGCGAGCAAAGTTGCAGTGTCTGAAAATAATTATTTTTAACTGAAATTTTCAAGCTTTATCTTAAATATTTACCAGAGCTGAGGTCAATTCCTTCTAATCCTCGAATGTGCCCATAAACCACCAGGCTCAGAGCGTCAAGTCCATCAATTCCATTCTTGTTCAAGGAAAACTAGAATCTCTCTTGGCATCTTAGGCATAGACACGGTGTCTTTGAGAACGCGAACTGTGTTCGCATTCCTCAATTTCGCCTCTAACTGGGGTCTTCATCGCCTCAAGATCTAAAATTTTAGGTACTAAAAATTAGATCAAATAATTTTATCTTCAAGCCTTACTCATCCGCTCTGGTAATTCCAAGTTTCTGAACGCCAACAGACGAATGATGTTTTCCTTTACCTTGCCAAGTGTTGTCATGCTTTTGTTGCACATGTCCTTGTAAATGGTACCTAATATAGCTAAAGAGGCACCGACTTTCTCCATTGGGATGTCAAAGCTAGCAATTTCCTTGTGAGCTGCAAGACCTGCAAAGATAAATGCCAAATCTTATATAATATATTACCCAAGAACATTATTTATAATTAATCGCCCCCCCCCCTCCTCCCAGTTTAAGATTAAACTTGTGATTTGTTCCTACTTGTTTAATACATGTTTAAAAAAGGCAATTTTTTTTACAAAACGTACACAACAAAAAACAGATTTTTTTTACCTTCTGGATCATCATCTCTTGCTCCGCTGAAATGATGCAAAGCGCAAGCAGCTCGGAGTTTGTTTGTAGCTGAAAAAATGAGTTTTTCACAACAAAAAAACATTTATTCTCTTCTCTTATTAAACTTTTTTCTTTGAAATACTGCCAGTAAATAACTACGTAAAAAACTAATGACGTACTGCCAGTCCACTGGGACACCAAGAGCTTCAAAGTGAGCCAAAATGGAGAGTTTTGGCCCTTTCAGAGTTCCAACAGCATTTTCTTTGAGGGCTCTGAAAATGTCACCAGGTAGCTGTTTAGGCATCATTAAATCGTCGTCTACGATGTAAATCACATCAGTGTTGATGAGCCAATTGTGCAATATGCCTGTTCCACCGTCTTCCGTGCTGAAATTTTGCAGGGAAAATTAAATCAAATTATTTTTTAAATCAATATCAAGCAGATGAGGTTTTTAAAATGACAAACGTTCATCTTTATTTAAACAAAATTATAAAAAATATTTGTGGGAACATACACCGCGGCCTTGATTCCATGTCATCAACGCTGTTTCGGAAGGTAAGGATGGCGACAGCGTTTTCATTCCCGATGATCAACTGACATTTCTGCAAGGCTCGACCCGACCTGAGGTTTCTTGTGCTATCGTTCAAATTGCTTTCAAGCACATGAATATTTGAAGGAAGTATTAGTTGATCAGGCTTTTAGGGATGATGAACCTTTTCTCTGCCGCAGAGAAGCTAAAGCCCTAATCCATAAAATAATAATTAGTAAAGAAGTTTTTTACAATAATCAAAACAACTTTGATAAAATTTGGTTTTGGTACAATCTTAAAATAGGACTGAAAAATTTACGGAAGCTACATTTATATTTTTTTAATTTTCGCGTCGCTCCGGCCATTCTTTTTTATTCAAATTTTATAATTATATTATTTTACATTAAAAAAGAATTTTTATTGCGTTTTTTCGTGGAATTTTATTAAATAGGCCATCATTTTAAATTAGATGATGAATAATTTTTATGCTTCAACATTCAACATGTATTGAAAAATCCATCCAAATAAATATAACTTTTGAGCATTTTATGTACACATACGGATTAATTTTTTTCTTTTAATAAAAAATTCTCTATAGCAACATTCATTTTTAATTAAGGTCAACATAATAATTCAATTAACCTTTCATTCTCACTGCCAAACATTGACATTTTCTTTAGAGACCTGTACTGTAAAATTACAAGAAGGTAGATTTTGGTACCTAGCTGGTATCTCATCCTGTTCAGATGAAAAATGGTGCCGCGAGCACGCTTCACGGAGTTGTTCCGAGGCTGAAAAAATGAGTTTGTCACACACAGAATACATACTCAATTAAATTCTCTTATTGAACCTTTTCTTTGGTAATATACTGCCAGTAAAAAGCTGCATAAACAAAACTAATGACTTACTGCAATCTAATGCGACACTAAGAAGCTCATAGTGCGCAAGCACTGAGAGTTTCTGTATCTTGAGAGTGCCTGTAGCGTTCTCCTTCACCGCTTGTAAAATGTCTGTAGGAAGTTAATTGGTCGGGCATCATGAAACAATCATCAACAATGTATACGACATCAGCTTCGACAAGCATAGTGCACAAAATCTCTTCAACCGTTTTTCTGGCTGCAATTTTGCAAGGAAATTACAATCAAATAAATCTATAACCTTTCATCTTCAAGCAGATGAGACGCTTTTAAAATGACATAAAAACGTTGCATCCTCGTTTAAAAAAGAAAAAAAGGTAGTAAACAGGGTTTCGGAGCGGGAGCGTTTTGGAGCGGCGCAAACGCTCCTTGGAGCGTTTTTAACAAAGGAGCGCTCGGTGGCGCTCCTAAAGCGCTCCGAGGAGCGCAGGAGCGTATTTTCTACCGCTCCGAGGAGCGTTTGCTCCAAGGAGCGTTTTCCCAAAGCGCTCCAAGGAGCGCTCGCTCCTGGAGCGTTTTGTCTTGGTGCGTTTTGCTCCTTGGCGCATTTCTTATTAAAATGGTCAATATTCATCCCATTCCTTAAGAAAAAATTTATATATTGATTAAGATGCACGTTTTAATTATTTAATATATTTTAATTAGCAGTTTTATGCACTAAAATTGTGGATTGTTGAGCCAGGATAGTATGCACTAATAGAAGGTTATCACTTTTGGTTATGGACAAGACCCTGACATATTGTGGCAAAATAATATTTCTGACATGCCAAGCGGGGGGTAGCATTTGGGTTAAGCAGGAACATGCATCAATGCGTTTTAGCTTGCCTCTCCTTGTATCTCTTTATACACACAAGGGAAAATCCTTCCTTTTTCCACCCCAGGTCACACGAAAAACAAGCTATGGATTGTATATCAACTGAACAAAGGAAGGTGCAAACACGAAAATGTCGTCCTAGTTTCTTAGAATTGATCTTTTTAAAATCCTATTTAACAACTGAGTGATTTGACAAATTTAATGTATATTATGAGTCCATACAAGAAATAACACTTAAAAAATGTCACAGGCCCTTTCCTGGCTTTAAAAGAAGATTTACGAGCACACCTACCTCTTTTTGCTGCATGTTTTCCTGATAAGATATACTTAATAAATAGCTTCTTAAAAGAGCCTTTCAATAAATCATTTCATTAATTTAATATAGTGAAAAATGATTTTCATATGCGTGGAATTTTATTTAAATTTTTAATCAATTTAAAATACTAAATATTAAATTGACTTTCATTATAAATCATGAATTTGATCTTACGCAAACGCTCATAATGCGCAAGCGCGTCCAATTTCACCAAGCGAGGAGCCCACGAGGAGCGTTTGCTCCAAGGAGCGCTTTGTACCGCTCCTAGGAGCGCTATCTCCCAGAAGCGTTTGCTCCTTGGAGCGCAGGAGCGTTTGCGCTGAGGAGCGTTCGCTCCTAGGAGCGCAGGAGCGTTTCCGCTGAGGAGCGTTCGCTCCAAGGAGCGCAGGAGCGTTTTGAAATTCACCGCTCCGAAACCCTGGTAGTAAACTTAGTTGGAAACGCTTACTTCTGGAGTCTATCATGGGCACGTCGTTGCGGAAAGCGAGAGAATGGCGACGGCGTTGTCATTGCCAATCATTAATTGCCGTTTCTGGATTGCTCGCTCCGATCTAGCCTTTTGGTGCTTCCGTTGAAGTGGCTTTCGAGTGCGTTCAATATTGTGGGAGGTATTTGATGAGGCTTTTCGGCAATATAAATCTTTTCTCTGCAGACGCCATGCTCTAAACAATACTTAATAAATAAAGAGATTTTCAAAATATCAAATATGGCTTTTATTATTCTTAGCAATAATATATAATAAGACTCAAAATTTTGATGGAAGATTTAAATACTTTGTTTTTAATTCTCGCATTCGCGAGGGCGCTTCATTCAAATTTTCATATTCTTTTAAACATAAAAAAAAAAAAACAATTTCATGATGCGTGGCTCATTGCGCTCTATTCTCTATACGAAATACTTCAGATCCATAAAATCAGAAAATAATACATTATCAGGTATAATTGAGAATGTATTTACGTTCAATATAATTCAAGAAAATAATATATCAGAATAAAAACATAAATATGCAAGGCTTTGAATTAATAATTGCACCCAACCAGAAATTTTTATTTCCTCAATAATTTTGATTATGTTCAAATTAATTTCAGAATCTATTCCACATTATTCAAAATTAAAAAATGCAATGCTTTTTCATCCAGGAATAATGTATGAAAATATTTTCATACATTATTCAGCAATATTACTGAAATATTATAAGCAGTTTTATTCCCTCACTGCTTTATATTTTCATTTTCGATTTTTATTGAAGGGAATTATAACTGAAATAATGCTGAATATTATTTGCAATTAATCAAAAATATATTATTGAGACACAAAAAACTTGTGGTATTCACTCATTTAACGACTTCTTATAGATATAGTCAAATCAAGTCTTTACGACTGGTTTGTTAAATTTACAATAATTGCAAAAAATTGCTTCTATTGTTGCAAAGACTTGATTTGACTATATCAATATGAAGTCCTTAAAACTTTGCAATTACACAACAATTTAGCGGCATAACCATAACAAACTATGCACCAATTTCGTCAGTGATTTCCTTTTACTCAGCTTTATGGCTGTGTGGCACACGCAATCATCTGATGTGGATAAAAAATAAATAATTGCTTTTTTTTCTTCAAATTCTCACATGCACCTAAAATTGTAAGATATAAAAGGGTTTGCGCCAATTACGCCAATTATTTTTATGATTATTTTCTTTATTTACCTTAATACGCAAAAACCAACTTTGATAAAAAAAATAAAATTAAAAAAAAATTAATATATAAAATTAAAATTTATGTATAATGTAATTTATTGAAATGAACGCTGTAGGCGTGCCACAACTAAACTCTCTAACAATATAACCTCCCAATTCACTTGGCGGTACAGTTTGCTGCTTCGCGCAGACTCCTTTTCTGTTTAAAATTTATCACTAAAGAAAAGTAAACATTTCATTCATTTTTTTTTTTTGTTAAAACGATAAATTATTCCTGTTCAGGGTTTCCACTGCACAGGGGGTGGCGAGAGGCCCGAGAGGGTCTTCAATTCATCGTCGCATAAAAGGTGTCGTTTAAATAATTATTACCATTTGCGGTTGAAAATTCAAATTCGTCACGCGCAGCCAGCAACACTGCCCAGAGTCAAGACGAAAAGCCTAGAGAAAAAAGAATAAACCGTCCACCTGACACACAAAATTTAAAGAAAATCGAAGAAAATGGACGATAAATTAATGAGGATCCATGAACGGCAGCTTACCTTGTTTCGCTTACAGTTGACTTATCAGCTAAAACTCCAGAAACAGCAAAAATTTTCTTTGCAAAACCGAAACCCGAGCGAAATTGATTGGATTCAAAATGGCAATGCACCGGCCGGCGGTGCAGAACTGCACTTCTGAATTGCATGCAGCGCCGTCTATATTATTATTGCATTACAATATTCAGCATTATACTGGAATATTTGGCAAAAACGAATAAGTTAATCTTGCCTCAATTAATTAAGAATTTATTCCACATTAATTCAAAGAAATTATTGCAAGTTAAAATATTATTAAATTTAAAAAATTATTTACAAAATATTGCAAATTATTTTTTTAATCGTCAATATTAATGAATATTTATTTAAATATTTAAACCTACGAATCTTTTAAAAACCTACTTTCTAAGCAAAAATTAAAATGAACATTTAGGTGAATATTTTGTATGATGTGAAACATAAATTGTTGACTGGGTGTCGTGTATGTCATTATTTATCCTTGCACTGAACGAATGCTTGATTCAGGCAATGGGCAGCAATGGGCTTCAGAAAAAAAACATGGACGCGAATTTGCCATGGCTGCCCGACTGAAACCATAAAATGCCCAAAGACGAACTTTTCGGACGCGTGAAGGACTTTCATAGCAAAATTATAATTTACAGGGCACTTAAGTCGCGAGATACGGTTTCCAGTTTACGGAAGAAAGACCTTGAAAAGAGAATTTTATTGTTGCAAATACCTTGAGAGAAATCTAGAAGAGAACTGCAAACACGACGAGGATGGATTTTCGCGATGCCTCGAGGAACCGCGGTATTCGTCAGGACGATGGTCTCCACTTCTACAGAGTCCAGAAATGCGGGTACTTGCGTTCATATCTCGTAGACCAGAAAATTCATTGTCGATGGAGATGAAAATTGCTCCTTCCAAAGACTTCTTCATCTTAAGAAACATCTCGTTCCAATTTTCAGCTACAACTTCAGCCATTTTAATTATCCTGGAAAATGAAAAGAATTTAAATTAATTTGAATTTTTCTGCATTAATTTATTATAAAATCAAAGCGAATTTACTACATTCTTCACAATTTTATGGTAAACTGACAGTAATACAACAAAATTATGAAACTCACAATTCTTACAAATTGATTTAGTGGAATTCTCGTTGCTTCAGATGCTTTTCAAACTGCCGAATTTGTAGAAGCCATTCCAGTTGAGGCCGATATCTTGAATTTCGATCGTTGATTTTGCAGCAGAGAGGAATTTTAACTTGCGATTTCTGCTATATTAGAGCAGTTTATGTGTGATGTGTGCTAAATCGCGAAGAGAACAACCCGATCGTTAAAAATTACGGGCAAGTAGACGTCAAAGAGACGAGACAAACGACAAAAAAATACGGATTTCTTTTCAGACAAAAATTCTCTCTGCACGCCGAGAGCCGAGACGGCTGACTGAGAACTAAAAACTAAAAATAAAAAAACGCATCATCGTGCGTGCTGATGCCTGTTGGTGCTGGTGATTGTTGGAAGATCCAAGAGGGAAGGGAGAGAAAAAACATCAGTCGGGGGAAGGATTGTGCTGGCGATGCAAGTTGCAACAAGTTTCGTGTTCTTTTCATTGCATGTACACGGCACACTGGCACACTGGCACACGCACTCGCGCAATACGACCCGCGGCGATCAATGAGTCAACAAAGAATTCGAATCTATAACTGAATGAAAATAATTTTGATTTCTATAAAATAAAACTCGTTTTTATAATTGTTTTAACACAATTATTTCCATTACGTGTTATATGCAATTATTCAATTAAATTTAAATGTCAAATTATTACAAAAAAGTGCCATCATATTATTCAAAACTTTAAAAACATGTAAACAATTTTTTCTCCAATCGGATTACCATTTATTTTAACGCAAATTCATAACAAGAAGTTAAAATACATATTTATCATTTCGGTCTGATTTCGGTTATTATTCAAAGAATTGGGAGAAACGCATTTCACGGATTTTAATGAGCATCAATTTTTTTTTAAATTTGAATTAATCAAAACTGCTTTTCTTTTAAGTTAAATATATCTTCTTTTTAAATTTGCAGAAAAGATAAGATCAACCAGTGGAAAATTTAATTATTTCTAGAAAATACAAACGAAGCCTCCAAGGAGCATTTTGGAAATAATTTCCAAAGCCGAGACGAATAAAATCGTGTCTTCAAGTGTCTATAATTGAACGAACTTTTAACAGTGCAACATAATTATCGGTTTGTAAAGTTTGATTTTATGAGTTGAAACTGCTAATTTTTTGCAAACAAAGCAATTTTTCTTAAAACCGCCAGTCAATCTAAAACTATAAAAAGAAACATGAATCAAAAACAAAATTAAATTGTACTTTATTTTAATATTAGGACAATAGTTGCAAATTCCAATCAAAATTTATCATTTGCAAAGTTAAATATTAATTTTGTTCAAGAGATAGGATGTTTGATACATGAAAAATATTTTATAGTACAGAATCCAAGATTATAAAATGAAATTCTCAGTTAATTAATAATTATATTAACTATTATTGTCCAGTCAAAAATTTTTGCAATCATTTGGTACAATACCGTGATTTAATTGTATTTAATAAATCCAATTTATTATACCGTCGGTACTATTTTTGCTATTATGCATATTCAATATTCACATAATAAATAAATAAACTTCAATGGTATAAAAAAGCTTGGAATGCTTGGATTGGTTTTATGTTTGTATGTTTCTCATCTATTATAACAATAAATTTGTATGATATTTAAATTAATATTCCATTATGATAAAATAAAGACTTTTCAAAAATAACAAGCAAGATAAACAATGAATATATTCTTGTTCAATTAAAAAAAATTTAAAAGATCATCCAAATCCCTAGCTATTTATGTATTGAAATCGTAATAAATGATTTATTTTAAATAGCGTTCTAATAAAATTAAAAAAGAGAAACGCTGATCGTTCCAAAATGCATTTCGAGACCCAAAATATATATTTTCATTGTAGCCAAAAGATAAGATGAACAATTGAAAACATTATTTAAAATTGTAATTGTTTGGAAATTCGATTGTTATAATTTCACAAATTATTGCTTTGAAAGGGCCAAACAAAATGCATTTTTGAAGTTTTTGGAAAATTTCTCAGAATTTGAGTTACAAAATGGATAGCTTTACAAGTAAAACCACAGCAAGTCTTAGCCACTCCTCGAATTCACCTGGTAACAGCGAATTTAGCGATCCAAGTGCATTGGTGGAAGATGACTTTTTGAGCTTGAACTTGTATCTGGAGCAAATGACTCTTTCAAGCAGCAGTGACTTCGAACAGGCTGAGTTTGATGCGGGCCTCGGCAGCCTACGGTCCAATCAAGTCCGTCTCACCTCTTCTCCGGTGGTAAGACTTTCAAGTTTTTAATTTTCGTATAAAATTCAGTACAAAATTTTCAAATAAGGATCAAGCATTTGGAAATTCAAGAACTGCATTTGAAGACGTCAATTTTGCTCCAGCCGCCTGTGCCAAAACTTGTCCTTCAAACCGACCAACTCCGAGGAGACGGGGGTATGTCTCGTCCAGACGGAAGATAGACTTTGCGAGTGGCGAGGAAGGAGACGATGAGGGTGAAAAGATGGATTGCAGCGGTGGAAAATTGATGAAAAATGAAGTGGACTCGTACCAGCTGAAATTGAAACTGGTTGAACTGAAACGTAGGCGAAATTTTTTTTTTTTCAATTTTGTTATTATGCTTTATGAAAAATTCACAATTTGTACTGAACAAACAATGCTGTAGTTACGCTTGTGGAAAAAAAGTTATTTTTATGAGTAAAACAAAACAGATGCCTATATCGGCCTATATATCTATATATAGGTGATTTTTCAGCTCAAATAGGTGGAAAACAAGTGAGCGATCAACACAACAAAAAAGCCAAATAGGCGAAAAAGAAAAAATACGATATGTTTTTTAAGTTGTTTTTACGTGGAATGTTATTAAATAGGCCATCATCTAAAATTAAATAATTTAAGGTAGTAAAGTTGTTATTTGATGGCTTCAACTGGTGAGAATCGAAGATTTTTCACCAAATAAGTGAGACTCTAAAACTTAAATTTATTCAAAAGAATATTAAAAAGAATTATGTCTTATAAGTAAATTTTATAACATTTTTAAAAATTATAAGGTTATCACGTTTTTTTGACATCCAGGCCTAATTATATTAAAAATGTACAATAATTTATATTTTTTACATGTATGAGTTCAAAACTTTTGCTGTTATCTTTCAACAGAGAGTAATTATGTTCCTGATTTAGAAGGCAATGCATTCTACCCACAGCTGCAAACACACAAAGCTCCTTCAGTATAATTTAGCGAAACAAACAGCGAGCGCGCAATGTAATAATAATTTTCTCGCGGCGCGCAATTCCCCGTGGTGCCTGCAGATAAAAAGCAGGTTATGCTACTGGCGTAACAAAGATGCAATGCAAATTGCCTAACTCTGAAATATCTGCTATTTATCGCATTTCGTCCAACCAGAAGAGTCGAAATTTTCAGTTATTTTATTTTTAAGGTCAAAGACGCGATGAAACGAGCGAGGGAAATTCGTCGAGCAACGACGACACGTGTCACTCAAGTCGGCGCACTCAGAGGAAGCGCACCTGTCGCCGTAAAGAGCAGGTAATAAAAACTGCTGTTCATTTTCCTGCTCGTTGAGATAGCGGTTTTTATGTCATAAAAAATTCGCAGGCCTTATCGCCGGCGCGGCGAGCTAGGAGTGCAAACTGACGTTTTAAAATGTGTTGAGAGGCTGGCTCGGGTCTAAAAGCTTCCTGCTGGACACGAAATGTGATTAGCTGCAAGTGCCTGCCTCCAGTCCGCCCGCCCGCCGTTAATTCTGTCAAGTTTTTTAATGTGACTGCAAAAAGTGTCACTTCGTGTTGTGGCGTATCAACGTCCGCGTAATAAAGTTTTTGCCTTTATTTGCATGAATAATTCATAAGATGGAAAATAATAGACATAAGCCAGCAAGCAAGCTTAATTTACAGCGTCAGGGTTGTTTAAGAAAATTTAGGCGACCGGCGCAACATCGGCGTTGCGCCAGTTGCATTACCACTTTTTGGAGATATAGCAATCTAAAAGGTGGCGAACTTCCGGAAAATTAATTGCTAACGATATAAAATGAAACCCGCAATTCAAGATTGGCAGTTTTGGAATCGTGAAATAAAAATCTTGCAAACAGACCCCATTTTTAAAAATTTCTTTCATAGTCCTTGATATTTAAACCTGCCAAAAAAGGGAAGAATCGTGAATTTAAAAGCTTGCAAACATACCCCATTTTTTAAAACTTCCTGTATAGTTCTTGGAAAATATCTTTCAGTCCTTTTATCAACCAAGTCCACCCGCCACCGCTCGTTTTCCGCCACTCTAATATCGTCGTAAAGCGTTTTCGATGGACAAAATCAGCGTGCAAACTTTTCGACAAGAATAATTACGGCAATAATTTATCAGAAAAAGTTGGCCTCCAAAATGAAATTCATCTTGCCTGCGCTGCGTGACTCGCCCGCCGAGACTCCATAAATCAAGCGGCAAAGCCCCGATTTCAAATCAAATCTCTGCAGCCGGAGAGTATCCATTATTTTCCCTTGTGGATTTGCCGCCGCGTGTGTAAACAGCGGGCGTGTGTGATTTAAATTTCTGCCGTGCTCGCACAACAGAATTCAATATTGCCTGTGTCACCTGCTCTCCCGTGAATTGTATTATCCTATAAATGCGATACATACGAACCAGGGTTGTGCCTCCTCCGCCTCGCGAGATAACGAAATGACAGCAACATACACAACCGTTGTCGGCAAAAATGAGGGAAAAAATCGGGCCGACTATAATATGCTCTGCAGCGGCAGATAACAGTGTTAAAGGGCACGACCGTAAAAGATTATTGTTGTTGGGGCTGCAGCGAGTAGTGTTGCCATGAATGCGCATGAGACGGGGCGGTCCTACTTTGCTGGGCAGATATCGCACGAGGCTACCCCTAGTCAGTCGCGTCATGTGCACCGCAACGCCGACATCCCTCAGCCAGTAGCCCGCGCGTTTGCCGAGAAAAATCCACCTTTTGTCTCAAACAAGGTAAGAATTAATTTTTTTAATTCAATCCTTTATTACTTAAAAGACGTACGGTTACATCACTTTGCATTATGAAATTGTGCAAAATTTCAAATGTGCAAAATAGCAGATAAATTATTTGGCCTATTTTTTGGCCAGGTGGTGATTTTTAATAGGCTATAGCGTATTATTTTATTAAACACCTCAATTTTCTTTACAAAAGTGATTAATTAGAACAGACAGATTAATTAAATCAAAGTAATGAATTAAGATTTTTTTTGTAGCCTCTTATAAAAACTTCATTTTACTTACATGTTTTCATCACAGTCCTCACATTTGCAGTTAATTTTTGCTCATGTGAATGAAACTTATTTTATTCCTCACAAATAAATCACTCAATAACGATTGCATTTTATCAAAATTATGAGGCAAGAAAGCAAAAGCGCCAATTTTACTTTGATAACATCCTGCATTTCTTCAGGAAAACAAAAGAAATAATTGTTTCGAAGATCTTGTAGCATAAGATGCTGTGTAACGTGTAACATAATGGTTGATATTAAAATGTATCGCATTCATTTGAATTATGATATCTTTTACATTAATTTAAATAAATAAAAAAAATTATCAGGCTAAAACACTAAAAATGAGATTTTGCGAAAATTTTTACAACTTTTTGCTGCAAAAAGATTACCAGGACTAATTTAAGCTCAAATTAAAACCATATCTCTTAAAAACAATAAGAATGTTTAAAAAGAGATATTAATTTTAAATCTCCACAATTCTAGCCATATAAATTGGTTTTAAGATAATTTATAAGCAATGGATTTAATTAAAAAAAAAACCTTGCAATTAAAAGAATCTGCTGCACACATATTATGGCTCGCATTTTGTTTTTGTTTTCATGAATATTTTATCTTTCCACTTCTCTACACGCTCGTTTAAAAAAGTTTTGACGGATCTTGCTGAGCCTGTGCAAACAAGCTGCTTTAATGTTTGCTCTTAATGGCCGTTAAATACTTGATGAACCGGCAGGGCGCTCCCTAGCAAATTCAAAAGCATCTCGAAAAAAGGAAAAAAATGCGTGACGCTGAATTTATTGGCATAAAAGCGGCAAGATAAATGGCACACGCTGTAAAATTACATTCAACTGCAGCGTCGTGTGTGCAGAGTGGAATAATTCTGCAGTAATTCGGGCCAAGTTCAATTTGGCGCCGGAATACCATCAACGGGATATTGCCACTCCAATCAGAATTACACGCGTGATTTACGATTCGAGCTTCAAAATCTGTGTTCCGACGCTAATCTCTGGTGCGGACAATGACAAGGGAATAGCATTATTTTCATGTCGCAACAAACAAACATGCCGATAGTGAAATTGTATTTGTTTTGTGTGCGCTGGGTTGTAATTATACTCTGACAATTCTGTGTTTATGGTTGATCGGGAAATCCCTGAAGGGTTTTTGCTGTACTTTCCTGTCCGTTGGGAAATGTTGGGAAAGAAATTCTAATTGATTTATTTGAAAACATAAATAAAACATTTAAATTTAAAATTTTATTTTTAAAACTAAAAAATTAATAATAATTAAGTATTAAACGTTGCAACTAAATGGACTGGCAAAATTGACATTTTCCCCCCCTAAATATTTGCTAAGATATTGGATGCTTGTAAATTGTTTGATTCTGATAAAAAAAAAATGTGTATTTACAAAGGACTTTTTTTTAGACATTTTTGTAAATTTTTTAATTTTCTTTAAAACCACTGAGAAATTTTCAACCAATATTTTTGCCCTGAAAGTCTCTTTTTTATTCAAGGAAGAGAGTTTTCACCAAAATAAACCTGTCATCTTTACACCTTGGGTATAGTTTTTTTTTTCGAAATTAAGAGGGAGATTATTTTAAATTGCGTATATTACGGAGAGTAAGTGAATTCACCGAGCTTTACTTAACCTAACATTAACCCACCCTTCTTGCATGACACACCGTGCAAAACAAGTCCGGAAAGCCCCTAATTGCAATGCAAATGGAAAACAACGGTCGAATTATTTACCTAATGCAAGGGTCATTAGGGGTGCACGCCCAGCAACAGAGAAGTAAATTAGCGCAATTAAGCCCAGCGTCGGCTGGCACGCAAATTGACACCGCGCCTGGAACAAACAGCGCGCCACGCACTAAACCCTTCCGGAGGATATAAATTTCTCTTAATTCCGTTTGCACCCGCCGGCGTCCATTAGCTCAAAGCAAAGAGCGGCGTGAAAAAAATATAATGTATATGCTCGTCGACCTTGGTGGAGAGAAAGAGGGAAAAACAAAAATAAAAGAAAGAAAGTCAGAAAAGGAACTGGTTTTTGTATGCTTATAATGATGTGGAGCGACAAGGCAGGAAACGTGAGCGAGAGCGAGAAATAATGATGCTGCAGGCAGGGGTGGTTTCCATGATAATTATTATTTTCTTGGTTTCTCTCACACCTACCCTCGGAGAGGAAAACGAACCCTTTTGAGTGCACAAGTCACTGCAAAACAAAAGGCAGGAATTTTGTGACCGCCGGAAATTCATTTCGCACGCACCAAACGTTGTAAAGAAAATCTGGCGAATTATATTTTATTACTTTTTTTTCTCCGGCCTCGTTGAAATTCATAAAAATAAAATATGGCTGGGGAAAATTACTTTGCAGCTTCCCTTTGTAGCTTTTCTTTCTCATTTTCTTGGCTTCTTTTGTTCCGCAATGCAATGAGAGAGCTACTGCTTAACTATTCCGTTTGATTCAAATTGTTGCCTTTCTAATGTAAAGCAAAATCTCCTTTCTACATTCTTTATGCCTCTTTTTCTTTCTGGCTTTATGAGAGAGTCAAAGGCAACAAGGGAGGCGAGTTGAGAATGACAAATGTGAGAAGGCTTGTTTTATGCTTTTTCCTTCGCCACCTGTTTTATTACAAGGGTGACCGCGCCACCAACAGCAACGTTATTTGCGAACGGATATTGTGGGGAGGAAACTGCAGATGGGGACTATGGCAGAAGAAAAGAGCTTTTTCAAGATTATACAGATCCATACGCATCAACAAGAGAAGGAAATCAGAGATTTATATCAAAAAGTGTCATTGACTTCAAAACAGATTCAGGACATATTTGTGTTTAAGCAAAAAAAAAAAATTATAATTATTCAATTTTTTTATGAGCGGCTCAGAATTTCAACAGAATCTCAAGGAATATGGAATATTATGATTAAAAGCAGCAGAAAATTTGAAAGAAGATTTCAAAGACTTGCCACTATTTTTTTTAACAGGATATAAATGTGTTATTGTATATTACTTAAAAATATAATAATGTTATTTAAATAAATTTATAATTTTTTTATTTGAACAACAAATATGTAATTAAATTTATCAAATAATTATGCATCATTTAAAATAATTTTAAATGGTGTATTTTTTCCAGCAAATTTAAAATATAATTATGTGTTGTTAGTTTTAATCATGAAACATGTTTAATTTTTATCAGTGAAAATTTTTTCCATCGTACTTTAGCGATTTTATAATTACATGATGTCGGAATCTAGGTGAAGAGCAGGCAACAATTGACGCGCATTTCAACAGACACTGCACAAATTGCTCGTCCTACTTCCGAGAGAGCTCTCTTACTTAATTTTCATTTTCACTCACGTTCATTTGTGCAGAATAAAAAATGTGAGAGTGCAAAGCGAGCGCAATTGCAAAAAGTCGAGTTGTTGAACGAGACTCCACCTATAGTCCACGTGCAGGGGCGAAAAAAAAATCATATTATACACCTTTCCACGTCAGTGCATCTGCTAAGTTGCCCTCAGAGAATGGACACGACGAGTAGAGAGAGAGACTCATTAAGTGCAGTCACGAGAAATAATGCACCAGGGAATGCAAGAAGTGAGAAATTTGTTCCACTCAATGAATGCAAAAGCAGAGCTTCTCTAGGCCACTTCGCCAACGAACTGTATTGAAATATTATGCAGAAAGTTTAGTTTTTCCATAACTAGTTGTTACATTTTTTCATTTATAGCTGGAGAGAGTGGTTTTGTCTAGTTCTTTAGTGAGAATTTGCATTTTTCAAACATTTTCCGCAACCGGGATCGTTTGATGTCGGTTCGATTTGCATGCGTAGAGACTTTGGCGAGAGAATTTTTTTCTGTCAAAAGGGCTTTTCAATTAAGCAAGCACGGATGAATTAGCATTCTTTTGCTGCGAGATTTTGTTTGATGCAAATTGGGAGAGGTTTCAAAGCGAGTGCTTAATTAAAGAGACTTGACGAATTTCGTGTTTAATTATCTGCATTGCAAATTGGATTTTATTTTTTCTTGCTTCTGAACCGTCAGCGCAGCAATCAGGAACAAATTTTGATGGGGAAAACTTGACGAAGGTAGTGAGGGAATTTTCAATTTTTAGCCTTGCATTGTTTAATAAATTGATTCATAAGAGGCATTGGTATTTTGTATTTAATGAAAAATTTAAAGCATGATCCACAAATCTTGAGCTTAAAATTCAGAGCAGATGCGGGTTTTTTCTCCTTAAATTTGCATTGTGTATTTATAAAGCTTTTTTGTTGTTTTAGAAATATTCTAGAAACACCCTATCGGATTTTTTTGAAGTGATCTAATTTCATTGAAAATACTAGTTAAATTCATTGTCTGGAAAATCATTAATATTGTTGCTAATTTGTCCATATTGATCCATAAATTTATAATGAAATTAATGAAAAACTCGTTGGGATGGAGACATGATTGCTGGAAAAAAAGCTAAGATTTTACTAAAACTCCGACATCAAAAATCCCCATCCACAGTGAGCCTTGGTTAATATTTAAATCAAAAGGTTTGAATTTTTAATTTTGTCCCCAGCAAAATTTTAATGGTAAAATATATGTAGGACAAAAGAAAGAAACTTCAAAAGTTTTTCTTCCAGAATGCCACAAGTCCACAGCTCGAATCAATAAGTGAAATTCTCAGCAGTCACGAAATCAAATTGGCATGATTATTGTAGCTATATAAAAAAATCTACCCCT